GGATAGCAGGGGGAGGACACAACCCCAGTATTAGTCGTCGGGGATAAGGCTGATGCTAGGATATCAGGGGGAGGACACAACCCCAGTATTAGTCCTCGGGGATAAGGCTGATGCTAAGATAGCAGGGGGAGGACACAACCCCAGCATTAGTCCTAGGGGATATGGGTGATGATAGGATAGCAGGGGGAGGACACAACCTCAGCATTAGTCCTAGGGGATATGGCTGATGATAGGATATCAGGGGGAGGACACAACCTCAGTATTAGTCCTCGGGGATATGGCTGATGCTAGGATATCAGGGGGAGGACACAACCCCAGTATTAGTCCTCGGGGATAAGGCTGATGCTAGGATATCAGGGGGAGGACACAACCTCAGTATTAGTCCTCGGGGATATGGCTGATGCTAGGATAGCAGGGGGAGGACACAACTACGACTATAGTCAGGGGTTAGGAACAACACTGCAAGTCTTGTAATAATCTTTCAGTGATTTTCTACCTTTTACCACAGGTTCCTGTACCATTCACATAACATGTTCAAGACATTTATCGACTGTTTGATTGCTTAATACTAAATATATTATAGAAACAAGAGAGAACTTGTGTTTATTTTAATGATGTAATCANTTATGACTATAGTCAGGGGTTAGGAACAACACTGCAAGTCTTGTAAAAATCTTATAGTGATTACATGTTCAGGACATTTATCGACTGTTTGATTGCTTAATACTAAATATGTTATAGAAACAAGAGAGAACTTGTGTTTATTTTAATGATGTAATCAAACTGCAGATTTTCTTTATTTTACTGAAATTAACTGCTTTGACCCTTTTATCAGATGTACATGAAAGTGTGAACGGAACAAGTGTAAATAAACATCCCTGTAACGATCACAGAAGCTGCTTTATCCATCAAAATGACAGGTTACAACAAATTAATGTGTGGCCACTTCCTTTAAAAGCTGTATCTATTCATTAGTGGGAAGCTAATTAATTTAATTGAGGCCCTGGAGGTGACTTGAATTCAGCAGTTTTAGGCTTCCTGTCCCGACTCCTAACCAGTCCTAAACACACCACAAGGTGATAGGTGAGACTAGCAAGGAATGACCAGCTGACCATCTCAATACCTTGTATTGATTCAGAGCTCAAATTAACTTCTGACCACTACTGGTCAACATGTCACTAGGCCCCTCACCTTACACTAGCGGCCTGCAGGTTCAGACACAGTTCATAGCCTAAAATGACCTGGACATGGCGTGGACCCTGAATGACCAGTCTGATTTGGGCTACCCCCACTGTGATTCACACAATGGTATTTTACAAGCTGCATATTTGTATAATGGACTGATCATTTGTCCAGTCCCATGTCTGCCTGCAACTCACTCCAGATATGCATTGCCATAATTAATCTTGAGAACATTGGAGCAAAAATTTGAATGACATTCTACTTTCTAAAAACTGAAGATTTTTGTTGTGAGGTCATTGTCTATATTATTATGGTAAAAGTATTGTATAACTAAAATGTTCAGACTAAGTTTTTAACTTCCTGTAATTTTTCCAAACAGTCTATTTTCAAGAAATTGAAATTATTATGAAAATTAATGCTATAGTATCAATCTCTGAGATTCAATAAAATTTCATACATTTTCTTATTTGACAGCTACGAAAAAAAATAAGAGACTGTTATTAAACTCTTCTGTACATTTTCCTGTTTACATACCATATATAATTGGATATTATATGAAAACGAACAGGTATCCAGTCATTTGTAAATTTATAAAATTCAAGAACAGACTGCTTACCCCTTTTAGATTAATTCTGTCTTGAAGATGACACCTTTGGGAAGTTGGCAACAACTTTTCTGACTAAAAAAGGACTTAAAACCACTGACGACATATCTTATCATATACCTGCCAACTCTCCCTTTTTAGGAGGGAGACCCCTATTCCCCTCGATGTTTTACCCTTATTTTGAGCATGCGGAATCTCCTCAAGGAAATTTCAAAGGTTGGCAAGTACTGTGTATGTATTTTAAACCTATGTACCGTGGGTGCATATCATTCCGTTTTTTTCGTCATCACACAACACTCCCACTAAAAGTAAGTTATATTTAGATGGTAAACTAAAAAGTTTGAAGCAGTGTTTGTAAAACTAAAATGATAATGTGGGCCTTAAGCTTTTAGTGTGCTTCCTGTACAACAGTCATTGTGTTACCAGATTTTTCTTGTACATAAAGTGGATTTCAGAAAACCTTAAATTCTAGGGGAAAACATGAAGAAATGTGGATTTAGATGTTTCAGTATGCTATCAATTTTGTTGAGCTTAGGGAAGGTGGTTATTCCTAAAACACAGACAAACTCTTTGTGTACATTTTCTCAGGTAATACAGAAGTGTTACAATGTGACAGAAACAATCAATCTACCAGGTAAAGTTTCCTTGTAACATATAACAGGTATCATTTTAATCCCACAAGAATAGTGCTTCATTGTCAGAATCAGCTTTATAAATGACTTAAGTCAACAATAGTATAGGCTAGATTTTATCATTTTGATCCATCAAAGCTCCACCACTATGCATGAGCTGTAAATACATTTGTTTAGCTTATCATTAATTTCTAATTAGCTGTATGTGCTGTACTTTAGGACTACCAACATATACAAATATATAAAACTGGCCCTTATATATTACACAACATTACAATGGACAGTATATGTAATGGTCAGTTATATGGCCAGAGGCCAGAGTCATGTTACAGCAAGGACAGCTTGACCATATGTCTATCAAACCAGTCCAGGAAATGATTATGCAACGAACTGACCTATCTGTCCAGACAGAGGGTGCCCTTGACCTTTAAAGTGGTCAGATATCTATGATAGTGTATACGGTAGCAGTTTCTCTATTTATATAAGATAGTAAACTAACTTATATAGTACACATATATATATGCTTACATTGCCAATTCCCCACTTTTGATTTTTCACCCTTTTTTCCTTAAATCTTACTTTTTGTCCCAATTTAATTGATAAATAACATTTAGCAGCCTCAACTGTTGGCATGCATACTACAGAACATTTATTATTTTCTTCAATAGGGGGCATTGCAAGTACTTTTTGGACAATTTGATATTTTCCAATAGGCCTACATGTAAGTTTCTCAACATGAAAAATTTGAAGAAAAAACCCTGAAAACACTCCAATAGTAAAAGCTAAAGGCACTTCTATACAGGCAAGTATGATTTTAACTCATTCATTCCTGAAGACTCATTTGAACTGTTCCATTTCAAAGGTTGGAATAGTGCATTATAAAACTTCAGGGGTGAATGATTTTAATAGTAAGTTTTATTATCTCATAAAATTCTTGAGATATGCTTTGGAAACGACAAATTTGTATATCTGGCTATTAGTTTCTATGCTAACAGGAAATTTATCAATAATATAAATACCCTTTTCCAAAAGGCAAGTTAGATTCATGTTGTTAAAAGATTTTGCAGAGTTATCACGAACAGTTTCTGAGATCTTCTGTGGAAGCAACAAATTTTTCGTTTCTGGCTACTTGCTACCATATCATGATACATTGTACAGGGAAATATCAAAAATAAAAACTGTCCACTGCCAGCGACACCACAAGACTACTGGAATGATGTGCATATAAAGTATTGTGGAGTTATTTTTGCAAGTTTTTTTAGTAGATTTTACCAGACAGATGGATTCACACATTGACAGAACCTGTTTGTATATATCTCCCACTAATTACATTAAGTGGGGGATAATAAACCTGCGAAACATATTGTCTACTGAAAATTAATCAAGGTTTGTATACCTTCATGTCTAAAGAAGCTTTATCTAAGCCAATATATAATTGTATCATGCAAATGGAGGTCTCTGTGAAGGCTAATTACTACAGTATATTGATTACATAGCAGGCTATCATGTACATATGTGTAATTATACAGCTTACCTAGTGAACATGTACAGTATACAGAATACATTAATGTCATTAGAACCAAACAGATCCTTGTTTCTGCTTCCCTGCTAACACAACCAGTGTTTCTGCTGTCAATACTAGTACTTACACTGTAAGTTTTGGTGCCTAACCAAACATTTTGGGTTAAATTTTCGAAAATCACTAATAAAGTCTGATATTTATATATACCTAGGTATTTGCACATCATATTTTTAAACAACATCAGTATTTTGAAATTTAGAAGTTGTTTTTCCTACTGACATACATGTACGTACACCTACTCATTACTTTTTGAGAGCGAAAAATAAGAAAACATAATATTTTTTTCTTTGGCCTCAGTAGGTAGTTGCCTAATTTATTACACCTGATAATGGTGTCATGTTTAACACAGAGAGGTCACATATTGGTCATCCTGACATCTTTATTTACAACCTATGTACATGTATATACCTACTTCTATATATCAAGGTCAGCTCTATATAATACACAACCCCATACACATATATACTGTAGCCTACATATCCCAGCTAGTACAGGCTGACAGCACAATAGCTTGTCTCAATTAATGCACTACACATGTACATTTAACTCATTCACCCCTGAAATTTCATAGTGAGCTATTCCAACTATTGAATTAGAAGAGTTCAAATGCGTCTTCAGGGGTGAATGAGGTTTATAAATAGAACCAGTCCCCCGAAAATCTACCAGCCTGTCTTGGAAATTTCCGATGAAATGGTTTCTGTCCAATGTTGTTCATTATAATAATGCTCCATTTGAATTGTTAGACACCATTTTCATGTAGCTCGATCATTAGCCCATCAGACTTTAGGGTTGTTATTACCATTATCAGATTACCAAATATTTTTTCGGTAACTGGGCTTTGGAATTATTGGGAAAATTGAAAGACACAATAATCCAGATTGGGATTTTTCATATTTATGCCAAAAGGAGTCAAATTTAGCCATTAAATGAATCCAAAAAGTCATGAATTATTATATATATATATATATTTATCTATGCCTCTAGTCTGAATTGCACTCACCCATCTGGGCTGAAATCCATCAAGAATGTTGCTCTTACTTGTCCAGAGAGTGCACAGGGCTGAAAACAGAAGATACACGTAGACATGTGTACTGTTAGGGAAATATTAAATATCTTTATTACCCTATTTATATGTTACATAAAATCAGAGCATCCATTCCAGATACAAAGAATTTATCACAGCTCATTCTACTATAAATACATAAGTAACATGATAGGAAAAGTGTAATGGCCAGTTTGGGATTCGTACTAGGGATCTCAAACTTTAGGCGGACGCTCTAACCAATTTAGCAATTCAACCTGGTCACCATCTATCAACACATGAACAGATCAGCTCTGCTACACGGGCATGCTAACAAAACATTCTTAGCAAATACACCAGTGCTTTTTAATTTCCTTAACTTCATGACTTTAGCTAATGCCAATTTCATAGTCTACATATATATATATATTTACATAAAATACATATTTAGCATTGATTAAGTGATAATGTATATTGTTATACCTGGTTGACCTCTGGCGTACAGGCGTGTTTCTCCAGACATTCCTCTGCCTGTTTTGTCTGTTTCCAGCATTTGGTTGTACGTCCAAGCTCACGCTGGCACAGGAAGGACACGAAATTCTTCATCCTGTGACTTCACTTTTACATTCTGTAAAGAACCAGAAAAACACATATACACCTTCTGCGATCAGAAATTTTGTGTTTTATGACTTTGAATTAGTGTAGTTAATCAAATAAATTTAAGAACACAACATAAAATTTGAAAGATTGTGTACTTGCCTGATTTTGTATGCCACTGATCGTGATCAGTAACGTACATATATGTAGATATGTAGATATAGATCAATATCTACAGTCAAACTAAGTCATTTACTTCTACATATAACTACCATCATGGTCAACAGCGGCTGAACTGTATATGGTTTTCTGTACCCACAGCAGTAAAACCATGGGGTGAGGGTCACTTGGATGGGTACTCCTAGGCCTGGTCAAGGTGGTGAGTCGGAGTATAATAACCCGAAACCCTAGACATGTGGGTACCGGTGCATGTGAGACACTGTCAAGATATTACTTCATCAGACAGTGTCATATTCATAATATAATAATTACCATAAATACTATAACAAAGACAAAGGCATCTTCAGTATTCCTTGAATTTGAAATAATAATTATAAGCAAACTATAATCTTTCAACAAATAGTCATTGATTTGCATAGACATTATCAGGCCTATTCTGAACTTCAGTTATTTCCAAATTTTGATAAGTCCCATTTTTAAGAGATATAATGAGTTCTCAAAAAGTTCTTGAATTTCACAGGAAAAACATGTACTATTGTACATGAATCCAGAACTCAAACATCTGTGTCCCAAAAATTGCTGAAATAGTATTAAACGCTTTCATAGATCTTTTGGAAGAGTTTCCAGATTAAGGGTTCTTTAAAACTAGTGTTAATTTTAAATTTGATAGCACATGTACACATTGTGATGTCATCAATACTTCCTTTTTTGTCTAGTTTGGTAGTCGGTCATATTAAAAGTATAGCCTACAGACACATTTTGAAAATCTGTGCAACGTTAACCTGCCCACCAGCTGCAGGCTTTAATTCTCTCAAATACTTTTCATCTAAATATCACCAAATCTATTTTTAATGCTAACATTTTGCTAAACAAAATCAATTGATACAAATATTACAAGATTTTACTGTATATAATATAAAGTGCTAATTAGATAATAACATAATAATGATCAACTGTGTGTTTCACAAACATCCAATTACTCATTTACTTTTTGGATTTTAGAGAAATCACTTCCCTCCGCTTCAATCCACAGGATGGTTGGGTGGCGCAGTGGAAAGTGCACTTGCCTTTCACCAAGGCAGCCAAAGCTTGATTCCCCAATCAGAAGTGAAATGTCATGGGGGTCATCTGCCCAACCACGTGGGTTTTCGACAGTTTAATTTCCTCCCACAATAAGATCCCTGCGCGCTAACATCAGCACCCACATGAGTGATTAATATAAGCTGAACTAATTAACTTGTTCCATAATTGTTGTAAAATAAATAAAGTTTATATTATATATATAGTTCTACCGACAGTATCCCTGAGCAATGACTGGCCTGCTGTTTTACCTTAGCTACTACAATGTACTACTAAATGTATACTAAAACAGACATTAAATACCTGTACTAAATCATTGTTATTATGGCAATTAATGATCCCCGAGCATTAATTATTATGGCAATTAATGCTCGGGGATCATCCTATTGTGTCGACTGACAGTAGGGGTATGGTATCAGGGGTCAGGAGGCCTGCAACATGGAGAGCATTTATACAACTCCAAGTCAACTAGGGGACAACTTTTGTTCCCTAAATAGGAATGGAGCACAATCAAATCCAGGTAAACAATGGCGAAATAGCCAACTGCAAAATAGCACAATGTAGGCTGTACGCTGCACTGTGGTCGGCCTCTTCAACCTATCATTGATACTGCCCCAACAGCGACAGATCTTAGGTCCATAACAAATGAATTTATTTTATCAATTTCTTGCCATTTATTATCCCAGATAAAATTTGTTACTGTAAATAATTGGCTACTGTACGTGATCTTCATATGATCTGCTAAAGTGCACATTACTTACATATGTATATACAAGGCCTGACCATAAGAATTTTTTGTAAAATGTCAAAATGGACCTACCAAAAATATCATTTGAATATTTTGATAAACTAGATAAAAGAATGTTGATCAATGCAATTTCATAATGTGCATGCATATATAAGATGAACACCATGATAGACTGCAAATACCTGTGTAAATTTCTGAATTTCTAAGTTTATTTGCGTCATACACCTGCCGTGTCGGAATATGGTATTTGGCAAGAATTTTTAGTAATTAGTAACTCAAGACAAATGAATAATAAAGATGAAATTATTAGATATGCCCTAGTCAGAGTTGACAGTCCAAATTAATGGCAATGATAAATCAATATTTATTTTTGTTTCCTGTACATGTACAGGAAACAAAAGTACAGTACAGTAATATAATTAGCTATATATATATCATATATAGTTACCTAACATAAAAGACTAATATCAACTTTTGATTATAACTATAGTCTGTTGGACCAGTTTAGGCCCCATAACAATACATAAGCAAGTAAAAATATGTTTTTGTCATGTGTGATGGCCATGTGCATACTTATGAAAATGCTGGAAAGATCATAGATTTCTTTCATGTACTTTGTATATCAGTTCATGTACAATTTAATAGCCACAATTCAACCTTTCATGATGATCATGACCATTGTATAGCTAATTAGTAGGTATAGGTATAAATGTAGTTAGTTCATAATCCACATTTTCACAATCTGTCTCATCCCATTGTTGTAACTAACACTGAGTTTACATATATTATTAAAACAACATGAACAATGATGAATCTACAACAATACATCTTTTTCCAAGTAAATATTTTGTTCCGCAATATGTACATGTATATGTAAATTGTAGGTGATTGTGTCTGCTCTATTTATCAAATAGAGTTATTGATAAATGATGAATAAGATATACCCGGTATGTAGATAACACCCACTTTAACCATATGCTATACTTTTACAGTTATTGATTGACAGAATATGTACTGCAGCTAGTCTTAGTCCGAAATAACTGTCACACTGACTACCTTATATTATCTCCTCTTTAAAAATGTTTGACTGGGTGGAGATCGACTATCCCCATTTGAAGAGATTAAAAACATACACAAGTTGAGTTATATCAATATATATTAATCTTTCTTGTTGGCCCTGATGTCAGGGCGCAGTGGGTCTTCATGTGGAAGGAAACAAAAGTTTCTGGAGAAAACCCACATGGTCGGACAGGTGACCCCATGACCATACCCTTGTGGATTGTACCCGAGATGTCTTGATTGGTGAAAATTGGTGTGCTATATATCCACATGTGCCAACCGAACACCCTTCAAGGAGAGATAGTCTGGACAACAATTACACAAGTCTGTACTGTAACAATTCAAAGTTCAACAAGGCCCCTAAAAGATGGTTTCATAGTCACCCTGAATTTCAACTCCCCTTTCCAAGAGTCATATTGGAAGACCCCAATTTAGCATAGGAATAAAATGATGTAATTGGATATACTGAAGGAATTTTAGTTATTATAAAGGTAGATAATAATGTAATTTTAATAATAAAGCATTAAGGCAATGAAAACAGTTCACTTGGTTTTTAACATGTCATCATGCCAATGGTCCTTAATAATTTGCGACCCAGATGAATGCTCCGAATGATAGCATGAGTTTTAGAAATTCAGAATTTAACAATTAAATCTATAGAAATTAAACTTTACATGACCTCATATGTTATTTTGTAGCATTTAGTAGGGGTTGCAAAAGAGATTGACATACTGCAAATCCATTTCATGTTTTCATGGAACAAACTGAATGCCTTATAACAGACTAACTAAATGTTGTTTTGTGCAATTTTAATAATTCTTCTTATTATGGATAATAGCAATCCTTCACATAAACTAAAGATTACGTGCTATGCGCTGTGAAATGTACAAGAGAATAAGAGTTATTTTTTAGATTTATGACATATATAGATGAAACCAATTACAGGGTACAGATTTAGAATGTTGAAGACAGGTATGACACAGGGATAGCAGCAGACTTGAATGCTTCCACTTAGCTTCCACTGTGTCAGATGATACGGCTGAATGAGGGAGATGATTAAAGACATAAAAGTACAAGTTCATTATATCCTAATTGTTAATCTCAGTTATGATGTTTAATTGCCAAATTATGGTCTTTAAATATTGCTTTTCAAGGGGTTGAGATTTGGTTGATCATGAATATTCCATCTTTTAGGGGGCTTGCTGAACTTTAAAACATCAAAGAACACCGATTAAAATTGATTAACACAATTACCTGTTAATGATCAGCAAATGTCTGCCGGTGTGTACTACCGACACATCATAACTTAATCTGCCAATATGGTTTCTGTCTTGGATTTTCAACTCATCTTAAATCAAATACTCCTGGTCAAACATCATTTCTTATATCCTCACATTTAAAACACACCACGAACACTTTTAAGACACATATCACAATCAAACGTTAAGTTTTAACATACAAGCTTTAGGCTTATACAATATGTCAAATTGATCTTTTGCCAATAATCCGAATCAACACTTTTTTAGAAAGTAAAACGTTGATACTTAAGTAATCCAATCAAGTTTTCATGTGATCGCGGTGTTTCACAACATATATCCCGTCACACACTGTTTGGTCAGTATCTCATGTCTCAGTGACCAAAGCGCATGACTGATACAAACTCAAGATAAATAGCATTTCACTTGTACCTGAATGAACTTTTCACCCTGATTCCGCCATTTTCACGGGAAGTCAATGACCGGATGTGGTGTCGAGTTCACGAGTTCAAGATGTTCGGGACGTATCTGGAATTGTCTTTAATCTGTAGATCAAACCCGAAAACACCCGAAACGAAAAAAACATGGCAGCCTCCATCAAAGATAACGTGTTATGGTTTGAACATTATTTACATATTTCTTCATTTTGTGATAGGTAATCATTCAATAATTGTCAGGAACTTAAAGTTCACTACATTACATAGAAAGGAAAGAAACATCTTATTCCAGGTGAGTCATATTCAACTGTTTTTACTGTTTACTTTAGATATGTTTCTAATAAAATTATGCATTTATTGTGAGAAAGCGATATAAACCGAGACGACGGCGAGTTTATATCAATTTTCAGGTTCATATAACACATATTTGCTGAAAAAAGTCCTTAATTAGTATATAAGATATATATTTTGTGTTGTTTTAATCTGTTTATCATCAAACAACACGAATCGAAGCATACGCAAGTTGTTTAAAGAAAAGTAATGTATTTTGGAAACTTGCAATTGATATGATGTCATATAAGGAGAATATTGACTTGCTGGGTTTTTTTTATACCGAGTCAATATCACAAATCAGTGACCTCCTTGTGACTCATGCAGCCAAAGAGCTTGAGGATGTAGAAAAAGTTGTGTTATCTAATATTACACTTTACAGCCTCAAGTTCGCGTTACATAAGTATTTTCCCAGTTAACCATGTGTATTAATTAATACTTGGCAGGTGTGTTTGTCAACAACAGAAGATATTGTACCTTTAAGTTTTGTTGTTGTTGAACGTCGATTGGAAGCTTGAGCTTGTGATGACGTCTAAATATCCTCTTCTGCCTTTGATACGTTGCTAGCAGATCCTAGAATAGCCTGCCATCAACGGACTGCGGTTGCGCAGGGATTAAAACTATCTAAAATGTATCAAGTTTTTTACACTATCTTTTATTGTGAATACTTGTTTATTATAATAGTAATTTATGTATATACCCCCAATTATACTATAGGGGGTAACTAACATTTTAATGGTAATATGTTTATTACTATCTCTTTTCTTTTAATGTTAGAGATCCCATGTGGATCATTCATGATAAAAGGAAGGGCAGAACTTCCTGGAGTGATTCCTTCACAGTGTGTTTAGGTTTGACTTGAATTGTTATGCGTTTTTAACGACACAGTTTCCTCGGGTAGACCTTGGATCACTTGGTTGCTAAAGACATTCTTGCTAGTGTTTAAGTTGAAAGGTTTCTTGAATATTTTTTTAGAGTGACCTCTAGTGGTACTAAGTGGTGTAGGACGAAACATCAGCCTTTAGTCTAACTGGTCGATCCCGTTCAATATTTTATACAACTCAACCGCATCTGCCCTCTCACGCCTGTATTACAGAGATGGTAGACCTAATGTTCTTAGGCGTTCATGGTAGGGCATATTCTGGATTTCTAGTACTCTTTTAGTGGCTCTTCGTTGTACATTTTGCATAGCTATTTTGTCCTTGTTTTATACGGTGACCACACTTGCGTAGCGTATTCCAGATGTGGACGGATACGTGACTTCTACAGGGTTGTAAAAAGAGGTATATCCATAAAAATGAAAGTTCGAAACAGTATACCTAACATTTAGTTATATTGGCTTTTGACACTGCTGCATTGACTTGGGTTGTACAATTTTGAGATGAACAATCTAGCATCATTCATTAGATCTTATACCCAATTATTGAATTACCATATTTTACCGCAAATAAGCCCTCCCCCCCACTCCTGAGAAAAAAGATGGGCCAAAAGTTGGGAGGGGGCTTAATTGCAAGCAACCCCCCTGTTCACAAATGTCCGCCAACTTGGATTTTGATCTATGACCACCCTAAATATCATGTACTTATCCACTGTAGTTGTTCATGTTGTAAAAATAACAACTAACAGACAGAATATTTTATAACAGTCACCAAAAGTTGATCAGTTGATGGTGCTGTTGTTTTTCTTATTTTCTATCATCAATTTGTCTCGATAATTCATTTTTATATTTTTTTTATTGATAAGTCAATCAGTACTCTTTAGACACAATACCAACATTCAGAGGTGTAAAAATATTATTAGCACGACAACCAGGCTCTCTGGTGTTTGGCTAGCGCCATTACATGATTTGAATATATACCGTTCTATGAAGAAAATTTGAGTATACAAGGCTGAATTTACAAAAAAACATTGTCTTAATCATACAAAAACAACACAACAACTTATCTGTAGGCAGGCTGCAAGCATTATGAGCAAGAGATATGTTTTTTTTTATAGATAAGTCTTCCAAAAAAACGATGTATTTGATCCAGGAAGCCATGCTCTTTGTTTACACTGTATTGGTTGATACAAATTTTTGAATGGAAATATGAACAAACTGACCTTCACAGAAAGATTTGATATGAAAAAAAAAGATCAATTTGAAAATGATTTTACCTCTCTGTAACAACTCATAAATGAATTTTAAAATGTATTCATAATTTTCTACTTCAGTACAGACAATAGATATAATTGATTTGGTACAAGTAACATGTTTTGTTTTACATTGAAATCTGCAAAATATACAACCGGTTAAAAAACGAAAGCATGGTGTTCTTTCAGCAACAGAACGATGTTTTGTTTTAAGTCAAGCCATCTAGATATTTTGTTATGTTTACATCATATTCCATTATCATGTGTTATCTTTAATTCACTCATGAATACATAATTCTTTATATATAAAAAATCACAGTACTTAGTAAATGCCAGTACATGCTATTTACTATTGTGCCTAATTCAGAAACAAAGTTATTTGTAGCATTTAGCTAATTTGCTTATGTCAAGGACAAAAATTGACATACATTTTTTTTTGAGATGGGGACAAAGTTAGGGAGGGGGCTTAATCTCAGGCACCCACCCTGTTCCCAGGACATTTACCAAAGTGGGGAGGGGGCTTTTTTGCGAGAGGGGACTTATTTGAGGTAAAATACGGGATAACACAATTTACACTGGACAACACCTCTTTTGACTTAATAATGATAAAATCTATTAAATGATGATAATCGTGTGAACAACAACACAGCTTTATCCCCTCCCCGTGCACCAGAGTGTAGGTCTGTGAAACTGAAATAGTGATGTCATTACAATGATTCATTTAATGAATTTAAATTATAGATTTCTGCTACAAGATTTCCTATCCTCTACACAAGACTCCAAACATAATAATTTAATTGTTATATATAAAACAGATTTTAGAATGTAATGACACTACAGTTCAAAAATTAGCTTTGAAGTTATATAATAAATCAATCAGATTATCTTTTCCTGGTGTTTATCCAGTTCATTTTTGAAACAGTTTAAATCATTAGCACATACTACATAATGTCCCAATACTTTAGTCTGGATTATCAGTTGTATCAAAGTTGAGTAGAATTTCAAGATTGGTTTGATTTGGTTTATCAAAAATTAATTTCAGAATGTGCCTCTCTATGTGTAAATTATATGCATACATGCTGCAGGCAGTGTGTTGTGTATTTGCTTCATTGTGGTACAAGAGATCTGATGCTGACTTTAGAGTGCTATCTCACTGAAATACCATGACAAAGAGAAAGGCACCCATTTCATTATTCCACCCAGTCACACTATACTGACAATGGAATATCAGGCCTTGCTGCTAAGCATCGTCCATGGCCATCTAAAAGTACCAATTGTGAGGACTATGGTTTGCGTCTGTCTGTGGACACAGCCGTTAACCTCCCTTGCTTGGGCCAATGTTCAACACCAATGCCAAAAGCAAGGTATTGCCAAGTGAGGTGTTAGGAAATGACACAGAAGTTAAAAAGGGGAAAAATTACAAAGATTCCATTTTTATTTTTTGCAATTACCGGTATAGATATGTGTGCAGCAGATTTATTTTTGGCACTTTTGTGTCTCCAAGTAGAGGGCACAAAAGCGAATCCCCAATTCTGCAACTGTGTAACAGCAGGTATGTCCTTTTCTAAATCCAAGCTGCTCTGTTCGTTGTCAAGCTATTATACAGACATTATCATATCGGATGTAAATTAAACATTACATTTTGTACCGGATTCAGTGGTGTTGTTGCTCATCATTTCTATTTTCATTTGCTCTGCTTATTCCAAGTTGTTATTATCATATCGGGTAAATATTCTGATACACCTACGCTAGCAGCATCAATCCCATTAGTTTTGCATACTCATCTAGATCTACAGAGTGAATTTTGTTTTTTGCATGGGTGTGGCTTACTTCCACTATGGCATAAAACAGAGGCAGATCCTGTCTCTTGAGGCATGTGGACTGATCTCAGGGTGTATCTAATAGTGGCAACATTTTTAATTACCCTTGCTGCTTGTAACCTAATTATTTGGGTTAAAAATATATATTACTGCTAAGAAAATCAAATATTTGTATTAGTTCAGTGTAAAGATGATTTTCCTTGATCAATATGCCCAAACTTAGCAGACCATTCTTGGTCCAATGTCAGTCCTGCCAGCAGTTCTTAGGCTTATAAGATTTATCTTGATAATGAAAGTGTAACAGATGAAGCTATCACAAAAGAAAAGACCTATCAAATCACCAATATAATTTGAGATACACATAAATAACTGCCCTCATTTGGACAAATATGGAAGAATTTAAGACCATCCTATAATATATAAGTAAATTGTTGATCCAATGTTGTGTACAGCATTATTTGTTTTTACTATGATTAATGTTTACAAGGAACTATAGCGCTGATATTTAAACATACAGGTATTTCCCACAATTGAAAGCTTCATCGTTGTGTATTTTCAATCATAAAAAAAATCAAAAGTTTCTTTCCATAACGAACACAATTTCTTGTCTCGCAGTAGCGGAAGTGAAACTAAGGTGTGTTGCCTTTCCGGCGACGACGGCGGCGTCAATATTAAGTTTTTGTGTTTAATTTAGTTTCACTGGAAGTATAAGTGGAAGACCAACCACCAACCAAACTTGGACCATATATATGCATCTCGGGTAGTATATCTCGACCCATGCATCAAAGGCTGGATGCGGCCTACCTTTCATGGTCCATTGACTTTGACAGCATCTCCATCAACATGAAGCTAGTTTCTCTGATATGTTCATTTATGGTCAAAGCGGGTCACAGGCGATACATAGCCATCCGAATTCAAATGGCTTGTTTAAATTGACATTTGTATCAAAATATTTAATGTTATGTTAAATTGTTTTAAGTCTTGACTGGATGTTGATTATAAACAGATCATTGGTATGAGTTCAAGACAATGGCAAGTGTCTAGGGCTTAAATTCATGTGTTTTTCTTTTTATACACCCGTCAAATTTGACGAAGTATTATGGTATGGGGTTGGCCGTCTGGCCGGCGTAAACTTTTGTTTTTCTGGCAATCTCCTCTTACATTTTTAAACGGATCTCTTTGAAACTTGGTATACATTATAATCATGATATGTTGTTGTGTTTCCTTGAACAGAATTTTGATTCAGCAATTTTTGCAAAAGTTGTTGCCCTTTGTTCATTTCAGTATTTAATTTTTTGTCCGGCAATCTCCTCTTACATTTTTCAACGGATCTCTTTGAAACTTGGTATACATTATAATCATGATATGAAGTTGTGTCTCCCTTAAAAGAATTTTGATTCAACAATTTTTGCAAAAGTTGTTGCCCTTTGTTCATTTCAGTATTTTTTTTTTTTTTTTCTCCTACATTTTGTATAGCATGTCAGCTAATATAACCACTCTGAGAATGATGCAGGTCTTATTTCAATGTAAGAAAGTATATAACACTATATGGCATTCGTTGGGCGTATATTGTTCCGCCCCGCGATACTCTTGGTGGGTTGTTTTGCATGCGTGTACATGTATTTTTACCATATATATTTCATATCCATTTTCATTTAAGAATCATGCTCTGATTTCTTATTAATTTTAGGTTAAATTTTGCAAAATGCCAGTTGACAACAGACCTCCAGCTAAAAAGATGAAGTTCTCTCCCGGAGGAGGTAATTATAATAAAACAGAAAATGTGGACAACTTGCATTTAATGAATTAGCATTCTAAAAGATTAACTTGGTGAGGGGTTATCTGTCTCTTTGTCCCAGGCCTGGGTACACTATATTTCAAGACACTGATCAAGTATTCAACTTATCATGTCATGTATATGGATGCCTCTCTGATGCCAGATCTGTGGACGACTTCTATTTTTACTTGTTATGAATACAATAATAGTTCTATTTAGAACTACGAAGCAAGAATTTCTTGTTCTAGAATTATTATTGCGTCTATGACAAATCTTCCTTATTTATTTTTTGATTTTTGGAGTTAGGTATTGGGTCCTATCAACTTTGTAAAAGGAATATCTTTTGCACTGTGACAAATATCAAAAATGATGTCTATGACAGTGAAATAATATCACTTTTGATTCTTGTTCAGATGCAGATGATGCGACTGTAGAATTAGTGGTTGTTTTGGAACATTTTTCCTACAAATTAATTTCAGCTACCTACATATCACATAACATTTATTTAGCAAATCTGAAGACATAATTACAGAAACCAGTAAAAATGTGTTGGATAGCCCATCAGAATGACGCACAGCCTTGTTGTCAAGCATGAGCTCATAATATTATGGTATCAAAGATTCTACTACTAATTCCATCAATTTATAATGCATTTTTTTTTTTATTGTTTTAGGTATTCGTAAATGTATTAAACAAATATTTTTTCTATTGCATATCATATCATATGTATTTTACTAGTATGACAGATTTACTGAGAAAACTTAAATTGCTATTTTACAAAAATTACGCATGTTTAGACCCAATAATTTGTCCTCTATGATAAATCTTAATGCATTGCTACTATCCTTGAACTTTTTAATTCTTTGATTTGGCCTACACAGTTGTCTCATTCAAAATGTGAAGTTCAATTACATGTTATTTAGCCTTGAAAAACCAGTGAAGGAATGAGATGTCATTAGCCTAGGTGTAGTGAGTAGTTGGTCCATTACCAAACAAAAAAAGTATGTGATTAGTCTAGATGTAGTGTGTAGTTGGTCCATTACCAAACTAAATAAGGAAGCAAAATATTTCAAGTCACCAAAGTAGGAGGTGGAGGATCCTGACAGGGTAGAACGCCCAATACTAACGCTATAGAAAGTGAAAGCAACATCCAGACCCGCCCCCTATTCAACAGGAATGTGATACTACAGCTTGATCTCCACTAAATCTGGTCATCTGAAATAAAATTAAATTGAAGTATCTAAGGATAAACAAATAAAAGTGACCCATGTCTGACCCTTTGGCCAATGTCCAGTGACCCCTGACCCCTTGCCCACTGGTCAAGCCGTGAAGGCTGTTGAGTAGTCTGTAAGAGTGTTATTGTCAGATTTTTGTCCAATTATTTCGGAATCTGTTTCATTGATGACATATCAGCGATATCCATGTCTTACTCTTCAATGACTTGTTAGCTTTATTTAGATTAAAAGAAATTTTGTTTTTCTACTTTCAACATAAAATCATCAAAAGGAATATATTGTATCTACAAAGAGTAAGCAGATTTCAATACTGGTGGACACACATACACTTGGTATGTAACTTTTAAAACTAGGATCCGAGGAACAGTATGAAAAGCTTTAAATCAGATAAAACCATATTAAGCTGACAAACACTTAACATTTTAAAAGAAAGGTCCACTGAGGGTCAGTCTGAAGCTGGACTCGTGGGTCACTTTACCTTTCCTGTGATCATTGCCATTCAGGGGTTTGACCCTTGGTCAGTCTTGGTTATACCTGGGGCTGTAATGACAATTTAAACAGTTTTGACAGTTCTGGTAATATTTCACTTTTAATTAGTGGCGGATTCCTTTTAACTACTTTGCAATGGTTAGCTTCATGCAAAATTACAAATTGCAATAAATATTTTTCAACTTTTTTGAAGTAAACGTTTTTAAAATTGAAGTAACAATAAAACAAGTTAAAATGTAAATTAACATGAAATATAATTGTAAAAGACATAAGTGTAATATCAATATAGGCTCTGTACATCACTTTATTTTTGTGATGTTAGTGTTTCTTTCAATCAATTCATCCAACAATATAATCAGCAAAGAAACAATGACTTTGATATGTTCACTGTTTGATTATTTGAATCTACGATCATCTCTTCTCCCACCCTTCACAGGCTCTCCTAGGGGGAGATAGCCTCGTGCCGATTAGCACGTGTTCAATTGTGACGTCATTAAAATGTGTCAGCAAAAGTGAATGACGATATGCATACCCCACATGTGTTTTTGTTTACAAACATGGCAGACTACTGTCGGTGGAACTGTGACTGAAATGATAGTATGGGAGAAAAATAATCATCCCCTACCTTGAGGATGTAATAGAGAAATCTCCAACCCTTGGGGTGATTTTTTTGGTTGTCTTACCCTCGGCAGAGCCTCGGGTTAGACAACCAAAAAACATCACCCCTCGGGTTGATTTGTTTGAATAAAATTTGTTACCTACCTACCCACCCTAAATTTGTCCATCATGTTACAGGAAACACATATATTTGTTTGTCTGGCCTGATTTATTGTCTAATTTACATATGTAGTTCGTTTATTTTAGCTTTATGACTATGAAAAGAAATCTTTTTCACTGTTGGCATGATATACAAATTGATGTACAATAGACACTTAATCAGTACTTCAAATATCTACCAACCAGTTTACAACACTTTTCAATACCAGCAAAAATTCAATGATAAAATGGCAAATCCTCGGCCGATCCTTGATCAGTCAGAGGATCGGTTCTGACGTGATGTCAACTCAATGTTGTAAGAAGTTGTTTGAAATGATATTTCCTAATGCAAAATCAACATACGGTATCGTTTTGGCAATATCACATTAAGTATATAGGCAGTGATTAATTTTGAACTTGTTTTTTTGTCAGTATCATTGCAACTAAATACAAATTTCATTAAAGCGACTTAGTCTATCATATATTGTCTCTTTTTGCTTTTAATTCAATTTTGAAAACTGAGTACCAACTGCTCTCTTTGGTTGTTAATTTATCATTATGAAGCCTTAATTGCTCCAGTCTTGTAAGACATAAGAATCAGTAGAATCAGCTAACGTACATTGATCGTGTGTCTGAACGTCAAAACCAGATAAAGGTAGTATATATAGTTAATCATGTGAATTTGATCATTGCTGAAGACTAAGATTTTGATAAAAACCTGCCATATGATTTTCAATATTTACTATTTATCAAATTATCAGCCGAAATGTGTGAGGATACCTTACGCCAATATATCACATTAATGCTTTGTGTTATTGTTTAAAATTTGAAAGAAAATATTCTTGTATATGTTATCTACATAGTTTTCAATAGTTAGGTTTTAAATTAAGATAATGTAGGACTGTTTCTAGCCAAAGATATCCAATATCATTCTAGGGTTAATTGATAGTGCTGATAACTAATGTGAAATGTGTATAGTACTAGTTATTAGCTGACCTGGCTGTGTGTCTGACCACTTAGTGACCAGTGGTGTGGAGCTGACCAGCGGGCAGTCATGACATAGCAGAGTAATGGGGCAGAGATCAAATACTGGTGCTAATGTCTTCATAATGGTTTAATAATACATGAAATGGCGTGTTGGGGGGGGGGGCTGTAGTTATACAAAATTAAAGCCTAGTCTGTTTGATTGTAAATGTTTCTGTCAAGGTAATGGTAAAGTATATACATATAATGTTAAAATTCTGCTTATTCAGTGGTACTGGTAATAGTATAATATTGCTAACAGCAGCAGTAAAACCTCAATATAATTAGTAAAACCTCAATATAATTAATGCCCCTCGTTCTATTGGTCACCTCAACGGTAATGACCATCATCCAATCTCAAGGTCATTTTTACTTAACTATTCCTCTATACATATTCCTTAGTGTTTACAAAACCCCTTTATAATTTCTCTTGACCATTGCTGGCAGTATAATAGGCTTTACAGTAGTTTTTACAGCTTTCATAAAACCAATGATGTCGTAGTCCTCGTAGGGCAAGCCTGCAAAGACAGTTGCTTATGACAACTTTTATTTCATATTCAATAAGTTGTTTTTGCCAAAATGCTTTGCTTCAGATAATATTTTGTATTGGTTGAATCAATTCAACTTGGTCAGTGTTTTGAGGGAAAAAAATTGGTTATACATGTAATAGATACAGTGATAGCTAAATTGTGCCTTGAACCATACTGTATAGGTTTTCTTGAAATTAATATTTTAGGATTTACGAATGGGGTTCCAGTATTCCAAAAACTTCAACAAATCAGAAGAAATTTACCAATATTTTCCGCCAAACGGAAGCTGATTGAAGAATTGCGTCGTTTGGACACTGCTATTGTGATTGGAGAGACAGGAAGTGGGAAGACAACTCAGCTTCCACAGGTAAGGTTGAGGGTCATGACAATAAGCTAACTGCAAAAGTAGGTTTCAATTCAATTGGTAAAACTTGACATTTTGGCCACAGATCACCTTCCACAGGTATAAGGGTTAGGTAGGGTTAGATTTGATGGTTGTGACAGTAGACAGAAAACTCATGATCACCTTCCACAGGTACAAGGGTAATAAGGTAAGGTTAGATTTGATGGTTCTGACAGTGAGCAGAAAACTCATGATCACCTTCCACAGGTACGCAGGTTAGGTAGGGTGAGATTTTATGGTTCTGACAGTGAACAGAAAACTCACCTTCCACAGGTACGAGGGTTAGGTAGGGTTAGATTTGATGGTTCTGACAGTGAGCAGAAAACTCAGCTTCCCCAGGTACGAGGGTTAGGTAGGGTTAGATTTGTTGGTTGTGACAGTAGACAGAAAAATCATGATCACCTTCCACAGGTATGAGGGTTAGGTAGGGTTAGATTTGATGGTTCTGACAGTGAGCAGAAAACTCACCTTCCACAGGTACGAGGGTTAGGTTGGGTTAGATTTGATGGTTGTGACAGTGAGCAGAAAACTCACCTTCCACAGGTACGAGGGTTAGGTAGGGTTAGATTTGATGGTTGTGACAGTGAGCAGAAAACTCATGATCACCTTCCACAGGTAGGAGGGTTAGGTAGGGTGAGATTTTATGGTTCTGACAGTGAGCAGAAAACTCAGCTTCCACAGGTACGAGGGTTAGGTAGGGTTAGATTTGACAGTGAGCAGAAAACTCACCTTCCGCAGCAAATGTGAGGCTATATCATTTCCTTTAGCATTATGGGTATTTTTTCTTCAAAATTTACCTCTTTGCCTTGATAAAATTGGCTCATGTTATTTCTTTTCATTTTATGATGTTAAGTTATCTTAAAGTGGCTTTGTAAAAAATATTGAAACGAACAAAAATGTGATTTATACTGTTTTGTTTAATGACTGATAACTTTTGTCATTTACAGTACATTTTTGAAGAGAGACTTCACAAAAACATGATCATCGCTATAACTCAGGTAAAGTATTTCAAGTGTGATTTACGTACATGTTTTGTTGTAATGCATTAAAAATGGGTATGCATACACCTTTAATTGTATAGCATGCCAACTATATAATATTATAAAGTACCTAGTCATATTTTCATTTCGATATGCCTCAAAATTAATCCCATCACAACAGACTGCAAGCTATAACCAATGGTATATTGTTTCTATGTGTATTATAGGATGGGTATATTTTCAAATTGAAGGGTTTTCCATCTTTTACCTTGCCTCAACATACATGCATACAGTCAGTATTTGTCATCCATAACAATACCTTTTATCTTTTCTACTAATCAAATGGGTTGCATATATAGCTTAACCCTTTCACCCCTATGTAACTTTAGTAGACTCTACCATGCTTTGATATGGATGAGTCCATTATGGTCTACAGTGGTGAAAGGGTTAAAAGATGTTAGTTGCTGGACTAACAGCTGTATATTATAGGCCAAGTATAAGCCCGCAAAGCATGTTTTGTAGCTCTTACCTTACTTTGTGGCCATTTTAATACAAGCTCTCAAAATATTGCTGAAAATCAGTGGAACTATGTTTAATTGTCATTTCCTCATTTGATTTTGCCTTTTCAAACTTATTGTTTGCTGTCTATAAAAATTATGTTGAAATACTCTGTTTCAGTTATTTCTTTTGTTTGTATACGTCAGAGGAGACAATCTCATATGTAGGAAGGATATGTAACTATTGATATGAAGGAAAGATATGTAGCCCTTGTATTCATTCTACCATATTTGATGTTACACATGTATAATGTTTTTCAGCCCAGACGAGTTGCAGCTATCACAGTTGCTCAAAGGGTGGCTCAGGAGAGAGGCAGCGAACCAGGGCACGTGGTAGGTACACAGGTTTAACATCTGATGCTTCTTACTGACTACACTACATGGAAGATCACTTAACTCATTCACACCGGAAGACACATTTGAACTCCTCCAATTCAAAGGTTGGAATAGTTAATTGTGAAATTTTAGGGGTGAATTATTTAATTTCTCTTAAGTGTAAACCACAGGACAACTGGAGTAATATTTTTTGGTTACACCCTCAGCAAAAAGGTAGCAGGTCACCTGCAGATAAGATAGGTTTCTCTAGGTACTCCAGTGTCCTCCCGCATTAAGATCCCCTGCACAATATCATGCAGGACAATGCTTGGTCGCCAATTTAATGGGGGTAATTATTTTTTCAATGCCTCCGCTAGGAGTCGAACACGGGACCTATGGCCTACTACGCTCTGCCGAATGAGCTAAAGAGAGATTCTCCCTAGCAGTTGGTAGGAAGCAGCTAGTATTTCACCAGGGTGACATACCATGTTGATGAAACTTGTTTCATAATTGTTTTAAAAAAAATTAAATTAAATTTCAAAATAATACTTAAAAAAACCCCATATCAGAGTAAGTTCATTATTGTTGTAAAAGAAAGAAAGTTCAATTTGAAAAACATATATACAAAAAAATAGCAGAGTAGTTGAAAATGTAATGAAAATATGAACTTTGTTTATTTTACAACAATTACGAAGCAAATTTATCAGCTTATATCAATCACTTTTGGTGACCTTGATGGATGCACACAGGTTTTTTTCTTTTTGGAGTAAACCAGAATAACCAGAGTAAACCTGATGTGGTCAGGTAGGTGACCAAATACCTTTTAACATACAATCAGGGAATCACATCCTGTTCCCTCTTGGTGAAAGGCGAGTGTGCTGTCCCCTGCGCTGTTCTTTGCGCCACCCGACCACCCTAAGGTGCATGCCTACCTTAGGACTACAGTACCTGAGTGCTGCACAACCATAGTCATATTACCAAAGACTGGAGAACAAGCATCCTAACAACGTTATTGCCATACATTTATTATTTAGTGTGTTACTGGTTTTATATGGTATTAATTGGGTATGTGAGGATTGTATCTGGACATGGGAACCTACATTTTCTAAATTCAAATGAAAATAGAAATGATGAGCAACAACACCACTGACTCTGGTACAAAATGTAAGGTTAGATTTACATCCTATGTGCTGAAATGTTTCGGCCAAAGGGAGGCCCTCTTCAGAGCACAGTTACATGATGTGTGCAACTATGGTACAGGGACGTTGGGTCTCCATCCCCCAGTTGTTACTAATTGTTTTCTAAATTCAGTTGAATTTTACTACATGACAAAAATCTGCACAAATTGGATTTAAATACAGGAAGAATTTCAATGTAGGAACAGTTGTATATGTCAATGTGAATTTCTTTTATCACCAGGTGGGTCATTGTGTGCGATTTGAAGATATGACAAGTGAAAAGACAAGAATCAAGTACATGACAGATGGAATGTTACTACGGGAGGCCATCTTGGACCCACTGCTGAAGAGGCTAGTAGATTTTACTTCCAGACAGTAGAAGTTAAACAGAAATGAACTGTATTCCTGAATTTGTTTCAGAAATCAATTTATCCAAATCGATGAGGAATTTCACTGTAAACGATTTGGTGTTTGAACACAATGAACATGCACAAATAAAACCATGAAAATTAATAACTAAAGTGATATGTGTAAATATCATCAAATATTTCGGTGAATGTGTTCATGATTTTGTCTTTGAATTAGTGTTACTTTCTTCAGTAGTACAGATGTACAGACTGAATGTTCATTGGATAAAAAGATGTACAGTGAGACGTGACATAACTGACAGCTGCCTTATCTGACACCTGACTTTTCTGACACCTGACTTATTGAAACCTTACTTTTACCTTCATGTAGCATCAATGACACCTGACTTAACTGACACCTGACTTCACTGACACTTTACTGACACCTGACTTCACTGAAACCTGACTTCACTGACACTTCACTGACACCTGACTTCACTGACACTTCACTGACACCTGACTTTACTGACACCTGACTTCACTGACACCTGACTTCACTGATACTTCACTGACACCTGACTTCACTGAAACCTGGCTTCACTGACACTTGATGTAACTGAACCCTTATTTTTCTGGCACCTGACTTAAAGAACATTCTGTAATATCTTACATGATTGTAATGCATCTAAAGACTGGCCTCTGATCCTAAACTCTGACTTTACCGACATTCAACTTTAAAGGACATAAACCTTTCTGATCAAAATGACTGTAACACCACACATGAGTTAGAACTCTAGTTTTCTGGAAAGAGGGGTACTTACAGGTCGAAAAATCTTTAACTAGTCCTTTGTGATTCTATAGCCAAGTGTTCAGAGGAGAAATTGTCTATTGTAAGTATTTCTTGGTGATTCTAGCACAATACTCAAAATAGGAATTGTCATTGTAGGTACTCCTTCGTAATCCTGGATGAGGCTCATGAGAGGACTATACATACAGATGTGTTATTTGGTGTGGTCAAACAGGCACAGAAGAGGAGGAAGCTGAGAAACCTTCTCCCACTTAAGGTAGGTATAGGGCTCCACCATGTCCACCATGGCCAGTGGGGTAGGGATGAGGGCTGTTTGAGTCAAGGTGAAACCCAGGGGAGTAACAATATGTGATTTAAAACAGAAAAGTAAACTAAGAATTCATCCTACATCTGTAAACCCCCACTTTACAGAGTCTCAGAAGAATCTTTTAAACAATGGGCCCGATATGAATGACTACCATTTGATTTCATTCTGGCATTTTTACAGAAAACATTTAGTGTCGACTAAGATATAAAACTACTATCAATTTGCCCTTATTTTATCTGTATGTACTAGATCAATTGTATTGTATTTTTGATTGTTCTATCCCCAGATCATAATTATGTCAGCCACCATGGATGTTGACCACTTCTCACAGTTCTTCAACAAAGCCCCAGTCCTTTATTTGGAGGGACGACAGTTTCCAGTTCAGGTATGTAGACCCCAAGTTACACCTGGAGCAACAAAAGGTCCAAGTATAGGTATGAAGGTCCCAGTCCAGTTATGTAGTCCCCAATGTTATACCTGAAGGGACAAAATGTCCAAATACAGGTATGAAGGTCCCAGTCCAGGTATGTTGTCCCCAATGTTATACCTGAATAGACAAAAGGTCCAAGTACAGGTATGATGGTCCCAGTCCAGGTATGTTGTCCCCAATGTTATACCTGAAGAGACAAAAGGTCCAAGTACAGGTATGATGGTCCCAGTCCAGGTAAGTAGTCCCCAATGTTATACCTGAAGGGCCAAAAGGTCCAAGTACAGGTATGAAGGTCCCAGTCCAGGTATGTTGTCCCCAATGTTATACCTGGAGGGACAAAATGTCCAAGTACAGGTATGAAGGTCCCAGTCCAGGTATGTTGTCCCCAATGTTATACCTGGAGGGACAAAATGTCCAAGTACANGACGAAAGGTCCAAGTATAGGTATGAAGGTCCCAGTCCAGGTATGTAGTCCCCAATGTTATACCTGAAGGGACAAAAGGTCCAAGTACAGGTATGAAGGTCCCAGTCCAGGTATGTTGTCCCCAATGTTACACCTGGAGGGACAACAGTTCCTATTACAGGTACGGTATGTAGGTCCCTGTCCAGGTATGTTGCCCCCAATGTTACACCTGGAGGGATAACAGTTTCTAGTACAGGTATGTAGGTCCAAGTCCAGGTATGTAGGTCCCAGTCCAAGAATGTAGGCCCCAATTTTACACCTGGAGGGACAACAATGTCAAGTACAGGTATGTGGGTCCCAATGTTACATGCAGAGGTACCAGTAAAGGTATTAAAACAGGGGTGATGAACTATCAAATGACTTGTTGTTACAGGTGTACTACAGTAGAGAGCCTCAGTCAGACTACGTGTTTGCAGCTGTTGTAGCCTTATTTCAGATCCACAGGGAGGAACCAGCTGAGTAAGTTTCATTGTTTATTTATTCTACAATATTTTGTGGCAAAGACATAGAAAGTCTATTAAAACAAACTTCATGTTATAGTATAATTTTATATAAAATGACAATACAACCAACATCAACTTCTTTTATGTAAAACTATATTTGAGGTGAAAGATATTATTGAAAGTTTTCCTGTGTGATCAGCTTAAATCTACAAGGACTGTATAATTATTTTACAGCCAAGATGTACTGATTTTCCTGACTGGCCAGGAGGAGATTGATTCAGTCGTACGCTCTATACATGAGATAGCTAAAGGGATGGTTGGGGACGCTCCTCCCCTTGTTGTGTGGCCCCTATACGCCGCTCTCCCATCACACCTTCAACTCAAAGCCTTTAATCCAGCTCCTAAGGTAACAAATAGCTTCAACACAGGCTTTGAATTAACTGATGGTTTCAACACAGCTCCTAATATATTTGATAGCATCAGCCCAGCCTATAATGTAGCTGATGGCATCAACCCAGATCCTAAAATAATTGATGCCTGCAACCCTGTATTTTATGGAACTGATGACTTCCACATTAAACATAAATATGTACATATCTGCCTTTTAGACTACCATGAGTGAAGTATGTCTTTCTTGTAATGTTAAGGTAATCACTACTTAATTTGTTAATGCAGAATTAAAACTGTCGTCACTAGTGAGGACATGTACCTAGTTATGTAAATACAGGTATCGGTAAAATTTCACTTTCACAATACATTAAAACCTCAATATAAAACTTGATCGGGGCTTGTTTATGAAAAGTAAAACTCCATATAATGCCGTTTGTTTTGAATGTAGTGTCGGTATAACAAGATTTTACTGTAGGTGAATTGCTAAGTAAACATGAAAGCACACCTCCTCAGAGTAAGACATCAGTCCTCTACTAGTGGAGCAGTAGCGGTAATCTTTATGATGTAGAATTCACTTTTGACGAATGTGATGATTGCACTTGGTTCTAGGGTACGCGGAAGGTCATTGTGGCCACCAATATAGCAGAGACGTCCATCACCATACACGGTATCAGCTTTGTTATTGACACCGGAGTAGTCAAAGCCAAGTAAGTTACGAATCATTGTTTGTAAAAAGGTTTCACCATTTACAGTCATTGTGTCATCAATGACTCGTAATAAGTAATGTTTCATTGATTTATTTTCTCAGATATTGAACTCCAGAACATGAACAAACTAAGAAAACAGTTTCAAAAATGTACCTCCTGTTAACGGATATGTATACATTACATATATATATACTATATGAGATTATACATGATGTATTGTGATAACGAAAACAGAAGGAATTTTTTTTCTTGTAAACTGAAACACCAATACATTTGTTAGATCGTACTGACCCACAGTGGTTTGCTAAGCCTATTTAATGTATTGACTTTGTTTGAATTAGCCAATGAATAATGGGGGGAAAAAATGAAATTGTACTGATGAGATACTGCCATTGGAAGTACATGTATTATCTTTAACAATGCTTTACAAAATGTTTTTGACATGTCAGCTGCATGATCTTTACCTTTGAGCTGAGGGTTGGGAAGGAAGTAGGATCGGTACGATGTGGAAGGTTGAGAGAATAGTGAGAAGGCCATAGTGATGGAAGAGTAGGAAAGTGTATACTGATGATTTGTTTTGTTCGTTTGTGGTTTAACTTCCTCGCAACAGCTAGAGTCATTTGAGGATAGATGCCTAGGGAGACAACGCCAGATAGAGAAAGTAGATATAAAAGAAAGAAAGTAAACAGGAAAGATAGGAAATGAAAAATATCCCAAGTGTTCTAATGAGGGGCAGCAGATCATTTTTGTCTTTTTTTCATGTTCTCTGAATGAAAGATGCAGAAGATAGAGTTGATACTGAGGAAGGGGTAGGGAGGTAAGAGTGAGGAAGTCAGGTTCCGAGAGGAAATGCGATAGTGATCAAGATTAAGATGAGTTCATGATGAAGAGTAAGAGGGAGATAACTATCAGAGCTTTACATTTGTGTTACAGAATCTTCACCCCTCGCAGTGGGCTGGACCTTCTGAAGGTGGTGAAGTTGTCCAAGGCTCAGGCCCTACAGAGGTCAGGCAGGGCTGGCCGTGAGGCTGCAGGCACATGTTACCGACTCTATACCGAGGAGGAGTTCCAGCACTTCCCAGATAATACCATTCCAGAAATACAGAGGTTAGTTATAGCACCATTCCAGAAATACAGAGGTTAGTTATAGCACCGTTCCAGAAATACTGAGGTCAGTTATAGCACCATTACATATTTACAGAGGTCAGTTAAAGCACCATTACATATATACAGAGGTCAGATATAGCACCATTACATATATACAGAGGTCAGTTATAGCACCATTACATAAATACAGAGGTCAGTTATAGCACCATTCCAGAAATACAGAGGTTAGTTATAGCACCGTTCCAGAAATACTGAGGTCAGTTATAGCACCATACATATTTACAGAGGTCAGTTAAAGCACCATTACATAAATACAGAGGTCAGATATAGCACCATTACATATATACAGAGGTCAGTTATAGCACCATGACAGAAATACAGAGGTTAGTTATAGCACCATGACAGAAATACTGAGGTTAGTTATAGCACCATGACAGAAATACAGAGGTCAGTTATAGCACTATTACATATATACAGAGGTCAGTTATAGCACCATGACAGAAATACAGAGGTCAGTTATAGCACCATGACAGAAATACAGAGGTTAGGTATAGCACCATGACAGAAATACAGAGGTCAGTTATAGCACCATTCCAGAAATACAGAGGTCAGTTATAGCACCATGACAGAAATACAGAGGTTAGTTATAGCACCATGACAGAAATACAGAGGTTACTTATAGCACCATGACAGAAATACTGAGGTGAATTTACAATTAGGAAACATTTTATATCAACTTCGAGTGATCACTATTGTAGGCCTGGTACAAGGGGTCTTAATTCACGAAGGAACCAGAGTACCCAGAGAAAACCCAAGTGGTTAGGCAGTTGAACACATAATTTGTTCATGTGCTATCAGGGAGTAGAGCCCTGGACAGCTTGATGAAAGGTAGTGTGCTATCCACTACACCATCTATCCACTGCACCATCTATCCACCTCAGTAGATGCTGAGTCATACCTGTGTACAGGTGTAACGTTGACAGTCTTTGTTTACAGGTGTAACTTGTCCAGTGTGGCCCTGCAGCTCCTGGCCATGGGAATCACAGACATCGTCAATTTCGACTTTATGGATAAACCCAGCACAGAGGTAAGGAATTCATTCCATCGTATATTCAATCCTGCTACAAGAGTTTAACAGGTCTATTTCCAGAGTCCTATGTGTAAAACAGATAGTTCATCTAGTTGAATTGGAAACATTTTGATATTACAAAGTAACCTTTACATCAGAAATATTGGCTGTGCTTTGAAGGAGATCAGATCATGGTAGAATTTGTTTTTCTCTTGCAGTCCCTCATAGGTGCAGTGCACCAACTCCACACACTGGGAGCTGTTATTAAGGAGAACACCATCAAGGTACAGCTTTAATTACCTGTGTATACTGAACCCTGCATAATCAGGAAACCTGTATCAATTTAACTTTTGTAACCAGGAACCTGTGCATTATGTATAGAATGCATAGTGACATTTGGTTTCGACAGGTTTCACTGTATTAAAAGCCATCAACAGAGATCTGATATAAATGCAAAGATATTGATAAATGTTAAGCATGATTATGTTGTCAAATTAGAAAAATCTCAAACCTGCTTTTAGAAAATTAATTGCGTATTAGATAGATTTCAATGTATAGTCAAATATCATTATGCCAAAGTTGTTAGCCAAGAAAAACTTTCGAGTTCAAGACCGGTATCTAGCATAGTGAACATGTCCCTATAAAGACACATCTGTTTAGACTTATTTGTATTACATTTTTATTTCAGTTGACAGCTACTGGGAAGAGGATGGCAGCTTTCCCTCTGGACCCAAAGTTGTCCAAGACGCTCCTCATAGCCTTGGAGCTCCATTGTCTGTATGTTACTTTGTTATTTTCCCCGTCAAATTTTACAGATTGGAAAGAAATTATTTTATTGATGGTTCTTCTTCTGGATCTTCATATTTTAATAGAATTTTGTCTGGATGACAGCTTATAACCATTAGAGTTATGTTTTTGAAACTTGAAAATCAGAGTTTCAGTCTCAATACATACATGTACAGTCGTCATATAAATTAGACTTTTATGTCAAGGTGAAATGAAAAAATGAATGTGTAAATGCCAAATTTTCTATGATTGTCCAGACAGTACCTCTCAAGCTGTTAGAGACTTCTTGATGACAATTGAAATGTGACTGTATCATCCACATAAGTTGTGCGATGTAACATATTTATACCACTGTTTCCATTATACAAATCACGTGATCTTTTATCGGGAAACTTTTGACAAGTAAATTTTATGCCTACTCCAGCCCAGTGTTAATTTCTCCCGTCACATTTGATTACTTTGCATGTGATTTTGTTTGCTAATAATTATAATAATAATAATTCAAGGTTCTTATATACCACTTTATCACAACCTAGTTCGAAGGTTGTCTCAAAAGCGGTTCACAAATTATTATCCGTGGTTATAGGGCCTTTGCAACCAGCCAATATCTTTATCAACTCCTTGGGGAGCATACAGCCGGCGCTGCCATTTCGGCGCTCACCGCTAGCATTGAACAATTCGAGCACTGCCCAACCACGTACTCATTTACAGCTGAGTAGACTGGAACAAGCGGAGTAAAGTATCCTGCTCAAAGATACAACGCAGTGCCTTGCCATGACTCAAACCCGCAACCCTTCAGTAACGAGCCGGCGTCCTACCACTAGACTACCTTGCCTCCTATAATGTTTTCGCTGTAATGATCAATTTGTCCTCATGACGGCGTGGCATAAAAACCAGAAAATTAAACAACAGGAAACGTCCTGGAAGACAGTATTTCTTTAGAAGATATTTAATAGAGCTGAAATGTGAGAAATGAAAACAGGAAAACTTAATTAGACAATGCCAGACTGACATTGTTCTTTGCTGGCTTTGTAGCATTGCTGGTATTGTATGTTGTGATGATTTTAGGATGTAGAGGACATTCTTTCATCACCAGTACCTCTGTAGATTTGAATCATTCTTTATTTCAAACATGCACCTTTATATTTATATTTCCAGAGAGGAAGTTCTTACAATAGTGTCCATGCTGTCTGTTGATTCTGTGTTGTTTACACCACAGAGAAAAGTAAGTACCAGCTCATCAGCAGGTCTACATCCTCGATATCCAGGGGTTACGCTCACTTTCGCTCTCTACACCCCTGGAATATGTCATATAGCAAAATTTCATTTTCGCAAAAAGAGATAATAATATGAGAGTAATTGCATTCTTATTGAAATTTCCATGAAAAAGATTTGTACAATATGATATTTTCTATCGAACCAATAATCATCAAACTTGAAAACGAATTACAGCTAGATTGCATCTCAGTTTGTAAAGAGTTTGATGGTGGTAAAATTCTCCGATATGACACAGTCAACACGTAACTTAGTAGTTTACATGTTAGTTGGCTTAACAATATAATGGTAGCACCCATGGTTTATATGTAGCCATTGAACTTAAAAAGAATAAGGAAAAAGAAAAAAAGGGTAAGTTTGATTACCTGTTATTTGATTTGATTTTTCTCATTCAGTGGGTGTCACTAAATTCAGTAAGTTGCTTACTAGGCAACATGAAAAAGAATCATGTACATTGGCTGCTATAGCTGAAGGTCAAATGTCAAGGTCACTTGGCCAAAGTTGTCGTTGGGCTTTACTGTTGCACCAAATTGAGGACATCACCATTTTATATAAAAAAAATAGTCATTGATTGAGGAGATGGTAAAGGAGTGCATAGAAACTGATTATCAAAGGAATGTTTTCATGTGAAGCGTAGTTCAAACACAAGGACTGCGAAATGTTTGTAAGCTATATCACATCAAAGTGATAATTTATTTGTCAACCTTAGGTATATATGGAAAGTTTGTAGAAGGGAGTGAACTCTTGGTATACTTTGTCGATTTTAGAGAGAAGAGGCCTTAGCTGTCCGTCAGAAGTTTGTGTCCAGTGACGGTGACCACATCACACTCCTAAACATCTACAAAGCATATAAAGGGGTCAAAGGCAATAAGGTAAGGTCAAAGGTCATCATAACTGGCTTATGAATGGGTGAAAACAAAATAAAGTAAGTTCACTTTGACAGCACAAATTTGTTATTATTAAATACTACATTTTCTGTTCTGTATATTGAGAAATTGTCACCCCTGTTTTATTTAAGCCCTTTCTAATCTTGTACATTGTAATGATATACCAAATTGGCAAGTTTATAAATAATTATGATCCTCTGGTATCCTTCGGTATAAATAAATGACTTTTTCATTTTCGTAAAAAAAAAATATGGTGTTTCATCATGAAGTAAAATTTATGATACACCAATATGTACCAAATTACACAAAAATCATGTTTCTGACTGTTGACAGGAATGGTGTCATGAAAACTTCATTAATGGCCGCAATATGTCAAAGGCAATGGATGTCCGAAAGCAGCTACGCCAGATCTGTGATAGTCAGACCTTAGCGGTCAAATCATGTGGACAGGACACCAGTATAATCAGGTAAAGATCTGTGATCACCAGACCATGGCGATCAAATCATGTGGACATGACACTAGTATAATCAGGTAAAGATCTGTGATAGTCAGACCTTAGCAGTCAAATCATGTGGACAGGACACCAGTATAATCAGGTAAAGATCTGTGATCACCAGACCATGACAGTCAAATCTTGTGGATAGGACACCAGTATAATCAGGTAAAGATCTGTGATCACCAGACCATGACAGTCAAATCTTGTGGATAGGACACCAGTATAATCAGGTAAAGATCTGTGATCACCAGACCATGGTGGTCAAATGATGTGGTCAGGACACCAGTATAATCAGGTAAAGATCTGTGATAGTCAGACCATGGTGGTCAAACCATGTGTACCAGCTTAATCAGGTAAAGATCTGTGATAGTCAGACCATGGCTGTCAAATCCTGTGGTAAGAATACCAGTCTAATCAGGTAAAGATCTTTGATCGTTAGACTATGGTTGTGAAATTGTGTGAGCAGGACAATGGTTTAATCAGGTAAAGATCTGTGATGGTCTGACTACGGCTATAAATCATTGTCAGGAAATACCTTCGTTTCTCTCTATCGATTTGGTCTACAGTGACACTATCTATTTTTTCCATGCCTTTATATGTTGTTTCAATTTGTTTCATCGTTTACCAAAGATGTTATCTATGATTTCAATGGTTGCAGGAGATGTTTGGCAGCAGGCCTCTTTATGAATGCTGCAGAACTGCAAAGGGAAGGAGATGTCTACATTTCAGTAAGTTATTCTCAAGCTATTTGGAGGTTGTTTTTTTTTAAATGTTAAATCAAATTCTTTAATTTATACTTGCATAGCAAAATTTTTATATGATTAAGCACCAACAAGGTAATACAAAAATTTAGCTAAGGCATTGAAGCTTGTGTATATTACTTTCGTTCAAAGTTGACTTGTTGTTTTATCTTATGTAAAAATACTTTGTGTATTTTCTGTACATGGTTTAGTTTGGTTTGGTATTGTTTAATGTCCTATCAACGGCTATGGTCATTTAAGGACAGCCTCCCCTGCGTACAAAATACATGCGTGTAGTGTATGCATGTGTGTTTTGGGAGGCTGTGATATGTTCGTGTTCATCTCCTTGTGATAGCAGCCTCCCCTGCATGCAAGATGCATGCGTGTGGTGTATGAGTGTGTGTTTTGGGAGGCTGCGATATGTTCGTGTTCATCTCCTTGTGATAGCACGGAACTGATGCCGACTTTATAATGCTACCTAACTAAAGCATTATGTGACATATTACAATAAATTGTTCTGTCTCTTTTCAAGATGTTTTCAAGATTCATACAATATTTTTTCCTTACTTTCAAAGTTAACAACACGAGAGCCTGTTCATATTCATCCATCATCAGCATTGTTTAGATGTAAACCTGCTTGTGTTGTTTACAACGAGCTTGTCAAAACATCCAAGTGTTACATGAGGTGAGTCTGAAGTATTCTATTTTGGGTTACAGTATAACTTGTCTGTACTGATCCACTGTACAATCTAACAACCTGTATAAACAGAACCATCAACTAAGGTCAGTCGTATACATTTATTGGTAACAGATCATGTGTAAGTCTGTTCTACTATGTACAGAAATGTTTTGATCATTTTTGGCCAAGTTAAGTGTACATGCATTTTTAAATACGAGTTAGATGTCACGGGTCCTCGTTTAATTGTTGAAATTATTTGGTGTTCTACAGATCTCTTAAAAAGATAGATTCTGATAGGTTGTAATTGCTTTATGCATTTATCTGTCCGAAATAGTGTCTGGGATATGCGGGAACATTTTGTTTAACTTTATAAATGGGCATATAAGAAACAATAAAAGGTCGGAGAATGTTGGTATTTAAGGAGAGAACCAGAACTTGCCGATACATACATTTCTATGAATCTGTTATTTCCTAACCAACTGATCTGGACCTATGTATGTTGTACAAGTTTGTTTCATACAAATGCAGTTATAGTATGAGGAATTATTAACCCTTTCACCCCTATGTAACCTTAGTAGACTCTACCATGCACTGATATGGATAAGTCAATTATGGTCTACAGTGGTGAAAGGGTTGTGAATTGTTTTCTTTTCTTTTCTGGCATATACGTTGTTATGGAACCCAAGAAGTTTTACCTTTGGTGTTTTCATTACTTACAGAGACCTCAGTGTCGTTGACCCCGACTGGCTTTACGAGGCAGCTCCTGCATATTTCAAACGGAAAAAGCCATCAAAAAAATGAATTTTCACTTTTGGAACATAAAATAACATATCTCTCCAGATGATTCTTCAGGAATACCAAATGTTTCTTTGGTAAATATAGTGTTTGTGAACAAAACAGGACAAGTTCAAAGGTCTTTCATGCCAGGAGGAGAAGCATATCTCTCTGAATCTGTTTTTTCCATGAAGGAGAAACATGGCTGTTTTTTCCATCAAGGAAATAAATAAATCTCTTTTATCTAGAAAGGACAGACAACTCAGGATTTGTATTATTCCATAAGAAGTGGTTGGACTTTAAGTGTTTTATGGAGAAATGAAAGGAAGGAAATCAGGACTCTTCAACTCTGTTATTCAGTAAGGAGAGGAAAGACTCTTGGTCTGTTTTATTCTGCAAAAGGTGACTGGATCCTAGGTCGATGTTATAAAAGCAAGGAGAAGCAGGACTTGGATGTGGGTTGATCCAGCAAGGGGAGGCCAACATTTTATCAGACATCATCCAACACACAGAGAGGCAAGACTCTAGGTCTGTGTTATCTGGCAAGGAATAGGGCGGCTATTTAATGTACATGTGGCAGTTATGTTAAACAAGGCAGCACCGACTGTAGAAACACAACTGTATTTAAATAGTAAGAAGTTGCTATTGTGAAGGCCTTCGATGATTTTGATCTGAAGGTTAAACTGGACACATGTAAATATAGCCTACCCGGTAAAAAGTCTTTGCAGGTTTATCCAATTTGAGGGTGGTTTTTTTCTGTATCTTTACAATATTCCCGTGATTAACAATTGTTATTGATTTTTTTGTTACATTATAAATTAATGACCGGTGTTACGTGACCCACAACAGGAAATTTGAATTTAGTCTATAAGTTATCACTGAAGAGGGTCACGAAATAAATGCATGTTGTTACACCCCAGGTATATTAAATTAAACTTCTTGTAAGAAAACAATATGTATAGTTTGTATGCATCACAATACTTTCATTATGATATGAGTGTTGTTTTATATGAAAAAATGTTACATTTTCAGATATACAATATATATTTAGGTATGATGAATGGGCATGTCAATATTGCAAAGATAAATATTATACACTAATCCAGAATATTTTGAAAATGAATGAGTGAGAGATAGAATGAAAAAGATGTATTTATGATTAATGAAAGTTACTTTTCAGTGAAAATGACAGAATTAAATACAGAATTTTTGTTATCATTAATGGTTATATTTTTGACAACTTACGACTGTATAATAATAAAACTCCTTTAATGCAAATTAATGTCTGTTCTTCTTTATTTTTCATACCTATATATGGTTTCGGATTTCTGTTATAATGTCTGTAGGTAAAGTTTATAGAAGTGAAACTGTCAACTGCAGTCTTGATCTGTTGACTGACATCTGAACTGTTGATAGCTCTCTGGAATTGTCAACTAATCTCTACTGCTTTCTGGGACTATTGGCTGATCTCCGCAACATCAAATGCTCTTTTCAAGTGTGACTGACCTCTGGACCTATTGACTGATCTCTGGAGCTGTTGACTGATCTCTTGAACAGTTGACTGATCTCTGGAACTAAGGACCGATTTCTGGACCTGTTGACCGACCTCTGGACCTGTTGACGGACCTCTGGAACTTTTGGCTGACCTCTAAACCTGTTAACTGATCTCTGGACCTGTTGACCGACCTCTGGGACTGTTGACTGACCTCTGGAACTATTGGCTGACCTCTGGAACTGTTGACTGCTTTCTGGACCTGTTGACTGATCTCTAAACTTGTTGGCTGATCTCTAAACTTGTTGGCTGATCTCTGGACCTGTTGACTGATCTCTGGAACTGTTGACTGATCTCTAAACCTGTTGAATGGTCTCTTGATCCGTTGACCGACCTCTGGAACTGCTGTTGACTGATCTCTGGACCTGTTGACTGATCTCTAAACTTGTTGACCAACCTCTGGACCTGTTGACTGATCTCTGGACCTGTTGACCGACCTCTGGATCTGTTGACCGACCTCTGAAACTATTGACTGACCTCTGGAACTATTGACTGACCTCTGGAACTGTTGACCGACCTCTGGAACTGTTGACCGACCTCTGGAACTGTTGACTGACCTCTTGAACTGTTGACCAACTTCTGGAAATGTTGACCGATCTCTGGAACCGTTGACTGACCTCTGGAACTATTGACCGACCTCTGGAACTATTGACCGACTTCTAGACCTGTCGGCAGCACTTTATAATAGTCAACTACTCTGTAAACTTTAAACAACTCCTTTGAAAAGTCAACTTATCTCTAGAACTGTCGACAGCACTGGAATATTCAAATACTTTCTAGAACTATCTGCAGCATTATGAATAGTTTACTACTCTCTAGAGCTGTTGACTTCACTATGGATAAGTCAACTACTTATCAGCAGCATTTTGGAAGAGTCAACAACTCTTGTAGATCACCGACTGCTCTCAAGAATCCTCGATAACCTTTAAATATCAACTACGGTCTACAACTATTGAAAAATCTGCTGATTAATCAATAATTACTAGAGTTTTATATTCAATTGTTTAAACACTTACTCATTTTCCTGTACAATTATGAGTGCAAGTAACATGACCAGTTTGTCTAAGGATGTCGAGGAGATGTTTTGTTCAAACCTCACGAAAAAAAATCCTTTGTGTTAACCCTCGTTAGATAAGGGTTTAAAGTTTGTATTTTGGTCTGTTTGGACTAAGTTCTGCAGCTGGGGTCAAAACGTCATGTTATTATGTGCCTTACTGAGTAAAGTATCATGCATTACATTTTTGTGACCTTGTCCTCTGTGACCTCAGTCAAGCTTTTGCATTAAGGTCACTTATATATACCAGGTCCTGCAGCCAAGGCCACACAACTTAACATGCTTATGAACAGCATGCAACATGACATTTTTGTAATTTTGACCTTTGACCTTTACCTTTGTGATAGGTCATTAGTCACATTCACTACACCAATTTACGGAAAAATAAAATTCAACATTTCGTAAAAATAATAAAAACAACACCAATATTGGTACATTAATGTTTAATACAATACACACTGGTTGGCATGTTTCAATTTGATAAAATAATAAGTATACATTGTCATTGTGACTTTCAGAACTTAATAAAAAAAACCTCAAAATTAAAGTCTCGGAGAAATATGTCAAAAGACTAGAAATTTTCATTTCAGTTGTGAGCATGTCATAAGTTTTTATCAAGATGGTAAGCTGACTATAAGCTAAACTTTACACGACACTTTTAATAGCAATCTCTTGATGTCTGTGATTTGGTGGATAAGTATCAGTCAGGTTGCAGTATCGTAAATAAATCACAATTGTGTTCAACTAAATATTGCTGGAGACTGAAATGAAAAAATTCCCAATATTTACCGATATTATATGCGAACCATTGACTGCCATGCCTATCTTTCCCTCAGCTCTAGCAGACGGTACTTTCACACCTAAAGGGTTGAAAACTAAGCAAGCAGCGAAGAGACAGCAGTGATGATACTCCACTTGTTTGACCCTGAACTCCGATACTAATATCTTATTTTTGCAGGTACATGTATTAAATAAATGTGATGATGGCCACAGGTGAAGGTCTGTTTGGAAATTATTTTCAATATTGGAGAGATAATTAATATAAGCCAAGAGTACATGGATAAACAGGCAAGATCTTGCACAAGGGCAAAGAGAGTTTTTTCTAGACTTGTGACAAAAAATCTGAAGAGGCATCGAGGGTACATAGGTCGGAAGGGTACATAGATTGAAAGATTTATAACCGAGACAGCATGTCTGATCCATCTTTAAATGATGGTCTGGGACTATTCACAATGTCAATGGTATTCATATCAATTGATTTTTAAGGCTTATTCTTGTTAAAAATTCTAATGCATATTCCTGCCAGGAATGTCTCATCAGTAATAGATTGTCTTGATACTTCCGACTATGACTTCTAACAAAATATGTTCCTCTTCTCAGCAAGCCTGGATTCTTACCACAAAAGTTATTGCCCAAGATTTCATTACAATCAAAAAAGAAACTTTGATTTAGAAAATTATCAAATTGTAAGTTCACAAGGAATGATAAATCTTCTGCAATTCAAACATAGCACTAATGACAACTAGTATTTCATTTTAAAAGTTGCAGAATTTAGAAAATACAAAATGAAATTACCCAACAAAGCTTCTTCATTATATGCCGTCTGAACCACGAAATACAACGTAAATGGTCAGAATACATTTAGTCACGAAATAGTTGTACTTAAATGGTTCTTGGTCTAAATAGCACGGAATTACATCAGCTAAATCCATGGTTTTATAAATAATTTCTGAAGTACCCTCATCTGTTAGTAAAAAAATGGTGATTACATTATTCCAAACAACAGTTTGGCAGGTAGAATCTGCTATGTACATTTACACTATCGCATTTGTGCAAAAAAAACTAAAAGCATGTAAATATACTAACTTGTAAACCATTATCCTAGAAAATAGCACCTAGTGTTTTTGAGTGATGGCCTGAGGTAAGTCTACTTAAGCAGTTCTACTTCTATATCTCATCTGGGTGGGAAGTACTCCAAAATATCTACTGCTTTGTACAGAGACTACATTAAAATCCCAACTAATGTGTTTCAGTCTAGAAAACTACACACTACATCACAAAACCTCAAGTTAACATTCTGTACATTTTACTGCACAATTACTTTTTTTTTTTAATATTATTTTAATCATTGCATGATGTTTGGTTTGTTAGTGTTTTACGTCCTATTAACAGCTATGGTCATTTTAATCATTACATGATAACCAAATCTAAGATTGGCTGATCATATAACAAACATCTATGCCAGGAGCTCATTTAAAACAAATAGTTTCCCAGAAACTTTAGACTAAGGTTTTACGTGGAGTCAGGTTCCTCTACCGTTAGATGCGACAGCCTAGCAGACAGGTAAATGTTAAATCAAGTCTGATGGCCTAGCAGACAGGTTAATGTTAATTCAGGTCTAGAAAGGTTTTGACAAGACCGCTAGGTCAGATCCTATTTACTAAACCAACAACATTGGTCCTACTAGTCAAACTTAGGAACATGATAAACAAAAGTGGGTATGAGCTTTGAGGCTTCCAGGATAATGCGATTCAAAAACACAAAAAATACAGCATTATTGAAAATGGATGAGAAGGGGTATTGCACTGATGGGTTTACCTCAACTTACAAGGACAAAAACATGCAGCAGTTATGGTGAACAAAAATATCAAAACATCAATCAAAGTCCTATTGGACATGGTTTTTATGGAGCTGATTTCGCCAGTATAATATGGTTTTATGTCCAATTGGAGTACACAAAACCAACAAAAAACATGATCTTTGTTTTTCAGGAGAGCTTCGTTAACTAAGTAAACCAGTTTTTACTGGTTGTTACTTATAAGGGAAGTAACTCTAATGGTGAAAAAAAAAAAAGATACGTCTTTACGTGACTTTGATTTCAATATGGCAGAAGTTAATGATATGCAAATCTAGCTTATGAATATGTATAAAGCAGTGTGAAGATGGCATACCCGTTGTAATAGGATGATAATACTGGGAGTTAACTGAGCGTACTATAGAAATCTGACATGACAGCCCTATCCTGTCAACACTGTACATGACTAGCACAATATCACCCGATGGTGTTTGATTCAATGGTTTACCATTTCAAAAACAATGCATATCCACAGCATGTAATCACTATATAGATGTTTACACAGACTACATAGCTCTATACATAATCAGGAGATTTGTTGACATTGATTATATATTTTACTACATGCTCATGAAGTCAGTCATTGACCACAGTTTTGTTTTAAAATAGATATCTGGCAAGGTTTAAATCATATAAGAAAGAAATACGCATAATCGTTTATTTTTCTCTTAATTATTCATTAGAGTTGTTGAAATTGTACATTATAAAGCTTGATATCAATATCAATTTATATTAATCATGAAAACAAATTTAACATGATCTTTGTGCTTTATTCTGGGCCACACACTTAACAATACGGTATTTGAGGAAATAAGCAGGACATGACATAAGCACCATGGAACAAATAACAAGCTTAACCCCTTCACCCCTATGTAACGTCAGTAAACTCTTCCATGCATTGATTCGGATGAGTCCATTATGGTCTACAGTGGCGAAAGGGTTAATTAGGAAAGCTCAATAAATGAACATTTTATCGACCAGTCACATAATGAGATTATATAAATTCTAATCTTGCTACAATGCTCACAATACTTCACACCCCAGAAATACTTAACATCATTTAAAATAACACATGGAATGAAGAGAATCAACTAACCCAAGGGTACACAAAATAAGGGTCAACAAAACAAGTCATAAATAAATAAAGAAGGTTCATGTCATGTAAGATACAAAAAGCTGTACATGGGTACATACTATGTACTAAACTAGTTACTATAGTTTAACATAGATCAAATATATAACCGAAAAATTAACGTTCATAAGTACAAATTAAATATTGCAAAAAGACAAGTAATTTATGCTTGGCAGGAGAGCTCCTTTAATTGAGATTTAATTGAGATTTAATTGAGATTTTTATCCATTCTATTGATGGTGGTACATTGTAGTCGATTGTAAATACTAAAACTAAAGTAAGTGTTACTCATACTGAAATAATGTTTTGTCAAGTTCTTCTGATGACCATTATCATATATATTTCCTCGTTTCTAAGACATACTTCTGTGTCATTTGACTCCTGAACATAATACCATAAGCAAGTCTAGAAATTAATCAAGTATAGTAATGAATCAAAATAATTCAATTAAAAGCATAATTTGAGGTTAAAAATGAAAGTACCGTCTCCTTACTTCACCTACACCTTATTGTTAAAGGGAGATAATCAACGTGTACTGCACCCCTTGGCAAATTAAATCACTTCAATTAAGCGCTTGAACTTCTTTTGAGCAAAAATATACATATATATAATTTCAGACTACAAACACTGACATGAAAATGATTTACAATATTTCTTTTCCTCTCAGACAATTTTATGGGTAAAAAGAACAAAATAACATACATCAACCCCTAACAGAAATCATTTGGTGGCAAAATAATGCTCAATAAACAATCCGAGTGCATTCAACTATGGCTAATCTCTTAAACGTGTTCTGTCACTTACAGCGTCAAGTAAACAAACTTGTAAATTAATAAAAATACATGTACACATAATTATCATAGCTTGTGGTACATAGTATGCAAATATATATATATATATACCTAATGGTAAAAAGATTGGTTAGGTCAAGCAAGTACTTATGTCAGCACTCAATAGTTGTACAATATTGTTATAACTAGACAGAGAATGCAAAAGACTTATTTCTTTAAACTCTTGAAGATGAACACAACATGTGTTTGGTGTAATATGGCCTTTGAACAATCCCTAATGACAATCTTCAACTATTCGCTTGAATAGATTAGAACATTACGCTGAACATCATGATCAATGGGAATAGATTTAAAATACAGCTGCAAAAATTCTGCAAAATTGCCTACCAGCCATATATCACTGGTTCCAGCACGGAGAACTAATGAGTATATGGACCTAAAACATGCTTGGTAAGCAGCTTATTTTTAGCGTTATTCTGGTTTGCTTTCCATAGTGCAGCCATTTTGTCCATTTGCAGCCAATAGGTCTGAATTTCACATTTCTACGAATTCTACGTGTCCATCTCTGGTCAGGATTGCGAAATATGGAGATGCGGAAAGGCGTGGGAATCTGTAGGCCATTCACATCTGTAATGAAATAGATAAACCAAAAAGTTACCTAATATTTCACAACAGTTCAGCCCTATAGAAGATTTATACATGCACAGGCTTCGACAACCCATTAGTCTACATGTTTATACAATAAAACTTGTTGAAATGAAATACATGTACAATGATGCCGAAATTAATTGAAAGGATATATAAAGAATTTGGATAATGTGTTGTATTTAGCATTGTAAAATTAGACATATGCTGTATTTAGCTGAGTATACAAGCCTAACAGCACTATTAAGTCATTCAACCCTCAAATTTCATAATCAACCATTCCAACCTCTGAATTGGAAGAGTTCAAATTTGTCTTCGGGGTAAATGAGTTAAACATGTGGAATAGCTGTCCTTGTGTTTCTCTGGATACATACCAACACATCTACTCCTGAACTTGCTGCTGCTCTTCATCGGATTTGTTCTGAAAAACACAAAAAACATAAAATGTTACAACAAAACTGCTGAACTGATGATGCCACATCATGGAAGCCATTGGTAGTACCGGTACTTTGATTACCAGGAATGATTTTATTACTTCTCAATTTTCTTCATAAACTTTTATTGAAATACTTACCAATAGAAACTTTTGCTGCTTTTTTTTATTATTATTCACAACAATTTTGCTTTTTAATTTAACCACAACAGAAAAATATATGAAAATTTACACACAAAATAAAATGATTTAGCAGATTTTTTAACATATAGGATGAAATGATTTGTGTGCACCCATAACCTGTAGATTATATTATATACAGGGGTAAGATATTTGTGGTCATGGCCATGACAGAAGTGGAGTGCATTCCATATCCCTGTGTCAATATACATACAATGGATGTTTCAAAACAGTTACCACATAGAAGCAGCAATACATGAAATGTGAGGTAAACTGTTTCACTCGTGATCAGCTTCAAACAATCTGCAGAAAAATAACCAGGTAAACAACGAATAGAAAATAAATTCTGGAGCTTTCAGTAAATAGAACTTCTCGACTAAGTTCATTCAACATGGAACCGAAACAGTTACTGACAATCAAATGTTGATCCAGACAACATGGTGAATATTATTGTTTAACCCTTCCACCACTGTAGACCATAATGGACTCATCCAGATCAATACATGGTAGAGTCTACTATAGTTAAATAGGGGTGAAAGGGTTAAAAAAAAACTGTCTACATTCAGAAATGAAGAACAGCTATTCACAAACATCTGTGAAGAATCTAAGCCGAGTACACCTACCCAGATACTTCAGTTTCTAAATCAAAGTGTAGCAGGTATACAATGGCAAGTATACATGTATTAACAAATATAGCTTCAGCATTATTTCTACTTCTACTTCTAAATGGTACTGACCAACTTCAACAATTTGAAGATAAAATGTCAGACGAGGAGTGAAACATGGAAAGAGATTGTTTTTAAAAGATACGAGATGGTCTAATTTGCGTTTGAAAGGTAAATTCTAGCTCTACAATGCAAAAGTTCTGGTGAAATCAAAAACAGAAATCCAGCAGTCAGAATTCTGGTAAACCATAGAGTAACCAAGGGACATCCTCGATTTCCGGGGGTTTCGATCACCTAGGCTCTCTACCGAGATCGTAACCCTGGAAATCAAGGATGCCAAGGGATTGATCCAGTGTATGTTTCATACACAGCTACAATAAGCACATGTACCGCAATTCTGAAAAAGAGTTAGCTGTATATATAAACAGACACACTTATTCAAATATGACCTATTTTTGGGGTGAAAAGTAGGTCATATTGAGACAAATATAGTCCACTTTGAGTACAAGTTACTTAATAAAAGCAACATGTCATTTACAGCAATATAAATAATTATTTACAGAAAGTGTACAATGCAGCATAGAATACCATGATTTACTCCAAAAGCTGTAAAAGGAAAGACAGATTATTTAAAAGTCAAACTATAAAATGTGAATTTCTATAGAAATGTAGTAACCTATACAGTCATGATGCATGATCACAATTCACAGATCTCTAGCTGAATTCAAGCCTTCACAGATCTACACGAAATCTGAGACACATGTACAGTTTTTGGCGAGATCAACAACACTTGTTATTAGCTAATCTCATTCACAAACAATCAACACATCAACAAGGCGACTTCAATGTTATTTAAAGTGTTTTATTTTTCATACTTAACACACACAATACACCGATACATGTGAACCTCCTCACTCCATCAGCCTCGCTTCCGGGCAAGTAGAGATTTTCTTTTTCTAATGACGCATGAATTACGAAAACAGCTACTGGCTGTATTCACATTTGTTTTTCAATAAAAATATCAGGATTAAAGAGGTTCAATTGTATTTATGTAACCTTAATGATAACTGTATTTGTAACCGAGACTGTTAGTACACACACACAATTATATAGCAGGCACATGTTCACGTCACTCGTATTCGGTACATGTTAGTACACACTAGTACATGTACAGTAACAGGGTGTTACATTCTCGATGCATAGTGTCACATTGTCTCTAAAAATATCTAAATCATGTACTTCGGTAGGAAAAGCCCTAAGATTACTGATAAACAGGGATAAATAGAACCTATCCTGTGACTTTGATATACCCTGGTAACTTCCTTAACCTGACTTGTATGGTAATCAAGGAACATGGGAATTTCAATAAGAAATCAGGATATCCCTTAACTCAAATTCTTGACATTTTAAATAACATTTTTTTCCAGCACTTAAATTTCCCAGCAGCATCGTTAAATTAAATCATAAATAAACTTTAAGAAGCATTTTTGAAACTGGGACTAATAGTAGTTTTTCGAGACTTTGGCAACATTTTTATTTGTTTGTTAACTATGCTATTATTTACTCATCTTCCTCATCACCCTTCATGCGTCCAATAAAACTACATTATCTTATCACCTTTTGCACAAAAACATTTGAAAAAAGAAAGATGGTAGGTGATTTGTCAAGGGAGAAGAGAATTAATTTTTAGGAAATTTGAAAAGGGAATCTTGAAATGTGCTAGCAGTAAGCTAGAGGCCAATGAAACAATATATCAAGGTTTTACTGTACAGGGTAAATATTTAACGAGTATCAATAACTACATGCTAATTAGTAATTAGGTGACCACTGCTTTAACCAAATTGGGTGGGTCCATCACTAAGTTGTTAAACATCTACTGTCAATACATAATTTAAACATATCACATTCTCAACAGACCTTACAGAAATGATGGAGTAATCAGACATGTGACAAAGTTAGCTCACCAGGTATTGTTGGATGTTGTATATGCATACACACACACACAAAATCGTAGCTAGACAAGAGGTACAAAGAAAATCAACTACTTGTAAGTCCTTGAGGGTACATGCTGACTGTTAATTATATCACACAAATGTTGGTACTTGTTAGATGCAGAACTTCAAGGCAAAACTTGCCGGATGCAGAACTCCACGACCAAACCGTCTGGATGTCCTATATACCTTGATTTATCTAGTCGTCTTGGTTTCGCCTCCTCCTTCTGCGCCTTTCAGCTGCCGACTCTCCACTGGTGTCCTCAGCCTCACGCTCCTCCCTCCGACGTCTTCTCCTTTCCCCAGCATCTTCTTCCACCTCCTCTCCAGCTGCAGCAGCTCTAGCGGCCCTTTCTGCTGCTCGCCTCTTCCTCTTTGCCTCCAAGGAATTGTCCTCAGGTTCCCAATCTACCACAGGTTCTGGGGTAGGCACTTTAGGAGGAGGCGTAGGCTCTTTTGGAGGTGGTGTTGGCTCTTTAGGAGGTGGCGTTGGTTCTTTCGGGGGTGGCGTTGGCTCTTTAGGAGGTGGCGTAGGCTCTTTAGGAGGTGGCGTAGGCTCTTTAGGAGGGGGCGTTGGCTCTTTCGGAGGTGGCGTTGGCTCTTTGGGCGGTGGTGTTGGTTCTTTCGGAGGCGGCGTTGGTTCTTTCGCAGGTTCTGGGGTAGCCTCTTTCACAACCTTTTAGTTCATAAAAACATTAATCTAAAGCTGTACGATGTGTATAACAGTGCAGTGATGCATTTTACAAGATCTAGTGCTGTACAAAAAGTAAGGTTTCGTAGTCGTATTAGAATTTATTTAACCTTCACTCTAATCTGTAATCAAAAGGATCAAAAGTATTCAACAAAATTGTCAAATGAAAGTAATCATTTAATGAACAATGAAAAATCATGCATTGAATAAAAATATTAATTCAGAGAAATACAGATATGTTTCAAAGTAAACAAATTGGTAATGCAAGTACATGTAATACATGTGTAAGAAAATTTAAAGGAATTATGTTAATTGCAAATCAAAAACTAAATATATTTAGTCAAACAAATCCTGTAAATAAAAGCTAATGTAGCGCAGCATGAATTTCTTTTCTTGATTGAAAGCATGTTCCATTAGCAGCTAGTTTTAAGCCATCAAATGAAAACCACTCTTTTAAAATCAGACAAATCATTTCTTAAGTTTAAATATTGTTTATGATAGAAACTGTTACAAGTAGCTAGGGATACACTACATTTATGTTTTCTTATTCTCCAATACCTTTAACCCTTTCAACCCTATGTAACTTTAGTAGACTCTACCATGCATTGATCTGGATGAGTCCATTATGGTCTACAGTTGTGAAAGGGTTAAGATAGCAATCATGTCGGGGTGTAGGATATCTCTATCATGTCTCTATCATGTATTCTTGGCAGAAGGTCATCATTTTGACATCACAATTCCTTTTTCACATCATTTTAAAGGAAGATATCGGAGAAAATTAAAAGAGTCTAAATACAGGTGTGTGGGTGATAGGAAGTTTAGAAAATTTTGAGCTGAATTAAACCTGAGCAAGCTTTGGTTCAGATCCTAATTTCTACAATCTCCATATATCCTCACACACTTATGAAGTAAATATGTACACAGATACAGTGAAGTTATTTATACTGGAGTGGAAAGTTAGATCATTGTAAGTGGGGAAGAAATAATGATTTATTTATTCTTTCAGAAGAAAATAATATAGAGTTGAAATGAAAAAGTAGAAAATATGAGAACTAATTTGCTAAACGTAGGATATAGCTTATGATTCAACTTTGATTAATGAACAAAGAAGCTGCCGCTAATAGGCCTTGCTGTGCACTACTACAACTCGGTATTAGTCAAGTTACTGATGAGGGAATACAATGAAAGAAACACTATAACTGGCCAACTTTCAAGACTTACTTTTTCTTCTGGTTCCTAGATTGACAAGAAAGTACAAGAATATATTCATGTTCACAAGATAGGATGCAGTAAAACAACTTGGGACATACTTTGGCATCACAAAACATTCACTCATGCATGCAGGACAGTGTTTGGTTTGGACAAGGAGAAAATTACCTCTTATAATTAATTACATATTTCTTTTTTTTATTGATCTTTAATTAAAAACTTCTTCAGCTACATGAATCAGTCACTAATAATATGCTTGATGTAAAACATCTATCCATCGCAGGGATGTGATGGGGCCTTTCATTCAGATTGTTTTGACATGTTAATGGCCAGAAGCCGTAGAGTTGTATTTTAAATGACATATAACAAACATGAATATATTGTAAGACTCATAAACAACAAGTACATCATACTTATAAATGACGCTAACTAAGTGCTGACTGGCTGACAAAACAACGATAGCCATTGTTAGTCTTCACTAGCCAAACTACCTTACATTCACCCAGCAGAGGCGGTTAGTTTTAACTTGAGCAAAATGTAATACATATATATAGCAGGCAGGTGTAAATACCTCGTCTGACTTAGCTGTGCTATCCTCTGCGTCCTTTTTATCATTGTCATTTTCCACATCTTCTTCCTTCTTATCAGTCTCATCAGACGTTTCTACATTTACTTTATCATCTGATTTATCGTCTCCACCAGCTTTACCATTCTCTTGTTCAGACACTTGCTCAGTATCTCGTTCAGTATCTGGTTCCGTATCTGGTTCACATACTTGTTCGGTAGGTTTGTCATCAGACTCCTCAGCTTTACTGTTTTCTTTTATTGTTTCCTCTGATGTTTTTTTATCATCGACGTTCTCATCTATTTTTTCTTTATCTTCTACAGTATCTGCGTCTGTTTTATCCTTCTCCTCAGAGTTTTTTTCCTGTATTTTCAAAAGCAATAATAACGATGTACAACTAACTCTTATGTCTGTCAAGTATACCTCTGATTCATCTTGTAATCTCAATTTTCCTGTTTTTATTGACCTAACTCTGCTGACCTGTTGATTTCAAATTTAAAAAGAGATGGTCAGGTAACTGGTCAGAGACATGGATAGATAGGTCCTGCATTCATATGGACAACTGGAAAACAGGAGTGTAACAGCTATAGGTAAAACTCAAATCTTACATACAGCTAAAATACAAGTACAAAATGTTTACAATAAAGTTTCCTGACTGTGAAGTCACTAAAGATTGATTTCTCCCCTGACTAGCCAGTATTCTGGACAGTATCAGACTCCATATGGCCCTCTGACATAACAGTGCATAATGATCAATGAACATCTGTATCTGTATCTGATGGAATAGGAATGTTAGCATGGTAATTACCGTAAGTATCATTATCCGATATATCAAAATATATATTGCATCATAATCCAGTCCTTTAGTTCAGCATAGAACTGTTCATAATTAATGGTGAAAATGGATGAATTTGTATAAATACCAAAATAATGAAATACATTAATTGCATTTGACATCATGGTAAAAGATCAAAGTTGCAACTTTTCAAAGAGAAGCTATTAAAATATAACTGTTAAAATAAGACCCTAAATGAAGATTATCTTTAATCATTAAAAGCATTTCTTCTCAGACTTCAACATTCTTCTATATGATAGTTAATAAGCTAATATTGTTGTTCTATAGACACGCTAGATACCAGCAGTGACACAAGTGAACACAGATTAGTTACCAAGTACATTCCTTTTCACTATATATGTATATGTACATGTCAAGTTATTTCAACTAGTTCCTCACACGGCAATTAGCAAAACCTCCATAAATGGCTAAAATGCAGCTCAATTATGTTACTTAATTTTATGTATGAATCTTTTGCACTAGAATTTTGTAGAATATATCGTGCAAAGAACACATTTAGTATTCACACTTGTACTACATAAAGCATTCACCTACATTTCAATAACTCGGGTACGTATATGCCAAACTTTTAAATACACAGCCTTTCAATGGCTATTTAGCTACGGATAAATGATCATGACGGGCTACATTAATTTTGAGGTATGTCCATATCTTTGCCCTATTTCTCTACTAAAGGACTTCCATGTTTATACGACCTTATTGTCACACATGACATAACTTGACTTTCCTCACGGCTTTGTCAGATACTCTACCGAACATCAATATCTCCCTCGGATTTTATGATATTTATGTTGTTTGACTTTTTGAAGTACTTAGTAGAACCATAATTAAATATTACATTAAAAGATTTGAGGAAAAAAAGTGTTTAATTCTGGTTAACTTCACTTATTTATAATCCTACTTTCTAACAATGTAGCCATTGTCCATGAGTGAAAACTGCTCAATCCTGAAATTTTATCACAGTTCACTGAGCTGTTTAAAGGAGAAAAGCTACATCCGTAACATCGACACCATAACACTTATACTATCAGCAATGTCTGCCCATGTTGTAAAGAATGCTTAGAAAGGTGTTCAACGCCTGTCACAATCGTTTTAAATTTCCAATCCACCTCCAGTCAAGACAGCAGATGTTCGTTACTTCCTATAAAATCAATATACCTGGTAGGTATTTCAGTATTCACACTTAGATAGAAAAGTAAGGCTCATTTTATGCTTAATGTTATAACAATAAGTGATATTATCATAATTTTTTGAGCACTGTGAATAAACTGTTTACTTCCTAGTTATACACAGAAACATACATACAGTAGTTTCTTTTATCAAAATCTGAAACTCTTTGTTGTAATGTAAGCTAACTGTAATTTCAATGTAAGATCTTCACTTCATGCACTACTGAGTTTGTATGATGAGGATAAAATAACTAGTAAAGGTAAAAGAAACATGGAGGGTTAAACCAAAACGTTCATGCCAAGTCACTTTTGTATTTCACTATTTTTGATCATGTTGTCACTCATCAACTGCACACATGAAATTAAGGTAGGTTCGGATCACACACTCCGAGCCTTCTGGGAAGGAATTGTCACCTCTTCATGATCAGGGCATTAATTGGGTCAGATATCGTTACAAGTCATTATAAGATATCAGGTGAAGGTCGAAGGGGAGATCACTCCATGCACAACAGATTGTTTCTGTATTGGTCACACATGTTAACGGTGGGAGTTTTAGGTGTTTCACCACATGCTGCCTTCAGGCCACACTATGTCACCTCCTCCTCTGCTGGTTTGGCTTCATCACTCTTCTCCTCAGTAACGGCCTCGTCTTTGGCTTCTGAACTCTCGTCGGCCTTGACCTCTGAACTTTCCTCTGAGGCCTCAGATGGTTTCTCTCCATCGGTCTCTTCAGATTTTTCCCCGTCCTCAGTCTTTGCAGCCTCCTCCTCATTTTTAGCAACATCCTCTATTAAGGGAGTTTTTTCTGTTTCCTATAACAACACAATGTCTGTTTACCTTCCCTACTGATAAACTGATGAATCGGTTCATACCTGTAATCTACCATTTATTCTCTATGACCCTATAAATAACCTCTTTTTTGCACAGATGGTACAACCATTGTGTTCAAACTCGTCTACTTGGGTACGTACCTGCAGTGTTCTGTTAACACACAATGTTATGTAACTTTTGTTGCAATTATAAAAACTGATTTGACTAATGAATATATACATATACAGAATTATTATCCTTTGACATATACTCAAAGTTCATTCAGAACACTCAGAAAATATTGTACCATTAATGTATGTCATACATACAATAAAGACATACAATAAAGAAACCAACCTATCCTGAGCTTGTTGCGATTGAATATTGCCTTTAGTTTCCCGTTCCTCAATCGCCCTGCATACCCCTGGGTATCCAAGCAAGGGATAATGGAACCTACAGAACCTAGATCAGAAGTACGGCGTTGGCTCTATACCCGATGATTTGTACCATTAATTATACGAAGTATTGGTTTCTAGTTATGTCAATTAATAACAGAACAGTATTAAACTAAACAATAAAACATACGGCATTTAATAGTGATGAGCAATTGGTTTAAAATCATAATTGATAATCGGTTTGGAATCGGAAGAAGTAAACCGATTGATGATCGATTGCATAATCGGTTTATAATTTTTTGGGACTGAATACCCAAATAAAGTGAGAACTCTACTACATCAACAGACCGAGTGGTTCACTATGCATTAGGTTTGGTTCTTATATAATGAATGGATATATATCAAGCCTCTTTAATGCATTTTTATCAATCATATATTATATAATGTAAATGGTAAAATATATGACTTTCAAAGCATACTTTACATGGAAGACATTTAAAAAATTTGATTTCGCTGAAGAACCGATTATATCGATTATGGAATTTGTAATCAATAATCGGAATCGGAAAGGGCAAACTGATTGATTTTTGTTTATAATCAATCATCAGCCCATCACTAGAATTTAACCAGCAGTATAGCTATACAGCAATATACTTCTGTCCAATTATCTAATTTATCCTTGACTAGGAACAATGTGTCTTTGCACATACATGTCCACTGTACAATCTGACATTATCCCTAACACATGCACTTTGTACACATCCCAGACCAGTGTTTATCTGTTATACTTGTTACAGACTCAATAAGAGTACATAAAACAATAGGACTTAGATACACAGTGGTGATAAGGCTCTGTGTAATATTGGGTTGAACAACATGTGTTACTATGAGTGTGTGTAATAAGTTGTGGGTGGCAACGTGTGGGAGAAATTAGCGTGTAAGCCACTGATCTATAATTAGCCTGCACATAAACATCATAGGCCAACCCTAACTGTTTCTCTGTTGAATAAGAATATTTCTTTGGTGGTTTATACATGTATAGATACTGTATGTTATATGTTATAACAAACAAACAGATCAGTTCTGTTGTATCTCCTTTACCAACAATAGCCAACACAAATCAAACACATATCTATCCATAGTACTGCCAACAATCTAAAAAGTATATTGATTTTGCCAAAACTTTTATAGCTTCAATCAGGAATATTAATGATGACAGCTGATTTCGATCAATTTTGAACATAACTGTAACCTGGGCTTAAACACCTTTTCAGAAAAAGTGCTTTATACTAAAAGAATGAGGACATAACATCAACACTAACATTTACTTATATCTAGCCTCGTACACCATGCTAACACAGCCAGCCATCCAGTGTACCCCACACACACACACACACACACACACAAATGCACACACTGCCATACTAGTAGTACAGGGATCATACCAGTGCAGGGTCTTTAGTAGCAAACATTTTTTTTACAACATGTCTGGCCTCATACATTTCCCTGGGGCTGTCAGCCAACTAGTGTAGCCCAACTTTGACACTACTTGTACAGGGATTATAACGAACAGTGGCAGTGTAATGTTAAATAAGATATTGAACAAATACAAATCACACCCCTCCCAGCCATCCCCCACCCCCGCCCCCCACCCCCTCACTCCGTGGCATACTGTTATATAATTAATATAGAACATTGCTACAGAGAATATGATCACCAGGAGATCAAAGTAAACATTGACCAAGTATTTCACTTGAACAGTAAATTGTGTTATAGGAGAATAAATTAGTGTTATCAATATATTGCGGAGTCTGCACAAACCCAAGTTCTTGGTTGCAATATTGAGTGTAACACAGCTACAGAACATGCATGTATGTGGATAGTGCATCTGTGTATGTGGTGGTTTAGGGAGGAGATGGGGAGGGGGGTGCTGGACAGGGCCAAGTGGTACCGTACTAGGTTCCCTGGAGATTATAAAGATAAAGAAATGCACACATACTGTATGTACATCATACATCAATATATGGTAGATCAATCACATCTCCTTAAGAAATACCAGGTCTTTGCTTTATTTCCAGACACACCAAATAATTTAACACTTAGAGAAAAACACATGCATCAATCATATTCATAACAGTAAATTTGTCTGCTCTTGTAGAATATCTTTCACAAACAGATTGCTCAGTATGAAAAGCTACTAAAATTGTAGGTTCACTCAACAGCTGATTTAGTTTATAGAATTTATTGTCCATCTAGATCTGTTTCCAATTTCCAACCAATCATGTTAAATTGAAAAAGGAAACCTGACAATTTGAAATGAATTATGTTAAGAAGACTATAACAGGCAGAGTGTTTATTTCCACTTCTGACGTCTGCTTCAGTAGCATCAATATGGTACAAAATTGAATATATACATTATTGGTGGAACTTTGAATTTGTATCAATAAAGATTTTAAAAGGCATACAATTTGAAACCTCTAACTTCTTGGAGGAAAATTAAGATGTGTTGGTGATGCTTAAGCCTGCATGTACGCTAACCTTCATATTATAACAAAATCAATGCTTTCTCCAGTAAGAGTGTTGATATATATCTTGGTGATATATGTATATATGTAAACATACTGTAAAGATGGAAATTTTCACATTGTGTCCCATAAAACTAATTGTATTGTGAAAATTTTTCATGTTGGCAATAGTTCTAAAAATCTAGATATTCTGTTTATCTAAAATCTATCACTGTTACAGTGACTGACAGTGATCAGTAAACAGGATTACGCTGCAATCAGAATCTCTTCCATGAAAACACCAATATAATTATACATATATACATGAGTATATGACTTAAAATTAATCAGTCAGTAATCATGTCTGAAAAATCAATGACACTGAAATGGAGGTATAAATAAAACCCTTTCAACATATGCTATATTTATGTACCAGTTACACATATAATAAGTAAAATAATTATAGTATGTACCACAAAAAAACCTGGCATATTCCAAAACACACAATGTTAGTTCAGCATGCCCAGATACAAATGTAATTCAGGCCTCATGTAAAATTACATCACTTGTAAGTGTTTCAGATATATATATATATATATCAATGTCGTTGTTGTCCATTGTCCCATGTCGTTGTTGTCCATTGTCCCGTGTCATTGTTGTCCATTGTCCCATGTCATTGTTTTATTTTTTACAAGATGATTATAGTTACTATGACATGCTTTTTGTATTCATTTTAAACTCATATCTTTACACTTTCTCTATTATGTCAATCAAAAGGAAGGAGACATTTTGATAGGCATTTGTTCAAAGGAATCTAAATACAGAACTTATTCACCCCTGAAATTTCATAATGAACTCTTCCAACCTTTGAATTGGAAGAGTTCAAATGGGTCTTCAGGGATGAATGAGTTAACTAATAAGTTAATTTGCGATTACATTGAAAATGTTTTATTAATTTTAGGTATTTTCATCTGATTTTTAAAAGGTGATGATAGACATCTTTATCTAAGGATCTATAAAAAGATAACAAAACGGTTTCAAACCTTACTTTAATTTGAGTCTCTTCATGATCGATGTCAAAGCTAGACACAACTAGATAAAGTACAGGGCATTTACTTATTCGTCAGGTTTTCAATATGAAAACTGACAAATCTTGTATGATGTTACCAGGTGCTTTTTACAGACCATTTCTTTCTGTACATGTCCATTTAACTTTAGGTTGATGAAATAAGACTGTTGTACACAGGTTATTACAATACCAGGTCGTGTCTAAGTTAATCACATTTGTATGTGTATGGACTCTACACAATGCATCACAGTATATAGTTGAGCTGTACTGTATGTTTTTGACCTGTCATCACTGAAACAAATGTATTCAGTTCAATGATACAAAGATGACAACAACATCAGCGATAGGTCACCACCTTCTGTGAGCAGAGCAATACTTCCTTCGAAAATATATCTAAAGTATGTTAAAAATCATTGTTAGGACAGGTATTGCATTTGTGTTCATATTACAGTATTTACCATGCTCTACACAGCATGTGTCGCTGTAATACTCGGCCTTAATGTAAAGCAAGGATACAGTTTATTACTATACTGACATGTTAGTAGTAATTTCATTGTGTCATTAAATGCAAGTTATCACTGACTAAGTATGCATCACTGTTAGATAAACAACGTTACATTTATCTAGTCACTTGTATGTTGTCTTACATCAACCTTCTATGACGTCATATGTCAGTATGCATGATACCACCGGTTGTGAAATACCTATCCTAAAATTCTGTAGCCATGGTAATATAAAATGTCAGTGTAAAATAAAAACAAGTCTTGAGATATAACAAATCCAAACCAGTGAATTCAATAGGACATGTTTGAAAACTTTATAAAAACTTGTCAGAACATTGTCATGACAACCCATGTCAGGATAACGTCATGCCCATATGACAACCCATGTCAGAACAATGTCATGCCCATGCTTTTACCTCATCCTTCTTTTCCTCTTCATCATCCTAATATGTAACATGGACAGAATTTCAATTAATTGAACACACTGCCAAAGTCTACTCCAAACTTGACCAATGGTCGATTGCAGACATCATAAAGCATTTTAGGAATGCGTCTTCCACATCAAAAACAATGGCTAATGTGTTGGTTAATTTACAGAGATATCCAGAACAGAAATTAAAATTGTATTGATAAATTTTGCACCGAGCGTACATGCTTGTTGTTCTGAAACGCCACAACGTAATATCAAATGGTGCCAGATTTTTGTAAGATGCTTTGAGAGTTTGATTATCGTCCATATTCAACTGTCATTTGGAGTCGTGAATTGTTTTCTGATTGGGAGGCCTAATTTTTATACTATCCGTTACAACTAAACATCATTATTTTGATAAACACAAAGGCTGATGTTCATTTATTGTTGGATACTAAATTAAAGTGGAAATGGAAAGATTTGTCAAAAAGAGCAAATTTTCAAGAAAGAAAAACTATGTTCACTTTGAACACTCATGATTAATTTAAGGTTGCATACAATAACACACAACTTATAGTTCCCCAACAGAGCAGGAATCCTCGTGTGTTTGCTTAAGTAAAAACTGAAAAAGATGCATGTTACATAGTCAATGTAATGTCATTACAAAATACTCAGTACACATCATAATTAACAAAGTAAAATCAAGAAATGATGGAGTATTTCCCACAATATATGTAATATTTATCAGGACAGGGGTGTGTACAACGTACCGAGAGAGTGACCGTAGCCTGCGACACTTGTGTATCCAGCTTCAGCATGGCCATTAAGCAGTTGCCTTCTATTGCATCTTCAAAATCTAAATAGTCCTGTAAACAAACAACGACATCTTAGAACCACACACTGTGTATATATATAACAAGAGACCCAGAGGGCCTGTATTGCTCACCTGGATAATGAAGTAACCATGGGAACATATTGTCATTAAATATAATACTACAACTATTTCCAACTTTGTAACAATTGTTAACAGCTTATTGAGTGTGGTTATCCAACACTGCACAAAATAAAAACTTGCTCAAAAACATTTAACAAAGTCTAATTCAGCTGTTTTGGGCTTTTGACCCCCAGAATATGAAAACATCTTACACTCCGTATAAATGCCTCAACTTTAATTAGCCAATAGCTTATTGGGTGTGGCATTATAACATTGCACAAAAAGACTTGCTAAAAAACTTAAGTGAAACTGAAATGGGACGCTGATACTGGGGTGACTACATTATAGCACCACCACCACCACCACCACCACCACCACCACCATTCAGAAATTCTTCCAATAGGCACGTGACATTGAACTTATATCTTCATATATCTAAAAAGTAATCCCGAGCAATGACTTTTTATAAGAAAGCACTATGCATGAAGATTGAGTGTTATCGGCTCACATGAACTTGTTGGGCTATCTAAGTTATCCATAGTAATTATAAGTGACCCTGACCTTTGACTGTTGGGTTATATAATTATAAGTTATCCATAGTACTGTTGGGCTATATAAGTTATCCATAGTAATTATAAGTGACCCTGACCTTTGACTGTTGGGACTCTTTCAGTGAGAAACTATTGAATGAAGTTTTGAGTAGATTTGGCCTATAGCTACAGAAACATAAGACTGGTTTTATTGGCTAGAATGAATGTAATAAGTAGCTACATGTAGCTATAGATTTTAGTGGTTGCCTTCCAATTACATGTACATGCATGCATAAAGTAGAATTCTGAAACCGTTTTCAAAAGTGTGAAATATAACTATATCCTCTCAAACATTCTAGGTTTGTGTGCATTGCTTACCCCACAGTAAGTGTCGTCGTTGAATAGCTGAGGAGGGAGGGGGTGAGTGGATGTCCGACTCTTTGCATTTGCCCTCATGAATTTCCGATTTTCCTCTGTATCTTCATCTGTGGAACTGATGTCGATCATCTCAAGGTCAAGCTTGAAGGATGTGAGCACCATCTTGATGCGTTCCTGTTTCTTTTGAAGCTGAAAGAAAAAAAGATCAATAAAATCAGTCTTATCCCAACTTGCTGGAAAAAAAAGACATTCCCATTTATGGCATATTAAATCAAAATTATATATAACAAAGTTTGTACAAGTATTGTAATAATGTGTAACTGTTCGTCGAACACTCAATAAATAACAGGTGGAGATCTTCAGTGACATTTCACAGGCCCCTATAGCTATTTGGAATGGAGGTAGAAAAATCAAGGAGATCATTTAACCACAGGATGCAGATTTTAGTTTATGTAATATAAGCTTAAGTCGGTCTTAAATGAGGGAGTTTCAAGGGAGATTGGTAAATTTTGGTCAAAATGAGGGAGTCTCCCCAGTCCCTCTTAAGGATGAAGGGTTGACAGCTATCAAAGTGACCTATATACCTATAGTATAGAAGATATGTATTCCCTGGACAAACTCTTCGGACACATGGATGGATCCGGAGCACAAACCTATACCCCCCCCCTCCAAGAAACCAGTTGGGGACTAGCTAATAAGTATCTATTGCAGTTGCATATATTATAACCACATCATTTTCAAATACACGGTAATACCTCTTTACATTAAAGTGACAGTACGATGAAGTGCATTTTTTTTATTAACCACTTTTTTTCAAATATATACTAGTAAGTGAGTTTCAGTCATCATTTTGACAATTATTTCCTTATGCAGACAATCTGACAGAAGAGATCATTTTTCATTTTATTTTAAAATATTTCCTGTCTAAAATTGACAACAGGAAGATTCTGAAGTAGAACATAGTTGCATTGAATACGTTTTAACAAAAACTGCATGTTTACATCCATGTATGAAAAATGTGTGGATATATATATAAGCTCTAAGACAAGAAGACATTACAAGAGTTTTCCAAACCTATAGTGTGAACAAAAGATTTCCACAAAAGCGTCTATTTACGTCAACACGTTGCATTATTCATTGGTCCAAGTATCACGAGACAAAAAGGTTTTCCAAAAAATATGTTTATAAGTAACATGTCATCACTACAATATACTTAAATCTGAAGGTTTTAAATTGTCATGATCGAGAGTACTGCAAAATATGAATACATGTATACATTTTACTTGTTATAGTTTCATTACATATAACATGTATACATGTTACATATATCCGTGTAAAATAACCCAGAGTAATTTTTCGCCTTACCCTATGGTCGACATCATGTTCTGTCACTTGACAAACCTACCTACATGTGAAAACAGATGACAAAAATCTACCCTGTTGTAATAATAGTTCCTTAGTAAAGGTATTCGATGTTTATTGTTGTTACTTTTATCGGCGCAGTGGCAGACATAAATAAACAAGCTTTCTATCCATGTATGGTAAGTATATATGTGGACATTCTCTGATATAAAAGGAAACATTAAATAAAGTGTGCACAATTTTTTCAAAGAGACCCTATGGAGGACATTCAGACATTTTCCGCTATATCAAAAATGTTTAACAGGAGAGTCAGTAGTTTCGGACAAATATCTTTTATTCATCATTCAGGTACTGGAGCACTGGCTAATCTGGCAATATAATGACTACACAAACAAGCCATTACTGGTCATATTTATACGTCGATGAAATTGAGAACAAAAGCAGATGAGTAGGTGAAATTAAAGATTATTGACAAGTTACAGATCTAGAATTTCACTGTCAGAAATACCATTGTTGGATTTTTTCTTATCAACATGTATTCCTCATAAGTAAAAACCTACATGTATATAGCATGTGTATATTCATGATCAATATGTCGCCAATGTGTTCCTAAAGATGCAGATTCGGGCCTCATGAGTGATATTTCTTAGTAGGAATGCTAACCTGCAGTGGCAGTTGTTCATTAGCCTAGAGAGAGTCAAGTATTTTGGTGTTTTGGTACAGAAATCATCAATATTCTGTCTAACCATCAGATACAGGATAAAGGGATGCTAGTACCAGAAAAAGTAACAATGGAAATCAAGTCATCTGCAATTGAGTTATTATATATTTAGTTACAGCGACTCACCAGTTTGTTTATCAATTTTTTATGTTCACGAGGAAATTGCGACCACAATTGTTTGTTTACATTTGTCCCTATATTTATCCATATTTGCCTGTGTTCCAGTACCTGTCATTGCCAGTATGCACGATGGTATATCCTTATTTTTTATGTTAAATTTACTACAGCGTGTTGTAGGATTAAATTCATCACCAAGAATACAATGCAATTAAAGTTTCATTTTAATAATCACTTGTATATATGTATGATACAGCGATTGTGAATATATCAAACTGAAAGTTGAGCCATGATCCGAAGTATCATGTTTCATGATTTGTCAGCAGTTCTTAAGTGGAAGAAACGCATGCGTGATTAAACAAGTTGGTTAATAAACATAAATGAATCGAACTGAACAATTAATCAATTCAGTAAATGTTTATGCATAACCTTAAATTAGTGGGTGTGGCATTCTTGAACTGTCAAAAAGTGTAAACAAAGATTCCTTACTGAAGTAGTTGACGGCACTGACGTGTAGAAGAACTTTAGCACCATCTTGCAATGAAATTGTTGCAAACTTGAATCAAAAGGTAATCCTTAAAGGTGCAAATTTGCAGAGATGCAAAAATAAGTTGAGGATGCCGCTGATTTAGGATGGATGTAGGCTGCTTATATTCCCCTTCCGGGTTTCAAGTTCTACACATGAAGTAACTACGTATTTCTACTTCCGGTTACTCTCAATTTGCTCACCATTTGCTTACGTCACACTTTCTTACACATCCGTTCTCTTGTTGCTGGGCAGGTAAACAAATCCACACCGGGTACATATTTTCATAAAGCATGGAAGTAAACGTCAATAGATGGATATACAATATGTTTAGTGATGAAGTTTTAACAACATAGAAGCATTTGGTATGTATATGGACAACTACTATGTGCCGAAATTATAGGATAAATACCAGTTGATCATTGAAAATGCAGTAACATTTCCTTTGAGTTGTGTAAAATCTATTTGGACATCATACAAAAAAGATAGTAATAATTATAGACACGTAGACGACAAGTACATAAATGTTCTTTAGAATAAAATGAACTATACTATATCACTATATCACTATAAAGAAAAGAGTTGTTGGGTGATATGAGAAGGAATGTGAAACAGGAGATTGCATTGTAATTTACAGTGCTGAGTGTTACAGTAGCTACAGTAGCTGTACAGTACTAGTACAGTATAAGTAAACAGAAAATAGAAGTTAGTTTGCTGTTGTTACCTTTGACAATATGATAATTGCTTCATAATTTATTATTGATACTACTAAAGTGCTGATTCTTGGTACAGATTTTTATCACAATTCAAATAAATCTACCAATGGTAATTTTTAATACAATCTCATATATATGGCAAAGCGACACTGAGAGGTTATGATCATGTAATATTTTTATGAATAGCTATGTATTATACCATGTTTCAATAACAATCCCTTACTATGGACATGCAGCAGTAATAGAATTTGTATTGATTACCATATATATATGATGAAGAGGTTGGAAGTGTTTTTATTCATCAACCATCAACGAATATACCTTACCATCTTGGTACTGAATCTTGTCATGATAAACTGTCATTTAGGTAGGTCATCTATAAAGTATTATCAGAAACTGTCTGCAATTATTATAATGATATAAATCATTAGTTTATTTTACAATGCTGAGGCTAGTACTGATTAAAGTTAATATAGTGACTATATCCTTGTATCAGAGGGTTTTGCAATAGTAGTTTATAATTTCAGTTGGCAATTCATATTTTAAAAACTTCTGTTGATAAAGGCAAAGTTCTGTTTTGCACCTATCTTGTACAAACTATTTCTTGTCCAAAAAGTGTTGTATGCATTCAGATACAATCATATATCTTCTTGACTCATATTAAGCTTTCCCGAAATTCTGTCAAACAGCCATGTTAATGCTAATACATGATTTGAATCGTGAGATGACCTGTGTCTGTACCCTGGGCCTTTTGTGCATCACTGTGCACATGTATACAACAAATATTTTGATGTTATCATTTTTTGGGAAGTAAAAGTTAACATTTAGTTAACATATGCAAGTATATTGAAGAAAAGGAAGCAGAAGAAGTATATTAAAATGATTATACTCAAAAGCATGTGAAAAGCTTTTCTACTATGACTTTTTGTTGGATTAGGAAACAAGGAAAATACACCTGGAAAAGTAACTTTTTTTGATGATATTTTATGGAGCATTTCATCAGTGTCTGCTTAGCAAAATCATGTGGACTGGCAACACAAAATGTATGGTGTTCTTATATGTTTTTCTGTGATTTTCCTTCTTTATTATTATTAGTAAATGTAAGGATATATCCTATGCAAAACATTTTGTGTTGATAAAAAAAGTTGCAGAAACAAACATGAAAATAATTTTGTAAATATTTTCTCCCATTACATTTCCTCCTTTATACAATGTATGCTATAAATAGAAAAGCAAAGAAACTGGTCACATAGCGGCCTTGTTCAATGATGACAGAACAGATTGAAAAAGTTGTAATTATAGAGTACTGAAAGGGATTGCAAACTGATTTTCTTGGTAGAATTGAAGACTAAACATTGTTGATGTTCAGAACAAAGTAAAGTACACTGAGGTTTACTTGGCAATTTTCAGATAAGTGCTAAAAAAACTGATCACCCAAAGCTACTATTATAAATTTGTTTAATCATTAGCTCATTTTGATTTCTGGGATACTATCAACGTAAAAATATGTAGTTAATAAAACTTTATAACAAGTAATACCTTAGTCCTTGTTGATAAGGCCAAAAAAAATATATAGTCTGTTTAGGGTTGCATGGGCCAAAAAACTAGGGTAGGTAGGTTGTTGTTTTTTTGTTGTTTTTTGTATATTTTTGGTCATGTGATTTTGACCCTACTATTGTATGTAAAACAAAGAATTACATAAACAAGGTTCATTTGGAGGCAAATTGGGCTCCATATGATGACATTTAGTGCCAACACGGAGCTGGAAGCCATTTTGAAAGGCAAGGAACCTTCTAAAATTCGAAAATCAGCGGGTTTTTTCATCAAAAAGTTTTGGGTCGGGGGTAAAAAGCTAGGGTCGGTCGGGAACCCTAAACAGACACCTTTTTTTTGGCCTAACAGGTAATATTTACCATGTTAATAACAATACCATGTTTATAAAGTTGACGGGTAATACCATGTTTAAAATATGTACAGTAGGTAATACTTTGCTTAATTAAGTTTAACCATCTTATAATTTACATCAAAACTTTATTTTATAGTCCATTAAAAAAATTTAATGGACATTCTATTGATTAATGAACAATCCAGTTTACTCATTAAAATGTCTTTTTAAATTCTTTTCAGATGATTTCATTAAATACAAGATATGTGAAAGAAAGTGTGGAAATTGTGGAAAAGAAAGACAACTTAACAGTGAATATTGTGTAAAGATATCAACAAGATGAGTTATCGGGCGTCAGATAAAGAAACCGATGACTATGATTATAGCGACGATTCATTCGACAGTGAAGATGAAAAACCAGCAAGACGCACACAATCTTTGAATCGTGCTCGGAAAACAACAGGTATTATTGATTTAACATTTTTAATTTGTTTAAATGTTATAGATAAAACCAAGATTAGTCCTAGCCAAGAATCCTTCGTTTTCTTTCTGCATTGATTTAGTGAAATATATCAGTACTGTAATAGAAGTTTGTCCTTGTGTTTGACCTCATTATAGTTTTGTATTAGGCCAACAAAAGAATCATGTATGTTTCAGGTAAAACAGGGTAGGTCTGACGGTCAGAATTAATTTTCATTTTATGTTTTAATTATATTTTAGAGGGGAGGTAATTCAAGAAACTACAAAAATAACCAAACATAATTTTATGTCTTTTAAATAATAATATGGAATTGGTTTTCATACCTGACTATGAAGTAGAGAGGGTATATATATATATGTAGTTGCCTCCTTGTTTATTTGTCCATCAGTTTGGTAACATCCGGTGAACAAGCTATACCAACATTGGATGGAGTGCATTTGAGCGAGATAAAATTGTTAGGGTCAGAGGTAAAAACTAGGGTAGGTCGAGGTACCTGAAACATATATACATGTATATATGTATCCATCATGTTTTACTTTTTTTATATGTAATAGACTGTTTCTTTTGTTTTCTTTTGTTCTCAACCTGATTTTTTGTTTTTTTTATGAATTTTTGTTGCAATTGAAATTTTCAGAAGAAGTTTATTTAGGGAAAAAAGCTTGTAAGTATCGTATCATGGGGTTGTGTTGTTTTTCCAATCACTTGCTGCAAATTTAGTAACTTTCCTGGGTACATGTATGTAAAGTTGTAAATTTTACTTCATCATGTGATGTTTCTAACTCTCTGTGCAGGTTAGAATAATTAAAAGTATGTACATATTTGCTTGCATCTGCATGATTTGTGCTTGTCAGAACTATAAGGCACTAATGTTTAACACAGTCACATCTAGCAGCGGTGATATAGATGGTACCGGTATGTTCTTTAGGACTCCTATCTGATAACATTGGAAAGGTCACACAAATACTGGAGGGTCTGGGGCACCTTTGAAATTCAACATACTTCTTTTAATACAGACTTTTCTAAGAGTGTTAAGGAAATGTTTTTTCTCTGAAATAGTTACCACGTATCTGAATGGTTATTGGTATCACATGTGCGTAAAATTCATATTTAGAATATATAATGTCTTAACCTGGAGATCTGTATTGAATTCGTCAGATGAAGCTTTTCAGAAAACTGTTATCTTGCTGTTAAATAAACTTTTACTTACATAATTTTGACATATTTTTTCCTTTCGATTTTAACATGTTGTTTACTTCAAAGATGATAATTCTGTTTTAAAACTGCTTTGTAGCATATAACATTGACTCAAAATATTAATATGGGTAACAGCAGACTTACAAGTATCTGTCTACCATGGACACACGTTCTCAGAATCTCAGACTTTTAGACATGTGGTATACCTAAGGTCTTAGGGTCTTAGTATTTATTTCAAACCAAAAATGAACACCAACCGTTTAGCTAAGGTCTCTACTGTTGACTGTTTTATCTAGATCTGAGGATGGTGTATTTGTGTCATTCCGCATTTTTTTAACCAAAACTGTCTTTTGCACTTATAGTGGTAAGTTTTTATCACAGAAACTAGACAGACAGATCTATATATTCAATTACATGGCATGCTTTTAAAGCCATAAAATGTGTACTATTTAAGAAGGTTTACAATATCTCGGACAACAGATTTAACCAATCTGGGTCCGTGTTCTGTGTGCGGCCTATAAAAAATGTACCGTTACTTATTACTACGCTTATGTATCATTGATTTTCACGACAGCTGTTGCATTTTACGCCATGCGACTTACAGTATTCTTGTCCGTCATTGGATGGTAGCTACATGGTTTACAAATGGCATATATCCATTACAAGTTTCATGTATAATTAAGCTTTATTTTGTGGAATAATCCAGCATGCTTTTCACCTGCATGTTAATTTTTTGTGAAATGTACTACATATTATTGCCATACATTGTATAGGGAACATGTACATTTGTGCTGTGTTTATTGCATGTGTAGTGTAATATATATATCATGCAGAGATTATACATTTGCCAATTACACATTTGCCTTACAGATAACCTATATTGTACTCATGAGAAAACAAGGAACTATTTTCTCCATTTTACATATTTATTTTTAAGTTCAACAGACTGTGTTATAGAACTTTACATATATATGTAGTGTCTGATATATCAATTCATATTTATGAAATATTAGAAAGAGGGATAATTCCACCTATTCCCAAGGGTAGGTTATGAATTTAGTATGAGTCGAGACTCTAGTGGAGGATATTGATTCCGGGGCTTTGGCAGATTTCTAGTCACGTACGTAATCTTTAAAAGCAAATTGTAATTCAATTAAAAAGTCTTAACTTCCTTGATGTGACATTTACGAACAGGATTAGAATTTAACAATCAGGATTTAGAAGGTTATGGGCACAGGACCTTGGCATGTGTAGAAGCAACTGATGAATTCATCAACAGAACAAGACTTTCTGTGTCCATCCTATCTTAATATGGAAACCATAAAAATTCAAAATTCAAACAGTCGCCTAGTACTTAGCTCATTAACTGGGTCGGCTAATCATGTGTTGTGTACTGGATTGGCCGAGTCTGGTCAGGTCAGCCTCTATTGTATCCTGAAATAGCTTCGTCATACAGTATGGTTGTAGCACGCTATACTATAGCATGCTCAGAGACATTGAAGGAGTGATGGAAAGTTAGGGATCAACACCTTGGTTAGTAGTGTCCTTATAACGCCAGACAGGTATTGATGGCTAGAATAGTAGATAGACATGATGGTTTAAAGAAAATTAATCGTTCTACTGCATCCATCTTTATACAAGTGAAGACAACCAAACATAGGCCAGCTGCATATTTTTTCCTGTGAACCCTGCTTTGGATCATAAAAATAAAATAAAAATAATGATCTCCTGTACCTATTATAGTGCTTGGTATCTGTGACAAAAAAATAGAACCCAGTTGACTTATTGAAATATTGAGGTTGTTAGAATAATATAATCGGAATAAGGCTATTTTCTGAATATAAGTTGTCTACTACACATAAACGGGGGAAAAAATCATGCTATATAAAAATTTACGAGTAAGCATACAAGCTCTCATACAGGTATATAAATGCTAGGTAAACATCAGAAGATGGGCAAAATTACAACACAGATAAACTGCCAAGGTACACAGACGTGTTGTTTCCTTCTAAGGTGAACTGTGAAAATGATCAGAGCCAAACTTTTATAAGATTAATCAACCTTTATGAACATGAGGACTTTTAAATGTACCTTAAACAGTTTATCTATGGCGTCTAGTCCCAACAATGTGTATCGAGGATAAGGGAACAAGCCCGTTTCTGTTAGGACCACATCGTCTTATGTATATATAATCCCTTTTCGTGTAGGACACATTGATCTTTGTAACGGGAAGGATTCCCGTAGGTTTTAAGCCATATATCTATAACAAGCCTACATTTATACAATCTTCTATAAAACCCCATAGCCTACATTTCTAGTTTATATTGAACAGAACTGTATTAGAACGGTTCACAAACTCTACTGTATATAAATCCTAGGAACAGTTGTGGTAAAGTTTGGCCAGTTTTCAGTTTTGTGACATTTAAAAAGTCTGCTTTACAGCAAAAGAGGAAAAGACATTTCATCCATTAATAGATTTGTGTGCTGGTCGACCAGTTGTGTGTGTTAATTGTGATATTTCAATGAAGGATCGTATATGGTTAAATTTGAGATTAGATATTTGAACAAGATGCAAGTTACACACTATAGCATTAAAGTCTTGGTCATATACCAGTGTACATGGAGTGTTCAGATCGGCCAGCTATGATGGGACGTCAAAACGGTGAGCATTCATACAGCTGTTCCTTTAATTTATCTACCGTCATTTTCACAGAACGGGATTCCAAATAGATCATAGATTTCTTCACTATCCTATCCTATGACTTTTCAATACAATTCTGTTTTGTTTGATCTAAGATTTACATGGTGTGCAACTGGAGACAGTTTGTTGCTAAGGAGGGTTACAAGGATTAAGGTTTCTATATCTATAATGATAAGTTAATGAGGAGTATTTGTTTATCTAGGTGTATTTAATAACATAACACTTACAGAAGTGTCACACTAGCATCATATTGTCAGGGAGACAAACAGTGGTGTCACTAATGTTAGAATACAAGCCTCATTAAAAAACTTTGTTATGGAACATTATTTTAATTTGACCCTAATACAGCCAAAGTTATCAATTAAAAGTTACTGTCTAACATAAGCAATTTGAATAAGTTACAATCTAAGGTATGGATTTTCATTGAGTAATACAGATCTTTTTCACTCTGAGTATAGATTTCCCTGACAGATAATCGTGTCACTATAACACAAACCCTGATGTTGACATAAGCTAGTGTGCTATAGACAATGTTTTGGTTTGTAATTTCCATAGGTATACAGCAAGGCTGCCCTGTTTGTCATCTATTATTTAAGTAACCTAGTGGTGATGGAAGCGCTTTGCCATTATTTACATTTAATTAGACAGTGATCAATTATTTAATTAAGCATACAGTTTTGTAAGGATAGGATGTAGATTGTTTACAGGTCTATCTTTCTACCTATACAGTCTGTACATGTCTAGTAGCTAGGTCATCAAAGTTTTAACAGGCAAACAAGATCAGTTGGATAATGAAGAGTGTTTTATATACACCTGTACAAGGTTACCGGTACCCGTAGTCAACACAATGCCAGGACAAACCCTTACAGACATACATCAATTCTCTTAATACTTCTATCAATGTTTTAATATGTCTATTGATTCACAACATCAACGAACCATCTGCTCGGCCAAGTTATTCAAAAGGTGATTATTTTATTCACTGTTTAACGGCATTTCACAACGTCTTATAATTTGATCAATATCCTAGGATAAAACTAATAAATTTTGCGTGTAATTTTACTCTACGTAACTATTTGCTACTTGGAAAATTTAATCTCAATTAATTGTTGCATTTTAAAGGAAAAAAATATTGGCACTAATCACTGATAAAGCTAATCACCTTTTGAACAGATGGGCCCTGGATTTTAGCTCACCTGACCTGAAGGGCCATTTGAGCTTATGGCATGGTATGGGATTGGTCGTTTCTTCTGTAAAAAACTTTTCCTCTAGAACTGTTGCAGGGATTTTGACAAAAGTTGGTAGTATCTGTTAATCCAGTATAGTGATGGACACTGGTGTCTGGGCTATAACATACAGTAGAAACAGTTGAGATTCCCACCTTAAATACACAATTGCTTGGATTGAAGAGATAAACAAGATCATATTATAAGAACTGACCCCATTCCAGGAGAATTGGTCAATGGGTCATTAACCATGGGGTTCATCACTAGAGACTTATTTGCGAAATTACATGAAATTGAAATATTTTGCAATATCAATATTAATATCCTGTGAGCAATACACATATATTGTATATATGCTTTTGTAGATTATACAGATATTTGAATTATCATATTTCTAGATTTGAACAATTTGATTCCAGTTTCAAACCAAATGAAAGCACATTGATATATCAGTTGTAATCAGTACCCCATGTACAGATGGGTTGATGTTATACTGTAACGTAGGATATATGGTAAATAAAACAATATTGAGTAGAGTGTAGCAGAATGTACCAGGCAATCCCATTGACATAATTAACAAAATTCAATACTTTTAGCTGATGTCTGTAGTGAGACTGGGGAACGCCAGGACGAACTAAAGAACAACTGTTACGAGAAATGATATTGATTTAATCACTGCCTAGAAGACATCTAGGTGATAGTTGTTATTAATTATCAAAACACCTACTTCTTCCATTCTTAATTCAATAATGAATACAACGTGTGTATCATCAGTATATCTGGTACTTTGTCCGTATACCATAAGGTAGTTGGATGGCATAGTGGTTAGCACACTTGGCTTTCACCAAGACAGCTGGGGTTTTATTCTCTGATTGGTTGTGGAAGGTATGGGTTAACCTTCCCAACCACATGGAGTTTTTTCTTGGTACTCCATTTTCCAACAGGAGTGATTAATATAAGTTGACAAGAAAATATTGTTTCAAGATTTTTGTAAAACAAATTAAGTTCAATTGATATTTATCTTTGAGGTATGTCAAAGATTGCTATGATGTTTATTTAGGTGAAGTTTTTGAAATCTGCCTTAAATTATGATCATAGTTTCCAATAAAAGCATCAACTTATAAATATGTTATTTTTATGTGAATTCTTGCTAGATAGGTAATTGTTTTATTGCTTCTCTGTTGATTTTGGCAGATTAGTTAGTGAATGTATTTGCCGTCAGATATTTTGATTCAGTACCTGCTCTGAAAGTTGATGTATTCTTGCCAACTGTACGCAGTGTCTTATATCAGACACCTCGCAGATTTCTTTAAAGGTAGGAAATAAATGACAAACCATATTTAGGTCCGAAAGTTTTGGTTGCTGCGCAAACTTTTGGTAATGTTTTATGCCCATGAGACAATTTCCATGGACAATTTCTCTTTAACTATGTTTTGTCATTCCACTTGTATATATATATCAGCTTTAATGCTATAGTTTGTTGACAAATAAATGATTGACATTTTTTTTCTTTGTCAGCCCCGAAGAAGGATGACAGCCGCGGTAAGGGCCGGGGAAAGGGGCGGGGCAAACAGCGGTCAACCAGTCAGGTGACACCAAGGGTCGACCCCGTTGTACAGCGTGTCTTGTCCGCACGTAAACTCCGAATCAACGAGCTAAGAAATAATATGGAGGACCTTGTCAAACAAATAGAAGACTTAAGGGAGGAAAATAAATTGTTAAAGAAGACTCAGTATAGACAGGAAAAGGCACTGAATAGATTTGATGAACGGGAGAGTGACTTGCCTCAGATTATGCAAAGACACAATAATGAAACTCGGACAATGCGAGAACAGTTAAAGAAAACAAAAGACAAATATGACAGAACAGACAGATATCTTCGAGATGCCGAGGATGAACTTGAAAAAGTGAAAAATAAAGTGAAAAAATATAAAAGATTAGTGGACGAAAACGATTTAATGGAAAGGGATGATCTTCAAACCAAAGTAAAGAAGGCAGAGATTGACATTGAGGAAAAGGAAGTAAAGATTAAGGTAAAAGGTCTTAGATTCTTTTTCTATTAGTGCTGGGTAGATATTTTTTCTGGACTATTAAGTTATCTATAACAGAGCACTTTTACAGTCATTTCAAATATAATGTTGCAGCTTTTCACTATGTTATGACTTGCAGTAAAAATTGACCAATTGCTGCAAATAGAAAGTGTTCAAACTAAGTGGTAACTTTTTATTAAGGCTCTGCATCAGAGATGCAGATGCAAGCAGTATTCATGGACCATAGATAGATAGATCGATTGCGACGCGGTAGAATGGTCGACAGCGCCGTGCTGTGATGGAAGGGTTGAAGAAAACCATAGTGCATCAAAAAAAATCTGGGGAGAACACTGATGGTGTCCATCAATCCAGCCATTTGTCAGTCTGTCTGTCCATCAAGATGGGCACAGGTCAAGGTCAATGTCACTGATACATGTACTGTGAAAAGTACATTTGACTGCCCTTTCTGACTCAGGGTTCACGTTGATTGTAAATAGTACATATAGATATCTTATGTTAATGACACAGTATTTCCTAGATCCTGAAATCCAAATGGCCACCATCTATTGGTTCAGACATAGTCACATTAAATAGCTAACTTTTATAAGGTTAACTGATGTGATTTTGTTCGCTCTTGTTGGTAAATGCATGGTACCTAGTGGATAGGTTTATGTTGAGTAGAAACATCATCATGATCCCATAAACCAAGATGGCCACAATGGCATCCGATTGGCTTCAGAGACCTTTGGGTTATAACTTCTGCTCTGCTGCTATAATTTTGTTCAGATTACATACACAAGGATTGCTGGGCTTCTGCTCTGTGATCACAGATGATATGTGGTCCGACACATTAAAGGGTCCTTGTTGGCCTGTCCATGTTTTAGTTAGGCTTTGTAATAGTATCTTCCTTTGTGAAATCTTATGCTTATGATCAAATTATTATTTAATTGATTTTTTTTGCAAAGGAACATACCCCTCCCTGTCTTGTTCAGGCAGAAAACAATATAAATCTGTCTATCCTTATTATTAAAGATGACACCAGAGTATCGTATTTCTAAAAAGGTCAAATATGTTTAGATGTTTCTATAATAGTGCAGTTTTGATTTAAAACAATTTTAAAATGAAAAGACATCGATGAAAACTGCATAAATATTTTGATCAAGGGAGACAATTCTGGAACTGAGCAAAAATAGCTAATTTCCATTTAATGCCGTAAATATTAAATATCGGATTACACAACCATACTTAGATATCTTTCTGACAAATCCAGTTTCTTTTAGGTGTTTATTTATCTAGATGTATCATAGACATGTTCCAATTTTTAAAAAAAAATGTACCGTATTTGAATGTAAAATTTTCAATACTTGTTATCAATTCTGATATTTAGGTGACCTTTGGAATGCTGATGACGTTTGTCATTTCAAGACATATTTCTTTCTTTGAAGTGGTGGATAATTATATTTTCTGTTTACAGAAAGGTCTTATTTTATTTTCGGGCCTAATTCTTTTTTGACCAACCTTGTTCTTTAGTGACCCTGAATCAATACAAAATGAATGAATGTTGCATTCCTCACCAGTTCATTGTAAATTCTCTTTCAAGTAAGATAACATAATTTTAATGCTACAATTACAAGGAACACCTAGTTGTATTCAGGAAAGATAGAGGCAGTTTATGACCGACAATCCCAGTATATGGTGATAAAATCTGTTGGTTACCTGACTTTATTTACGCTATGGTAACAGACAACCATCCTCTGGGGAGTTTAGATGTTCTGAGTCTGGAAAATCAATGGAAGCCCAATAACACTATGTATATTATACATAAATTAATGGGGGCTGATATCCATAATGATAAATAGGTTTCAGTCATACAAAGTCAGGGTATTGGAATGAAGATTCTGACTGAAGTGTTGATGGCTGTGTAGACTAAACTCTGGACAAAAGAAGAAATTATATGTTGTAATAAATACTGATGTTGTCAGCGGTACATGAAATATTCATTTTAAGTAGATCCAAATCAGAATTTTATGGAAACAGTTACAGATATATATAGCAGGCAGTTTAGCTGGAACTTTGTTACTTGCATTAGGACACATTTCTGCAAACCAGCGTCAAGGAAAAGTGCTCCAACAGACATTGCAGCTATATTAATAAGTAATATAAACATTAATAAGTAATATAAACAGTACTGTTGAATCTCACTCATCCAACCACCACTAATCTGATCATTCCATTTATGTAGTTTGAGTATTCTAAAGGACAGATTTGGCCCTTTTCGATACAATATTGTCCTAGTGGTCCAGAACTCACAATCCAGTCACTTTTACTGAGAACAAAGGTAGCTGGATTAGCAATACTCCATTTTAGTTGTGTTTCTGTAGAAAGCTATATAATTACTTGAATTTTAAACCTAATCCACGGTGACAGGGGCAGACCCATCAGCCAGTAATATGTATATGTATTCCTGGAAATATCTGCATGGAGTTTCTTTTGAATATATATCTAGTGTAGGCATTCTGAAGGTAAAATGAGTGTTTGTCAAATGTGCCACTTGCCACAAAAATACAGGTTTGTCTTTGAAAACTCCCAGAGATCTTCTACTCATATTATATAGCTATTTATTGATCTTAATTTTGAACACTTGTAGAAAGTATCATAATCATCTAGCAATAAGCCCATACCTGATAATAAGCCCACCCATATCTATTGTATTCAGAATATGAAATGCCAACAAGTGCTGTTTTAATGTCCTGTAATACGCCCACCCTTCTATTTTCGTTAGAAATTATATTATTGGCTCCACAGGCTTATTAGAGGATGTGTATGCATGGTAAATATGATGAAAGTGTTTCAATTGATCAAAAGCAATGAAAAGTAGTGACAAATTAAGCTGAACATAATTAGATAGAGGAAGTCAAAGTTAAAAGAATATGGCAGTTGTTAAGTTTTAGGGACCATCACACTTTACATCATTGGTCACATGATGCAAATAATAATACGGCTCGATCGCTTCAAATTAAAGGTCCTTCAATGGTAAAACCATACTCCATACTAGACTATCTTATCAAAGGTCAAATCAACATGTACTTTATACTTTCGCCCAAAATCCAAATCCACATTTTATAGGTGGTTATACATGTTTGGTGTAACATAATTATTCATACTTTTGTAGCTATAGAAAAAAATTGGTATATGGAAAATGTATTGTACTAAGCAGGATCTGCTTTGAATTCAATGAAATCAACAAGGGCATAGCTAGATGGTTTATTGGAATGTGTCCGAACAGACATGCTTGAAATATCAAAATTTGCAATCTAGACTCCTCATGAATTTAAACCTAAGAAAAATGGCTCTCGTAATATAACTGCATAGTACAGGATATTTAGGTAGCGATTATCATGTAAACAAATTAAATACATCAAAGATGATTCAATAAATCTATGTCCAATTTACCTTAGACTAATCAATGATGTTTATTTTCAGGATTTAGAAAGACATGTCACCCATTTATCAAAAAACCATCGCCATGAACTTGGCATTGAAATGGCAAGGACCCGAGATACAAAGAAACAAATGGAAACCCTGAGAGAGGAAAATGAAAGGCTAGAAAGACAGCTAAAGGTATGTAAACCCTAACAAAGTCATTACCTACAACTGGGGGGTTGTGACCCAACGTTCCTGCAAGGAAGTCAGTTCCATAGCGGCGGTAGGGATCCTGGGGTGGATACCTTAATGGTATTCAACAGTGCTCATCAGAGAAAGCAGAGCAAATGAAAGTAGAAATGAAGAGCAACAACACTACTGAATCCGGTACAAAATGTAATGTTTGACTTACATCCTACGTGCGGACATGTTTCGGCCGGGTGAAAAAGTTTTTTGTGTGCTCTGAAGAAGGCCTCCCTTTGGCCGCAACATGTCAGTAAGTAGGATGTAAGTCAAACATTACATTTTGAACCGGATTCAGTGGTGTTGTTGCTCATCATTTCTATTTTCAAAGTAATTACCTGTATAGCAGTCACCTTGTTCGTCCATCTGTCCTTCTGTTTTTACATGGGTGCATCCACTAACATTCTGTACGACCGAAATTTTTTGATAGCTTGAAGATTTCATTTTGTTTTAAACTAACATATTTGATAAATCACACATAGTTTAAAGTCCACGCATTGCACTATGTGTGAAGTTTAAAACGAAATGAAATCTTCAAGTTACCCATAATTATGGACCATACTGTGAGCATGTCATGTAACAATTAAGGGTCTCTAGAAGTCAATGTCAGGAAAAGGGGTCAGAGGTCAAACGTTATCCAGTCCATAGATGTATGGCCTGGTTTTTTAACGATATATAAATATACATGTATATGAATAATTGAAGATCCCAATTGAGCTTTTTTCATCTATTTCTAATCTGTTCGGTTTGAGATATTCATCTTTGTGTAATGGAAAAATCACCATATGGGTGTAGTTTCAAATAACCAAAGTAATACAGCAAATACATGTGTAGCATTTGCATTCAGATGTTATGAAGTGAATTTATAGGATGGATAGCCTGGTAAATATTCTATTAACCATTGATGTTTTATCTGATTAGCTGTTTCCAGTTTTATTCTAAAGAAAGACTTTGACATAAAATTTGTGACTGACAGCCTATCATCTGACAAATATTTGTATACAGTTGGCATGTTTAACTCATTTACCCCTGAAGTCACATTTGAGCTCTTCCAATTCAAAGGATGGAAAAGTTCATTATGATATTTAAGGGGTGAACGAGTTAAAGATAAGTATCGCTCTATCTAATTTCCTATTATGTTTCCAGGAAAAAGTAAAGGAATTGGAGATGAAAAATATCTATGCTAATCGAATGTCGAAACCTGGCAGTCGTATGATGCCGAACTCCTACAGTGGGACACCAATGAGACAGCAAAGCCCAAGCTCACCGAGACGGCGACGCCCACCCTCAGTCCATGATCTCAACCCCCGGGAAAAGGTCAAGTTGTATGAGGAGAGACGCAAAGAAGAGGAGAGGAAACAGCGAGAGGTGGGTATGGTGTCAAGATGACACTGTTTGAAGGTTCTGTGTTCACAGATAGAGGTTATTGGAATAATTTTTTTCAAACTATTTTTAAGCAAATATATTCTTATAGTCACACTTTCACTCTACACTCTTATATTAAACTGACACCAATCAAACATAGGTGTATTTTTTTTTCAATTTTATTTGATATTTCGTATTTTGAAATCTTATTATATACTAGTATGCAAATAACATTTGGTTAAGGGTATCGTGATATTCATACTTCATTTGAGGCGTTAAATATGTGGATCAGTACAACACACTGGCTGCTGCTGCTGCTGCTGCTGCTGCTGCCTTCCCTCACTAACTAAATTGCATGCAATTTTGCTTAAGTGTAGTCTCCCCTGTATTTTACCTTTTATCTATAAATTAACAAAAAATCTGAAAAGGAATTCCAAAAAAGGATTTAGATTTTCGTACTGAATCTAGTAATTAAAGTTTTACCGAATTATGTTTTTTTAATGATTTCCATGATTAAATAGGTTTTGCAGTATGACAAAATTCATTATATTGCTTTTATATAGGTATCTTTGATTTCTATTGCCCACGTCCTGGATTTCATATTTTGCATACCAAAACAACATACATTTGATATTTTTGACGGTAGTGAGTTTGATTTTGACCTTATTACATATATAATGTCTTTCTGAAAACTTTGATTGAAAGATTTATCCAGTACACTGACTAAAAATCATGCAGATGAATCTGATTGAATTTTATGTAAACTTGCACCGAGCAATCTTTCATGCACCTACAATGTTAATTTAAACTACAGATACACTAATAAGATATCTGGTAATATATGCACAGTTGTTGTAATATTGTGTACATACAAGTTTATCTCGTAACTGCTATAGGTTTTTATCTTAAGCATTCTATTGTTTATTTTTTGGAACAATTTTGGTGTGAAATGACATGATGTGACACGTCAAAATTGCTTTATGTCGCGTTTTCCATCAAATTTTCCCTGACCAGAATAGTTAAATCATGTGTCTTGTACAGAAATTGAGAAAAGAACATCATCTTTCATTTATTGATATATAGGATAAGAGGGACACCAAACATGAATGTGATAAATATCAAGTCTGAATTTATTCTCAAATGTAATCTGTACTCTGGAGTTTGGAGATTATTATCAAGAATAAACTCCATCTATTGGCTATAAATTCTAACCAATCAGCACTTGTGTCGGATATACCACCTATACTCACTACTGTATTTGTCAATTTCTTCGATATGTGTGAATGTTTACATATTTTTTTGCTTCTGAAACAATGAGTTTCGTCATCACAAATGAAGTGGTAATATTTTGTATAAAAATTTGAACCACTTAGAGTGCATCGCCAATTCCAAGACTACGGTTTTCTCGGGAAAGCAAGGAGTACGAAAAGGTATAATTTGTTGTTAATTGTTATGATGGAAACCAGCAATCAGTTTACCATACAAAAAGATTTTTGCTGGACTTGTGGTTCCTAACACTAACATTGATTTTCAAAGAAATCTTGATTGGCCTGATACTTCTTATTTATAGAGAAAAAAAAATTGTCGGCCTTGATTGATTAAATACATTGATTTAAATTCATTTTTATACCAGAATACAATGTATAAATGTTTGGGTTTTTTTAAAAATCATTTCTGTGTAATTATAGTTGAAAAGAGAGATTCCTTGCCCCAAAACCATTTAACTTTTACAATAATTTTCTGTTCTAAAAAAAAATCGTTTCCAAATAAATAAGTGCGATTTTGATTGTTAAATAATCTTGACGATTTGATGGTAATCTATTTTTCAACTGATCAGGGAGATGATTCCCCGACCTCTGAGGTACTATCATCATAATGTCTGTTCTACAGTACGTTATTGACTTACATGTGTTTGCTGGTTCCCACAATATGTACCACTCAGAACATCCTCGATATCCAGGGGTTACGCTCACTTTCGCTCTCTACACCCCTGGAATATGTCATAGCAAAATTGAAGACACGAAGATAGCTGTTTGATTGGTCTCAGATTAAAAAAAACCTGACCAATCGCTAGGCTGATACCTGTCTTTTGAAGATTACAAAGGAGAGACGCCCGTCTTCAAAAGCCTGTCAATTTTTACCATTACATGACCGTGAGATTCTTTTGATGTACATCAAAGGATCGAACTATTCTTCTTGTCTCATCAACAAGGTGGCGCACACTGAGCCTTCAATTTTGCTATGACATATTCTAGAGGTGTAGAGAGCGAAAGTGAGCGTAACCCCTGGATATCGAGGATGCGTTGAGAATGGCTGTTCAAGTAACTTGTCTTATAGCCAAGCATGTTGTTTACGCCAAAAGTTGGCAAACCTGCCGCATGTAAAACAAAATTTGTAAGCTGTGTTGTTTCTTTGTTGTTTCTAACTTCTGAAGCTGAAAGAAAAATTGAAATCCATAAGAGGTTGTCAAGATCTTTTCAGAACGGAACAAATTGCCTTATGTATGATTCTGATCCATAGTTATTGTTATAACTTATTTAATTTTATTGGTCTGAAAATTTAGAATTATAAATATGTCGCGTCATTTGAAGAAATTGGTGAGGATTTTTAGGAGATTTATTCCAGTTGTAATTTTCCCTGCAACATCAATTTTAAACCATTTACAATGGTAGTTATTAATAAGGAAAAATGCTTTTTTCTTTGTATAGAATATTCAAATTTTGTATGACATTAGAAACTGATTAAAATCTCAAGCTCTTTATACAAGTTTTTACAAGTTTAATTCTTGTTGCTAACATTGTTATATTATTACTTTGTTAAAAAATACCTGAAATTTAATTTTTCTTTCCTACCTTTTTGAGAAAAAAGTGGGCGATTGGGCTTTTGTTTGTTTTTTAATGAACTAATGCTTTATAGCAATTTTAATGTTTAATATAAGAAAATCTAAATTAGATGAAATTTATGGTAAATCTTCAACAAAACTTGTTGACTGTATTAAATTTCTTAAATATGCAAAAATGTGAGCCACAAAAAAAATCTGAAACTTTCTCGATGTCAGACATTGAATGCATCAAGTTAAATTCATTGTATAAAAATTGTGTCTTTATATAGTCCAGTGTCATCTTTGGTCACTTTGGCGTTCGCGGTGATATCATATGACCAAGTGATGTAAAGCAACGAAATATAAAATAAAATATTTGAAGCTTTTTTAGACAGAAAAGGAAATGTCTGAAGCTTTGAACAATATATATTGTGTATGGTAATTCTGGTTAAGGAGTAATAGAAAACGAAATATAATATTGTATGATATTTGAGAATCTCAAATACTGGAATAGCATAAAAATATTCAAGGAAATGTTTTAAGTGACATCAAATCAGGCATCGTCCATCTTCTTTCTCAACATGTGTTGATATCTGTGGCCCATTATAAGTGTAACGTCACGCTACCACAATTGGTACAAGGTCAGAAGATGGATCGAAAAAAACGTTTAAAATTAAATTTGAGCATTTTCCTCTTGACAGTATAACAAAAGTGTTATTTATCAGCATTTCCACCGAATAGTTTTGTTTTCAGGAACATTTTAAGAGTACATGATGACTTCAAATTAAACAGTGAAAACGATGTACGTCAATAACATTTTGGAGGATTAAATATAAGCATGTTGAAATTGTGATTTCAGATCCTTATAACCGGATAATATAAAAGTGTATATATACAATTGTAGTTCAGTATGGTATTTATTAAAAAGCAGTATATTTTGTTGCAATCGTTACATAACTAGAATAAGTAAAAACATGTTCATAGCCTGTGATATTGTGTACCAATTTGGGTACTAATCATGGCCGAAAAAACTGACGAAATCTCTCTGCAAGTTTAGTGTTCTATTTTCAAAAACAAATTACTTAAATAGAACCAAAACTTTTTCTGAAAATGAACCACCATGAGTAGTTTTTGTCAAGCAGTCCAGATACAAGATCTGAATTTTAAATATCACGGAAAAACTGTTAAAATTGTACCCATTGTGGTAGCGTGACGTTACAGACAGGTGTATACTGTAATACACTCAACTGCTTAAGATATATCTCCTCACTTGATAACAATGTTATACCAATGCATATATATCTCTTTAACTTAAACACCATGTAAAGCATGCTCTTGTATTGTTGCCATGTTTCATTACATGTGTTAGTCAAAAATAATATTTCTGCTAATTAACATCAACATGTGTTGGTAATCTTCAGTTTAGTGAAATTGTTATTAAATGAATAACAGATGACCATTGCTTTCCTTTCTGCTTCAATCAGAAATTAACTTGAGGTTCAACATCCAACCAATGCTTGATATGAAAGATTCATATTTTAACAAAGGTTTCTAAAACCGATTTTCCACTTTCAGGTCGTCTGTAAGCCAACACTTGGCTGTTTAAAATTATCTGTTGTTACCTGTTTGTCTTTTTCAGAAAACAATAACTCGTTACTCAAATTAACAATGACTCTGTTAGAATAATCTGTTTATAAACTGTTGCAACATATTGATGATAGCCATTTATATCTTTTACAAAACTCTCTTAAATTACAACATCATTTCACTATGACTCTTATCTTCATTTCTAGTAGCTGAACTCAAAGTTAAAAGTAAAAACACCTGGTTATGGTATTTTAAAATGGAGGTGAATTTGGTATAAATATTATAATAGTACATGTAATATGTTCAGGGCTATGAAACTTGGCTTGTGTTTGATAGTGACTTCATTTCTAAAAAGAACCAATAATATTTCTCAAAATTCCAGTATTCAACTTGAATACTGAAATTCAAAATTCAAAATTCAAAATTGAATATGATGATTTTTTTATTTTCAACATCTATTCGAAAAATTACAGAATAAATGTAGAAAATAAGAAAACCCTGAATGTTTTTTGCACACAGAACATGTTACTACTTATAGTGGTTTAAGGGTTAGAGATACATTGCTGTTACTGTAGATCTCAGTGGTGAATTGTCTTGGTAGATTGATTTAGATGGGTTATTTTCTCTTTTATAATTGACCAATAATATTTTTGACTGACAGAAGAGAGCAGTCAAGTCCAAAGCCACTCCTGGATACCGTGGTGGTTCCTTGTCGCCAAGGAAACCTGTTTCTACGGAACCAGTAGCATCTAAAAAAGAGGATTATTCAAGTAAGGCATGGAGGTCAAGTCGACAGGGACAGTCCGAGAAACCAAAAGGCTCAGAAAGACTGTCCGATACACACAGGTCATTCCTATATAATGACAAGAAGAACAAAGCAGGTGACAAATCCAGTAAATTCTCTTGGGGAGCAGACGACAGCTATGGAGGCAATAAGACTCCTTCTTCCAGAGGTCACAATGATGATAATGAGAGGGCACCGAGTGCAGGGTCCAAAGAGTGGGAGAGAATTGAAGAGGACACTGATGATACTTACTCCAAGCCATTCCGGTTCCAAGACCAGACTTCACCTAAAAAATCCCCCAGACATGAAAAATCTACTTTCACAGCCTCAGAAAAGAAATGGCCTTGGGAAAAGTCGAGTGATAACACACACAATGTAAGCAAGAAGCCTCCGGTGGGAAGCACGCGTATCTATGCATCGCCACCTGTTGGTAAAAGTAGATACAAATCTGTCAGCAAAACATCTACTCTTGCTTCCACTTCAACATATACTGCTGGGGAGACCGAGGTGATGGGGCGTTTAGTGTGTGGCGGGTATCGTTAACGACCCCTTTTGTAGTGGATTTTGTTTCAACTAAAACTCTAAAATTACTTGCACTTTTTTTTTTAGATTTTGTTTGAAAAGCTGGAAGGGATGCTCAATGAAGTAATTTCATGTTGCTGTTTTATGTATATTAGTAATTCATGCATATGTCCGTGTATACAAGAGTGTCTAGTATTAATTCATACTTTTGATTTAAACATGTACTTCAACTGAGAAAAAAAAAGTTCAAATCCCATTTAAATGTTAATGGTAAACCCCTGAGTTAACTAAACTTTTCTCAACCCATTGACTTCCCAGCTTGCTTGAATTTTTTAAAATAGTTTCTTTTTTATGAAAGAGCTTTCTTCACTCTTAAAGAGAGAAGAATGCTACTTGTGTTTGTAACACTGTTAGTTACCTTTTTAAACATGCCAGACATTTTCCTGACATTTATTTCTTTGAGGAAGTTGATCTTTATCTGCATACAAATGTTTTCTGAACAACACAATTGACGATGTTGTCTTTAACTATAGTGTATTTAAAATTAAATAATTTGGTTACATATTGACACAGTAAAAATAAACTCATATTCATGTGAAAACGAGCAAATTGAGCCGACACTGTATGCTTTTAAGAATTAAACCTCGTCATTAACTGTTTATAATATGATTCTTCCTCTGCAGATCTATAGCCGTCCACCATCTTGAATTCTCTGAGTGATTCTGCTGTGCTCTCGATTGCATTTAACCAGATTTTGTATGACTTAACACCTGACGTGCCAGATTTGTATTAATATATATCAATATATGACGTAGAAATATATTTATGTATATATCAATATCTCCGTATAATTAATTAATGCAACTAATATCCTAAGATCTTATTCACAGGAGCTTGCAGATACTTTAAGTTAACAGAGGGTGAATTTGATTAGGAGAGTAAAAGTAGGGTTGGTTCAGTGATGCATAAAGTACGGCAATTTATAGGTCGTCTGCAACGCGAGGCAGCATATAGGTATTACTTTGTCGGCGGCGTTGGTTGTGTCGTCCAAAACAAGGTTCAAACTTGAATTCCCTTGGGTTGATTGATCTTAGACTTGGTACATATATTGCATACCAATATAGCTCAGACGAGTTCGCATTTCAGAAGTTTACGTGCATTTTTGGTGGAGTTATGCCCCTTTTTATTGCTGTGTAGTAAATGCAAGAATTTTTGTTTTTTTAATCAATTCCTTTCAAATTTTGTACGGTAATGGTAGAAGCAATAATGTTCAACATATATAACAGGTTTTTTCTGTCGAGTTTCAACTTTCCACGTTTTGGCATATCTGTTTATGCGATAACTCAAGCCAAAACACCTTTCTTACTAAAAGCGCTGAGCAGGCGACACATCCACTCATGTGGATTTTTTTAATTATTTATCTAGTATTTAAGATTTGAAAGAAAGAAATGTCATTTCTGGTGTTTTTGAACACGAGTCTTCAACTCCTTGAGATGTAAAAGAAACTCAACATAAATGTTTACAGACATATATTTTTGTATTTGAGATAAAAAAAAACAATTTACAGAAGATTTTGACAGTAGGAGCTTAATATCTTCAACTTGTTTCTTAAAGTGGAAAAAGGAAATAAAATAGATTCAAGTGAGTTGTGGAAAGTATAAACTTTAGCTTAAACAACATTCATGTGTATTTCAGTCTGTGTTTACAAGTGTCTGATTTCTGCCATGTTTAGTTCTTCTTAGTGTCCTCTGCTGTAATTTGTACCATGCTGAAATAGTGATAAAGTCATCAGGCTTTCAAGAAGAAAACAAGCTCTTTTATATCAAGAATGTGTTGGAGTTATCCTTATCCTTGCTCATTCTATTCTCTCTATTTGTTTATTCGTTAAGACATCTGTAGGTGTCGTTTTTGTTCCCTCCTGTAAGGTGTCAGACTTGTGTACTTCATACTCAATCCTCTGTCTGTGGATATAGCCATGTATATGTAAATTAGTACACAATCTCTTATTTTTGAAATTGCTCGCATTCTTTCCAAGTGTAATTTCAGTTTTAAGTGTTAGAGGTCTGTCATGTATTATAATTTTTCGTGAAATTGTTATCAAATCTCTTTGGTACTTTCAAGACCTTTTCCTAAACTAAGGAATTCAATTGAAAGCAAAATATTTCGAGACAATGTAACAGTGACTGTTTATGCTTAAGTTTTTTTATCAGGTAATTAATAGAAATTGGTGTTTACCAAATGTTTTAAGTGATGTTCACAATTTGATTTTTAAAGAATTCAACTTTACCAGCTTGTCGTCACTCATTCTCGATATCCAGGGGTTACGCCCACTTACACTCTCTGCACGTAGACCAATCAAATAGCTAACCGAGAGCCTTTAATTTTACTATGACATATTCCAGGGGTGCAGAGAGCGTAAGTGAGCGTAACCCCTGGATATCGAGAATGACCGTCACTAATTCTAACTAAGAGTATATATAGATAGAAATATTAATATATTCATTGCTAAAAGTATGTGTTATATTTTGTTTGCAGTTTGAATTGTTTGTTGACTAACTTCAATAATAATGATTTTCAAAAATGTTAAAAAATATATACCTTTTTAGGATAATTTTCTGTTTACAACAGTATTTCTTAAAAGAAATATTGGTAAAAAGTGGAATAACTGCATATCCATTTAAGGATGTTAAACTTAAGCAACATATAATTAAAATTTTAATTACATAAATGAACGTATCTTTGAAATTTAATAAAAAAAAAATGTCTAGTACAGTATTTTTTGTTAGTCATATGTGTATATTCGTATAATACTAGTCCCATGCTTAAAAGCCATGAAGAATTTAACTGGAAATTTAACAATTATTTACATTGTTTATTCAATATTGCCTTTTTAGTTGAAACAAAATTCAATAAGTAAACAAGACTTTGTGTTTCTCTTTTTTAGCAACAGCAGAAAGTACTGGAGGAGAAAGATGCTCGTGAGAGGGGGCGCAAATTTCAGCAGGAACAGGAGGAGGAGTTTAAAAGGAAGGAACGGTGGGAACACATGGAACGTGTGCGACTGGATCAGGAGGAGAGGGAACAGGAGGAGCGAGAGAAACAGGAAAGAAGACGCCGAGACCGTGAGGGACAGGAACAACGTGAAAGAGAAGAGAAGGACAGGCGTGAAGCTGAGGAGTGGAAAATGAAACTAGAAAGAGAGCAAATGAAACGTGAAGCTGAGGAGTTAAAACGAGAACAGGAAGACCGACAAAGGCGAGAGAGAGAAAGGAAAGAACAAGAGAGACGAGCAGAAGAGGAGAGGGAACGTATACAGAGAGATCAACAAATGGATGAGGAAAGGCGTAAAAAGGATTCGTTGCTGGCAAAGCTACGCGATATTGATGATGGAAAGAAAACTAAAAGGGAAGAGAGTCATGATCCAGTTTTCCTTACAAACAAGACGGATAGTGATGTGGAGTCTATTACATCTAGTAAAAAAAGTTACCAGTTCACCAAGCCCGTAGAAAACCTTCACCATGGCAAATGGTCCCATGAGGATGTTACTATTCCCTATCTGGAAAAACAGAAAAAAAAGAAAGAGAAAGATGATGATGTTGGAGCGTACCAACCATCGTTTGGGCGACGGGGAGACACAAAGAAAACTGGCAAGAAAACAGGGGGTGATGTAGTTTTCAATGATGATTTTGCTAAGCCACCAAAGCACAGAGAGAACAAAAAGAAAAATCTTATGGCCGATTTGTTTGGTAATCAGCCCACCACAAACACCAGTAACAATAATGATGAAGACATTTTCAACAGTACAAATTTCGATAAGAAGAAAACTAACACAGCAAAATTGTCACTTTTTGATGATGAACCAAAACAAACTACAACAAAAAGAGAAAATTCATTATCGTTGTTTGGTGGCGGGAGTGCTCTGCTTGATGATGATGATACTACAAAAACGAAAGACTCTTCAAAATTGTTACCACGGCGACAACGCCATTCAACGACTACATTCCAGTCACGGCCAATGGTCACTGCAGTCGATAATTATGATGACGACATCGAGGAAGTCATTCTTTAGCAGCACACTGAATTTCTATGTCTTTAACCTTGTGTTGTTAAGTTTTGTATTCATAGTCATTTGTGTATTTATAAATTTTTATACAGGAATCTTGCAGAATATGTTTTACGTTGTTTGATATTCGAAGTCTATGTAATGATATACCTGTATGTAACTGATGGCCGTCATTGTCAGTTTTGTTGGTCAGATATATAGTAGTGGCCGTTGACCTCAAGTCATTCTCATGTATAATGCCGTATACTATTCATATAGGGATTGAATCTGGATTTTTCCAATGTTCATGCAAGTATGAATTGGGGAAATTTACTTACACACCACATGAGCGGCCATGGCTATATATATATATATATATATATAATTTAAAATATTTAAAGTGAAAAGGGCAATGCTTTTACCTCAAAACGAAATTTTTGTTGTAAATCTTTACACATGATTGGTTCACATTTGCACCTTTAAGGTTGTGGAAAATATTGCGAGGCAAGGTTAATCTGGTAACAGAGTCTTACAGATCCTTGGAGCTGATAGTGAGAATGGCTGCCTACCCCAGACCCAAACTGACAGTGACGGACTCGTGCTGTATGTGTTAAATTTCCGTCCGTTACCAAGTCGTATATTCATGATTGTTACTACCATGTCACAGTGTGCCAAGTGTGAAAGGATACGTCTGAATTACAATGGTAATTTTTTATGGGAAGTTGTTGACTTCTAAAAATCCTGAATAACAGTAACGCAGAACCTTTTTTATCTGGTGAGCTGTTGTATAATTGTTCAGATGTGTTAGTGGGGAGAGTAATATAAGGTTACGTATTTTACCATTTTGATCAACATTGTGTTATGCATTCTTATAGCTCCTTCAAATATAGATTAAAAGGTATAGTCATACTATCATTCACACAATTTCATTAAGGTAAATTTCAATTTTCACTTCTTTCAAAGATATTTTACACCTGTATACTTGTTTACCAAGATTTGTAATATCATGTATCTTTTAAAATTTAGAGACCATTTATTTTTCACAACTCCGTTGAATTGAATGTTGTAGTTCCAGGTTTATTCATATTGCTCATGAATTAAAGTAATCAAATATTTATGTTTTGGTCACAAATAACTGTGGTCCTGAGTGTACATTTATGTTCAGATTTCTTTTGTTAATTAAAATGAAATGAAATGGTCAATATTTAAATATGTACAACAAAATTTTATGTGCCCCTGGAAAATAAGACAACATTCAAATACTTGATACTTGAGTCTAGATTTATCATCATACCAGAATCAGGGCGTTTATCCTTCTTTTGTATGACAAGGTCTTTTTGTTGAGGACTGGATTGAGATGATTCAGGCCTATAGATTAGTGGCATCAAAATGAAGTTTACCTCGTGTCCAGCAGCGAACAAATTAATTTCCGTCCAAACAATCAGAAGGGTCAATCTGTTCATTTGGTGCAATGATTTAAGTACCTGGTAATTAAATTTAATCTTCTGTTTTTTTTACTGGTACTTGCAACAACATTCAACATCCAATATATATGTACTTTTACATGTGAACAATCTGAAAACTTTTCCCGTCCAATTTCTGTGTCTGTTGTAAATGGAGACGCCTATGAATCACCCACAAACTGAACACGTTTCCAATCATTGTCTTTTTTTCTCCCAATAAATAATTCCACCTTGCCCTCTCTATTATAAAGTTAAAGGTTCATATATCATAATTTATATTTTAATGTTTTTATTTTCATTTATGTTATTAATCTTCAAGGCAGTTTCTTTAGTTTTAATGACATTTAGTGTACATAATCTTTTATTGAGCTTTGCTACCTATGTATAACTGATTGTCAGGAATTTTTTATGGGATTAATCTTGTATTGGATTAAATATAATTTTTCTTACCCTTTCATTTGTACAAGGCTTAATCATTTGTTCAACAACCTTTGTTCAATCATTTTTGCAAAAATATTTATTTATGCAGATAATGTTAATGTAAACACAACATATGTATTTAATGTGTAATTGGCAAACTTAAGATGAAAAGACACTTAGTTACCTAGCAACAATCCATGAGCAAAAATGTGTTCAAGTCTAGCATCTCGATCGAGTCAACTGTGATACCATGTTGTGCTATTTTTATCTTTGTAATTTGTACTTTTTTGAAAATTAGAACAATTATCATGAACCTGAATTATTTAAAATTGTCAAAATTGTGAACTTTTTTTAAATGTGGTGTTTGTAAAATGTACAAGTTATGTTATTAGTTAGTGCAGCCAATGTATTTATGTGATGTGAATACCTGTCTTTTCTATTATGAATTATGATGCCATAGACCCAACTTATAAGAACAATAAAAAAAGTTGTCTCCCCTCCATCAATGCCCCCATTCCCTTTTCTGTACTTACTAAATTAGACATAGATACTGAAGTTCATAAAAATCTTGGGTACAGGTTACCCTTCATTGTTTTGTCATGAAATACATTTTAACAAATTCAATCAAGTTTTATTATTCTCTCATTATTTTTTGATGTTTACATTGACAAACTATAGATTAATATCAAAACTTGCAAGGGTTTTGTACAATTGTTCAACAATTGAACATGCCAAGATATTACAGCTAGGATACACCCTTTTAACAGTATGTGACAGCACAGTAGATAAGTACACGGCAATCTAACTTATAGGAGTAGTTTATGTATACATTGTACCGAACGTTTTCTCTCTAGTACCCTCCTTCCAAACTGCAAACTTTGATAGGCCATCAAGAGTATGAGTATATAAAGTTTGACAGCTGTAGATTTATTTTATTTGTAAAGTATGTACAAAGACATATAAATGATGAATCAGAAATAACTATCAAGTTCTTAGCGATGTAAGTTTTAAACTGTAGTTATATCGTTAGTTATATTTTAGATTTAGTGCTAAAACTGTGTAACCATGGCTAATTGAAGAGTTTAGATTGTTCTATATGTTTCCAGTTTACCTGTCTGGTAGACTGACCATCAGCTAATGAAATTCTGGATTTATTTCTGCATGGCGATTCCAGAAAAATTGAGATAAAAAGTTCTGTTCTACATTAAAGTTTATATTATTACACATATGAAATGAGGAAAAATTACAAAATATCCTAACACGGTTGTAGTTTAGTGCATGTAAGGATGTTTTTGTTACGGACAAATTTAATTTTAATATTATTCAAGATATACTTTTTTTAAAGTATTTTTTTGAAATTAAAGGATATCGTATATATATATATTAAAAAACCTTAAAGTAAAATGTACATTTATGTCATAAAAACTGACGGTTGATCTTTCAGTAACAAAATTATGCACTGGTAATAACCAGGTTTATATTTAGTACAACAGAGCAATGTTGTCTATCAAACAAATGAGTTGCCTCCCTTATACAGGTGCTGTGTTCCCCTACTATTTTTGCATGGGCTGGAGGTTTCTTCGTATTTAATGGGTATATATGTATTGTGTCCCACTGTTGACAATGTGATACACATATTTCCTAGGTCATTATGACAAAATAACATAATTAATATGTTGAAGCATTAATGAATCGGTGTCACCAATGAACAATTATCATACCAACCAATTAAATATGACAAAGAACAGTCGATTGTTTGTCTTCATTTCATCAACTACACCCCTCTTATTCACCACCTTGTTTATCACGGTCATTATCTCAAGTTTATTAGAATTCTTATTCTTTACACAATGGAAAATTTAAAGTATCAGAAAGTTCTAGGTAATAACCTCATTAAAATGATAGTGTATGCCTTGGTAGTGTTTAGGGATGACCTTATGGAACGTCTAGGTGTTAAGGACACTAGTTTATGTTTCACTGAACGCGTCTTACTACACTGGAAGTATGGTTAACTTTTCGTGCGATACTTACGACCAAAAGCTCAGTGCAAGTTTATGCAAGAGTAAACTCAAGCACTCCAATCCTGGCGGACCTGCAAATGCTTATGCAAGGCTTGCCTAAAAGCAGCATCAGATTTCTAGGTTCAACCTTATTTCACAAACGAATATCTCTGGTCAAAATGTTGCCTCATGTTGTGTCCAATAGTTCAGATTCAGGAGAGACCTTTTGGAGTGTCCAGTAACCTAATCCAGGAATGACCTTGTACCGGCCCCAATTGCTCATAGGTTGGTCCATCAGTGGATAGAAAATTTCAAAACATGAATACAACAAAATTCAGAAGATATGTTCGAGACAAATCAGTTCAATGTGTTTTGAAGATTTATGATGCTTTGAAAGTTGTCAATTCTTATTGGCAACAAATTGATTTTTTTTCTCTTTACACATGTTCAAGTTAATCGACCTTTGAGCAACGGGGGACAGTAGTCTGATCTAGGGATGACCTTGTCAAGTGTCCAGTAGTCTGATCTAGGGACGATCTTGTGCAGTATCCAGTAGTCTGATCTAGGGATTTCCTTGTGCAGTGTCCAGTAGTCTGATCTAGTGATGACCTTGTGAAGTGTCCAGTAGTCTGATCTAGGGATGAACTTGTGCAGTGTGCAGTAGTCTGATCTAGGGATGATATTGTGCAGTATCCAGTAGTCTGATCTAGAGATGTCCTTGTGCAATATCCAGTAGTCTGATCAAGGGATGACCTTGTGCAGTGTCCAGTAGTCTGATCTAGCGATGATCTTGTGCAGTGTGCAGCAGTCTGATCTAGGGATGATCTTGTGAAGTGTCCAGTAGTCTGATCTAGGGATGACCTTGTGCAGTATCCAGTAGTCTGATCTAGGGATGACCTTGTGCAGTGTCCAATAGTCTGATCTAGGGATGACCTTGTGAAGTGTCCAGTAGTCTGATCTAGGGATGACCTTGTGCAGTGTCCAGGAGTCTGATCTAGGGATGACCTTGTGCAGTGTACAGTAGTCTGATCTAGGGATGACCTTGTCAAGTATCCAGTAGTCTGAGCTAGGGATGACCTTGTGCAGTGTCCAGTAGTCTGATCTAGGGACGATCTTGTGCAGTATCCAGTAGTCTGATCTAGGGATGACCTCGTGCAGTGTCCAATAGTCTGATCTAGGGATGACCTTGTGCAGTGTGCAGTAGTCTGATCTAGGGATGACCTTGTGCAGTGTACAGTAGTCTGATCTAGGGATGATCTTGTGCAGTATCCTGTAGTCTGATCTAGGGATGACCTTGTGCAGTGTCCAGTAGCCTGATCTATGGATGACCTTGTCAAGTGTCCAGTAGTCTTATCTAGGGATGATCTTGTGCAGTGTCGAGTAGTCTGATCTAGGGATGACCTTGTGCAGTGTGCAGTAGTCTGATCTAGGTATGATCTTGTGCAGTATCCAGTAATCTGATCTAGTGATGATCTTGTGCAGTGTACAGTAGTCTGATCTAGGGATGATCTTGTGCAGTGTCCAGTAGTCTGATCTAGAGATGACCTTGTCAAGTATCCAGTAGTCTGATCTAGGAATGACCTTGTCAAGTGTCCAGTAGTCTGATCTAGGGATGACCTTGTCAAGTATCCAGTAGTCCGATCTAGGGATGACCTTGTCAAGTATCCAGTAGTCCGATCTAGGGATGACCTTGTCAAGTATCCAGTAGTCTGATCTAGGAATGACCTTGTCAAGTGTCCAGTAGTCTGATCTAGGGAAGACCTTGTCAAGTATCCAGTAGTCTGATCTAGGAATGACCTTGTCAAGTGTCCAGTAGTCTGATCTAGGGAAGACCTTGTCAAGTATCCAGTAGTCTGATCTAGGGATGACCTTCTCAAGTATCCAGTAGTCTGATCTAGGGATGACCTTCTCAAGTATCCAGTAGTCTGATCTAGGGATGACCTTGTGCTGTGTCCAGTAGTCTGATCTAGGGATGACCTTGTGCAGTGTCCAGTAGTCTGATCTAGTGCAGTGTCCAGTAGTCCGATCTAGGGATGACCTTGCGCAGTGTCCAGTAGCCTGATCTATGGATGACCTTGTCAAGTGTCCAGTAGGCTGATCTAGGGATGATCTTGTGCAGTGTCGAGTAGTCTGATCTAGGGATGACCTTGTGCCATGTCCAGGGCCCATATTCATGCTCAACCATGGATTTTATGCTCAAGCCGAATTTCCTGTTATGGCTATGAATTATTAAGTATATCTTATTTTGTCAATGCATTGTTCAATGTTTATTTTTGACTTTTTGATCCTTTGATACGATTTAAGCGAGTTACAAGAAAGTTGGTTTGAGCACAGAAACCATGCTTGAGCACGAGAACGGTTTCATGAATACCGGCCCAGTAGGTTGATCTAGGGATGACCTTGTGCAGTGTCCAGTAGTCTGATCTAGGGATGACCTTATGCAGTGTCCAGTAGTCAGATCTAGGGATGACCTTGAAATTTTATTACACTACAGATTGAACTTTTCTGCACAGAAAAATTAAAATTGCCAATTTTTGGGAAAAAGTTTGGACATCAGCCTATTTTTGGACGTTTTGTGGATGTTTATCATATAGAACTTTTACCAACACCTGCATATAACTATCAAATCTTTGTGCCGGAAGCGTCATCATTATGTGGTAAATAAAGGATTCAATTTGATGAGTAAGGACCTGCAACTAAACAGTAGATTTACAGTAGGTATCATTACTGTTATAGCCAAGGATTATGGTATTTTTTCTCCTCAAAAAATCGAAAAACATAATGAACCCAATATCCCAAAATGAATCATGTGACAAAGACAAAATCATTCATGGTGAAGTATTCGGCTTTTTGTCATTAGAATATCTCACAAATGTCATTATAGGCCTCCCTGACTATGAATGTTTCTGAACAAAAAAACCCAACCAATGCCTCACCAGAAGACGAATTTATTATAATAATTTATATAGAGGAATTTATCGCTTTCCTCCAACACGAGGCTTGCTCGTTGGTGCACTCCTTGTAGCTTTCGTCTTATTTGTCTGCTTGGGAGCTGCAGCCTGTGAGGAATAAACAGATCAAAGTATTAATAACAGCTGATCTAGAAGGAACAATTGCTATCAATGTAATTCTGCAAAAGATACTGTTAAGAATTAACCTGATTTTCTGTTTTCCATTCTATCTCTCCCAATATATCATGACAATTTGTACTACAGCACATCAATCTTTGTTACTGTAATGCTCAATGATTTCAGTCAAAATCTTTCACTTTATCTACAATAGTGGTGTACACATTTTGGTCTGGATTATTGTAACACATCTTGAACTTCTTACATGGTACAAACTATTTTCAAAGCATTTGCCAGGGGTGAACTCATCCAAATTATTCTTATAGTTGGCCTTTGTATAACTTTGATGTAAATCTGGCAAGAAATGAAGTTGGAAGAGTCACAGCAATGAATCCCGATGTTATGGGAGGCAACGTGAATGGAGGGCCAAGGGTACCAATATTTTTCATAGCTCTGTAGAAAGCCCTTTATAAACAGGAAGTATTGTTTCTGGTCACCATTTCAGGGTAAGACAATAAAGATAGCCTGATATTGCTTATCTTGTTTAATAATATTGGGTTTAATAGTGGAATTTGCACATGAGCTAGTAAAAATTGGAAACTACTACCCCAATTGACTAGCCATATTCAAAATTAATTTCTAGCCCAGCATTTCAATACCTTGGTGGCCTTCTTGACAGCATCCTTTGCCTTGTTTTTTTCTTTAGCAGCTCTGTAGAAGAGAAAAATTGTTTAAGAAATGCAAATCAAATTCAATTCTAATAGTTTCAAAACAAGATGTTATGATAGAAATAAATCAATACAGATTAGTTCCAAAACTACTTTGTGTGTCTCCTTGACAACAGGTCTAGTGATGATAATGCCAACACAAATGTATGATAAAAACACTCTGAAGCTATATTGTTCCAACTTTGCTGGAAAGTCAGGGTTTTACATAAAGTAGAATCATTTATGAGAACCCCAAATATTTATCTAGGACCCCCAATTTCAATTGAGTGGTCCCCAGGACTCTCCAAAGTCGAAATGGAATGTACAACCCTGTACAATATTTACAATATTGAACACGAAAATTAAATAACGTACAGGTACCCTATAGGGTTATTGTAAATAACAAAGTTTACATGACCTACAAGATGGATTATCAGCCTCACAAGTTTTCAAATAGACTGCATTCTTTGATGGACTATAGGTTTTCATGGTGTAGTAAGTCTGTATTTCACTACTGGTAGTGTTAGTTTGTCTCAAAAGTACTGCTGCTGAAGTGATTACAAGCCATTTTGCATAAAATCTCTTTTTAACAACAGTGATCTTGATTAATGCAAACATACCTGTATGATCTGTTAAATTTTATGGAAACCTTTTGAATGGAGTGATCCAAAAGTGTGACAGTGATTTTTTTTAAGGTAACAGTGACCTTGACCTATGATGTCCATATAACTCCAAAAATTTGCGGCAAGTGGCAAACATCTATTTTGTTAAGTGACCCTGACCGTCAATAGATGATGCCCAAAATTCAAATCTGTCTAAGGTATGTCCAAGGCCATCCTCGATATCAAGGGGTTACGCTCACTTTCGCTCTCTACACCCCTGGAATATGTCATAGCAAAATTGAAGGCACAAAGGTAGCCGTTTGATTGTTTTCAGGTACAAAAAATGACCAACCGCTAGGCTGATACCTGTCCTTTGAAGACTACAAAGGAGGGACGTCCCACTTCAAAGCCTGTCAATTTTTACCGTTACATGACCGCGAGATTATTTTGATTTATTTCAACAAGTCTTCTTGTTTCATCAACAAGGTGGCGCACACTGAGCCTTCAATTTTGCTACAACATATTCCAGGGGTGAAGAGAGCGAAAGTGAGCATAACCCTTGGATATCGAGGATGGTCCAAGGTAAATAAGGCCAAGTTTCATGAAAATTGGTCAGGCAATACAGCTACTACAGAGAGAGGGTTATGTAAAATGTTTCCAATTTGGGTTGCAAGTCAATAGTAATGGGAAGCACTAGTATTATTTTTCCAGTGCTAATGAAGTTCTGGACTTTCCGACATCATTTGCACCTTTAATATGAAGATGCACATGCTGCTTTGTAGCTTATTGGATTGACTGAGGGTAGCGAAAAAATACAATGTATGGTAAAGGATGTAAATTTACAGTAGCAACCTGAACAATTTGTACCCGTTCTGTCATGAGAAAAAGTTGAAATCCTTGCTCTGTGCCCTTTCTGACGAAAGGTAGACAACAATTTGTTCTGTATACCTGATGGCCTGTTCCCTTTGTGCCTTCCTGACTTCGGGTTTCTGGTTCCTCTTGGCCATGATGTCTGTGAGTGTTGCACCCGTGATAGCTCGCTGGTACTTTGTGGTACGACGTGTCCTCTTCTTTGAGATCTCCTCAGTCTGGCCCTTCTTGTGCTTCCTCCTGTAGAGCACTGTCCAGTTGATCTTACGGGGGTTCCTCTTCATCAAATGGGATCGCTCACATTTTGCATTGACGAAATTGAAGACCTAAAATAAACCGACATTTTCAAATTAAGGCAAAGTTGAAACATTTTAATTTATAAGAAAACTAAACCCTTTTTTCTTCCTACATCTTAGCTTAGGCTTCTGTAAACTAGTTGTCCGACATACCAAGAATCGCTGCAATCAATTTTTACAAGTTATGTATAATGTCTTTCTACTTTACTTTTGTACATTGTCCTGTCTTTATTATGATTTGACAGCAGTTGGCCATATCAAAGCATCTGTAAAATAGTAATGGAAAATCGGTTTAAAATTAAAACTGATGATCAGTTTTTAATCGAAAATAGTAAACCGATGGATAATTGATTGTAGTTTATGATTTTTTGACACTGATTACCCAAATATTATAAAATGACAACACTATTGTAGTGTCTATAGACATCAACTGCGATGATAAATCGTGATATTTTTGGGAGGTTACGATATTTTCCGGATTGTCATTTCTGAATTTATTTTACACATATCGGTTAACGTTCCAACATGGCGAGTGACAGCTCCAGCTTGGCATGCAAGTCAGAAGACGTAAATTGTGTGAAACTTAAAACTATGACTATTTTGACCAAATCTATTTCCAGTTGTAATATTGCTATTAAAAAATAACAACATAACATTTCTCTTTGCTTCTACTGTTACTATATGTATCCCGATATCCATTGTATTGTCACCACAGTTTTGCGATTAGTACTAATATCAATACCCAGCCTCCTCTGCCCCGGCCTGGTATTAAATCGATCCCATGCCTTGTAATGGAGCAAGCACGGTGTGAATCACCAGGACAATTTTTGAATTAATTGACAGCACATTGGTCCGCATCCATAAATAGGGTTGTAGTATGAACTATTTCTGTTGATATCCTGCACAACATAAACTCGTTAAACAAGTTAAACTCGGCCTAAAATATCGTTAAACAGTTAACGTAGAAAGCACAATAGAAATCTGAATTGACCGCCATGTTGGAAAGTTTGTCTCTCGTCCGATATAGGTCAGACGTCCAAATATGGGTGTCATTACCCAATATGGAAATTGTAGTAAACATGGCGGCATCAGTAGTAATACAATATTTGGCCATGCAAGCCATATATAGATAGGATAATTGAGATAACATCATGCGTGATCTGTCATGGCAGACATATATGCAATCTTACAGATTTTAAAGCACTTTTGATTTTGCTCCATTAGTTGGCATAGGACCGCTTCGTAGCTCTGATGACGCAATATTAAAAAAAAATCTCGTCAGAAAGCTACTTTATCGCAACTATTTTGTGATATGTATCGTATCGTTGCAGCCCTATTGCAAATGATGGGACAGGTTCATCATAACAACTAATTAGATATATAGCATTTGTTGGAGTTTTCATTTGAAAAAAAAAAAGAGAAGATGATGATCAATGTCAGATAGAATTTAGAAATTCGTAAAATATTTTTTTCAATAAATGATCACTTTTGAGAAATAATAATGGGAATGGGAAACACTCGAGCAAGCACAACAACTTTGAAGAAGTACAAGGATGGATGATTTTACCCAGTAACTGAACAGATTCCATTATTTTTATAAACCCAAGTACAGGTAAGACATTTTTTTATGTATTAAAATGTATGTAATGATTCAAAAAATAAATGTATTGAAACAAATGGACAGTACGAGCTTCGCTCTCTCCAGGCCAAGCCTGAGTCACTCCAGGCCAAGCCTGAGTCATATTATCAGTTTTATTTAATTTTCAATATTGATAGAGACGATATATAAAAGAAAATAAGCTAACAGTGCGTCTCCATCGATCAGCACGTCATTTGATCACAACATTTTCGATCTCGTTATATTAGGACTTTTGATAATTGTATCGAGTTAGTGTCTGAAATAAATAAGCTTTCTAACAATATACAGAAGATAAAATGCCTAATTAAAACTCGACTGGAACACTTAGCAGTAAGAACCCCAGCAGTAAGATCGGAGTATAGAGCAAATGTAAACCGGAGCAGCTTCGACGACTGCTGAATAAAGTTTATGGAATTCAATATATGTTTATTCCAACGCTTAGCATATTATGTTGACACAACAATATGAATGTGATCGTTTTCAATATGCACTTCGACGGGAAATGTAATATGCTTACCCTCCCGTCAATTTTGACCATTCTTTTCCCATGGCCTGGGTAGATTTTGTAGCCGCTGAACGCACAAAGTTCGACCCTGAAACACAAAATTACAATACATCAAATAAGAGTAACTATTATTTATTATGTCAAACATCTAAACTTTGATCTACGATACATGATGTCACGATTATAGCTCGATTTTCGACAAGGGGTAACAAATATTGCCATTACTTCATGGTGACGACCGGAAAGAGAACTATCAACAACAGTTACGCAGTGAATAAATTTGCAATTAAATAAATAAATAAACAATATTGATTGCTATTCGACGATGAAAGTAATATTTATAACGTTCCTTACATATAATCTGCAAATAAATAAATTTATATATATACATTTTCATATTTTATATCAAATAATACATTTATAACGTACGGAACGCAATATAGGTAGTATACCACTATTTCGCTCTGCTAGCTTGTTAGTCATTACATTAAAAGCTGATTTAAAGCACATAGAAGTCATGAAAGTGATCTTTTTGAAACGATTAAATATCTAGAATTAATTAATGTGGTCCTCTTTTCCCTAATTTATAAAAAAATAAGTAACATGTTTTTACCCTCTTCATCTATCGCCATCTGCCGCTAAGGCTTGTCGTCTGCAAAACGTTTGGTAAATCATATAGACCGGGCCGAGGACTGACCCCATGGAGTCACCCGATGTTACCTGTACTTTTGATGAAAAGTCACCCTCAATGATCACTTGCTGTGTTTCTTCATTTTTGCATGCGTCAGTGTCAGACATACTTTTCACATCGACTGGATAGACCTGACAATTTTCAACATGTACACTGTACCATTGTTTAACGCTACTAACTTTTATGTTCCTGTCAATCAATCATTAAAATAACTTGATCATTCCCAATTTTAGATCTTTCGCATCATCACAGCTGCCGTATACCATTAAAAACTGGTATATATTTTTCAGTGTATTTTCAGAGATCAATTATCAAACTTTGCAAGTATTGTAAAAACCTTATTTGAAAAAAAACTGGCTAGAAATATTTTGTTTGAGTAATTATCTGAAGATGTTTTTGAAATTAAATAATAAATAAGAAAGGTGTGCGTGTTTTAGTGCGTCATGAAAGAAAAAAAACCTCACACATCAAAGCCGCCATTTTAACTTGTTTATCCTTAAAAAACTGTATTTTCAGAGCTAAATTATTGAATTTTGAAAGTATTATAACAACCTCATTTTAATAACCTGGTAAGAAATATTATCAAATAATTAATATCTGAAGATATTTTTTTTAATTGAATAGTGAATTAAAAGGGAGCTCGTGTTCTAATATGTCATGAAAAATAACCCTCACACATCTCCTTAAAAAAAACTGTATTTTCAGAGCTAAATCATCAAACTTTGCAAGTATTGTAACAACCTCGTTTTAAAAACCTGGTTAAAAATATTATCAAATTATTAATATCTAAAGATGTTTTTGAAATTGTCTAAAGAACTTGACAAAAACGGGGTTTGTGTTCTCCTGAATTCAGAATTGTGCAATCTTTCGATGTTTTGTATTTTCTAAACTTAATAATTCAAATTTACATTCCAATGGAGCACTACCAAACCATATGGAATTTAATATTTAATATAACGTTGATTTCCGATGTTTTCTCGTGGCATAATTATGTTTTGAACAGGACTCTTTGAAAGAGCTATGAGTGATCAGCTCAGAGAATATTTTAATGGTATTTTTCATTCCTTCTTAACAGCCTTCGCTGAATCAGACCAGGATTTGGATGCCAAACTACCCTGTTAAGATTGGTTGAGGACTGGCGCAGGGCCTTGGACAACCGTGAGTATGTCGCTGCCATCCTCATGGATCTGTCCAAGGCTTTTGACTGCATTCCTCATGATCTGTTGCTCAGAAAGTTGGATGCGTATGGTCTCAGCTCGGGCTCAGTGGACCTGGTATCTAGCTATCTGGGTAACAGATTACAACAAGTCAAGTTGGGCTCCAAATGCGGCGACTGGTTGGAAGTGCACATGTTTCAGAAATTTGTTCAAAGGCTTCTAGACAGCTTAATGTTCTTAAAAGAATTGGATTTTTTTTAACAAAACAAGGTAGGAGAGTCATATACAATTCTTTTATTATATCTATTTCTCATTTCTGCCCACTGGTTTGGCATTTTACTAGCTTGAAAAGTGTGAGAAAGGTAAAGAGCAAGTTGTCAGTCTCTGGAACAAGCCTGGGACGACGAGGCCACCGTTGCGCGATTGCGTCGGATGTCACATCGCAAACATTGTATCTGCGGCCAATTTTAAGAAAACACAAACGATTACAACCTTTTAATTATAACATTTTTATCATCTAACGGTATGCTTGTGGCAGCTTACAGTCCGAATAAAATTATCGACGCCTGCAATTTCCATTGTTTCGTTACTTCATAAATTCAATGATTTGTAAATTTGATAAACCATTTACTGCGAACCTTAGCATTCTTCAATATTACCAATCAGGGACCTCGTTACAAAACTTCGATAGGAAGCGGGAATTAAACATGACTGACTCGGGTAAGTTTTAGAAACAGTGTAGATTGATTAATAAGGGTTTAGCGACTGAAAATTATAATGCGATATCACAATAGCTAAACAGTTTATCTGAAGTTTCATCGCATCCAACACAACATTTAGAATATGTAGAAAGACGACGCTTATCCCTGGAATGTGATGTTGCTAATGTAAACTGATGGCCGCCACTGATTCTGGCAGTAACGTTAACAGCATCACAAAAATGCAAATCGAAAAACATGGTGACAACTGTTTGATTTGGAGTAGAATGCACTGTTGATATCTACGTTGTAATAGGAAATATAGATAATACATAATCAGAAATATGTTCGGTTAAATTAACTTGTTTGCCAAATTTTCTCAACATGCGTATGAATTGCTACTTTTCGACATATCGGACTTGAACTGCGTACAGTAGAAGACAGAAATGTTCAACTACTTACCTAACATGAAGACTTCTTATTAAATTTTACAATCATATACTTAGGAATTTGGGAAATAACCTGTAGCTGGTTTAATTCAAAGTCATACTGTCATAGTCTGTACTGAATCGGACAACGCCCACTTTTTAAATATGCAAAACTAAAAAAATAAGTAAAATGCCTACTACGTCTGTGAACGCATATTCAGAAGCAGCAGAGCTGAAGGTTGGCTTAAAAGGTATTGAAAAGAAAGCTAAGTGATCCTCTTCGCTTGCCAAGGGTTACAATATATATACCTCGAGAGTAGAGTGATAGATATATTACATGGATCTCAACCCTAATGGGCATTATCAATTCTATTCAAAATTCATTGATATATATATATATATATCTTATCTCTTGTCTACCATGTAGGATACAATTGTACGTTTAAATTGGAAACAAACATTGCAATGATGCACAAGTCTGTCAGACATTGGGACTGCCCATGTAAACACAATACATGTACTGTATTAGCTTTATTTCAGCTGGTTACTTGCTGTTTTATTTTTTACAATGCTTGCAACATAACTGGACAACATCATACTTTTATCAGGTGTAAAATACCACAGATAGCCTTGGTGAATAATTGTCTATAATTGCTTTGGATGATCACTTAGATAATTATTCTTATGAAACAGTTCCAGGGTGACTCACTCCATACACTAATTCAGATTGATTGGGAAATTAATATCTCAGTGTACAACACAGTCCACGTGATCGATATTACCTCTTTAGCATTGTCATGATTGTGTGTCCAAGTTCTGAACACTTATTTTTACTGGTCTTAGAAAGAAGATTTTATTTTACAACACAGTATGAACTTTTAACTCACAAGTATGATTGATTTTAATGTTTTTGAAATTTTCATATTGCGCCATACATAGTTGCATGTCTGTAGAATATTTCAAAACATTAAAATCACTGGGACGCTTGAGATACAGTTCCTTTGCCTTTTGTCATCGAGTCATCACTAAAGACATGTCTATGGGACTAGTGAATCAGGGATCACTCTGGGCCGCAATATTGCGATATTTGTCCCTCTTTTTCAGAAATATTGCGCTAATTTTCTCTAAATGGGATTAAATATTTCACAGTCTTTGTCTGTGGATCGTATATATTTTCTAGGTATACACGATTTTAACATTAAAACTAATAATGTCATCTACAATCCTGTCGGACAGGTCATCGTTACTTCACACTCAAACTTCCAGCGAATTCAAAGCGGAAGTAAGTCATTGTTTATCGACCACATTTACCTGCACACATGAGTCATAATCACTTGCTTGTTAAACGTCTATCGAAGTGAAGCGTTATAAGAAGATCTAGACCTTGATATGCCTAACGTGGAATAAACAGATTTAGAACGGTATTCCATTAATTTAATCTGAATATATCCTACAAAGTTATTTAATGCAACGGCGATAGCTATACATGTATACATTAAACAGAAAACACTTATGTTAATGATTCTAATGTAATTTATATATTAAAAATACTTAAATAAAAACCTTATTGTTATTTTTTGTTTTCTCTATGTCTTTTTGTTTTCAGTATGTCTGTTGTTTCCTTTCAGATTTTAGAGTTTTAACTTTTTATGTTGTGTAGCCAGATATCCTAAAGGCATTTTCTGATTGCAATTGCTGAATGGTTAAAACATAATATGGTGAAAAAGGAGACTAAAATGCTAAAATAGAAATAAATTAGTACTTGCAAACAAAATTTTCCCCTGAAAATACCTCAGAATGCACCACAGAGCTTCGAAATTTCGAAATTTTCCGGGCCCCTGTACCCCATCCAACATGGCTTCACGCCTTTGGCCCTCGCAGTTTCACTTTGCTCAAAAATTGCATGCTCGAAAATATCTCACCCATTTTCAAAATATCCCTCTCTCAAAAAAATCATGGAAGAAAAAAAATCACCTTTCAATTTGAACCCAGGGGGATCCCTATGAATAGACAGTTAATTGTTACGTACAGCCCAGTGATAAGAGAAGCTCAGGGCCTAAGGTAACCATTTATTTCTATCTATTTATATTTGATTGTGAAAATTTCAACTCAAATTTATTTATTATTTTCTATTATAAACATCATATTGGTTAATTTTGATTATCTTTCTTGGATCAGATTTTTTCCAATGTGCATGCGTAGATGCCCTTCCATAGCAACAAAATTACGTTGCTATGCAGAAATAGCCAAAATATGGTGTTTTGGGGCAGTTGCCATGCAGAAATTATGACAAAACAAAAATTCCTTTCTGTGAATGAACAACTAGTATGACAATGTTGAAGCATGTCAAATACTTTTTTGTTTAGTGCGTGCGCATGCTTTCAAAAAATTGAAAAGGGTTTCGTTGATTTCCTTCAAAATGGTGAATTTTTAACTAAATCGAGCACACCAGATGACATTCATGCATTTTATTATAAATTTTTAATAATGTCTCTCTTTGTAATGTCATATCTCCTAAACCAGTTGTCAAATGAATTTTCAACTTCATATTTGCATTCTTCATTTATTCCAGATAACGAATATAACAACTAATTCTAAATCCTGATGAGGCCGGAAATGACCCTTAATGCCCCTAGTCCTTTATATACTTTATCGATTGCCATTTACCAGGAAAGAGATTTGATATGAGTTTTTAAATTATTGATATACTTAACGTCGGTTTAAAAAAATATAGCTGGCATCATTTGCCTTAGAAGTGAAATCTGTTTCTCATGCTATGTTTACTAAACTCACTGGCTGTTTTGTGAGATGTATATTTTAGGGGTGCACAATGATATATACATACTGGTTATTAGCTCGCCTATTCGGAAAACAGGGGGGCTGATGTAGTCACCCCAGCGTCGGCGTCCCACTTCACTGAGGTTTAAGTTTTTGGGCAAGTTTTTTCCAGACAATGTTGGAACATCACACTCGATAGACTGTTGTCTATTATGAAGTATTTATATGGAGTATTATTAATTTTCTGAACCGTATTTTCATATTTTAGGGGCCAGAACTGGTTAGTTGGACTTTGTTAAAGTTTTTGGGCAAGTTTTTTTGTGAAGTGTTCGATCACCACCATCAATAGACTGTTGTCTATAATAAGGTTGAAGTATTTATCTGGAGTGTAATTAAGCAATGTTCTGAACCATATTTTCATATTTTAGGGGTCAGAACTGGTTAGTTGGACTTGCTTAAAGTTTTTGGGCAAGTTAAAATAGTGTTTATTTGCAGTGAGTGTTGGATCACCACCATCAATATGTGTATGCTGTTGACTATTTCACGTTGTCTCGTCATCTCTTCTTTTGAAATGTTCAACATGTTAAGGTACAGCAAAACCTCGTTAGATAGCCACCATTTGTTCAAAGAATTTTTGAAGGAAACGTGTAAAGGAATTCTTAAGAAAAACAGAATTAAGGAACCTCAAAATATGTTGACAGTAAGCGAGGTGGCAAATGAAATGACGGGCATTATTTCAAGGTTTTACTGTACATGTGTTTCTATTGATATTTCCTATCTTACAACATACATCATCATGATCACCAATTGGTGAGCTAAACTGTTCTCCAACAGCTCTTGTCGATTCTTGCCATCATGATGTTTCAAAGTTAAGTTTTCAAGTACTTATTTTCTCCATTATTAAGAAACTAAATTAAAAAGATCTCAAATCGTAAGAAACTCGTCTTGTTTTAAAACATGTACAGTATTGCTAAAGTCCATTATAATTATAATATTATGCTTAACACCACACAACCTACCTGTAATCATCATAAATCAGTGGAGAGTAAGACGATAAACAAGTCTGGGAAACTCTAATTAAATTCCAACAGTGGACTGGGCAAGCGCAAAACAGTCCAGAAATTTTGATGTAATTCATAAATCTATATTAAACACAAAGGTTATGTCTTTAATCATCCTTCATTGACTATTTTTAATATCTATCTGTTAAAAATTCATGATTTTGTTTGTCAGTTACAGTTTCTGTATCAACCATGCATATTCCACATTCTGGCAGCAAAGCAAAGGTACAAAGATCTGGAGAAATCTGTGATTAAACAAAACTGATGCAGGAGCGTTAAAATTCTTACCTGAAAAGTGGTTGTATGTTCATGGAAAACATTGTATTGTGTAAAATATGCATGATGTCTGTAAAGTATTCAGTGTTTCAATTTGTGTTATTCTTTTGTTTTCATAGGATTTCATTTCACTGAGTCCAATTAATGCAATAATTGCAATATTGTGTAAATTATCGCAATATATCACATTATTGAAAGTTGTCAATATTTATACCCACTCCACATATTTTTAGGTTCAATAACAACGAGATTCAGTTAAAAAACTTGATTTATTCACAAATATTTATTCATGCACATTTGACAGTGAATGACTGAATTCCTGTTACTATAAAACAGAGTCTGATTGTGAGCCACAAACTTAGTCTAAAGTTGGTGTTTGTACATGGACTTTATTAAAAACAGCTGGTGTTTAACAAAATAATTATTACATTTATAATCAATAACCAGTTAATTAAATAGAGATAGAAAAACAAATTGTAAGTGAATAGATGACCTAATGATAAAAACAATAGCTAGTTTCTCAAGTTACATACATGTAACTGCATGTGTATACTACATATATATACATATACAGTATATATACAAGGATGCCTTAAATGATCTACTCTGTTTCCAATGCTGTGAACTGCTTAAGCTTGGTTGGCGTGTGGCCAAGCTTGTTTTCCGCTGGAAGGGAATGTATATTGTTCTCCAGACATGTTAAATTGTGCCCTCATACAAAGCTGTAATAAACAATATTGATCAAAGGTCAAGTAGACTGTGTTTCACCTGAAATAGCCTGTACAGGTATCCTGATTACAGGTAGACTATATAGCTACCATATATATGTAGATGCTTATAACCTAACTGTATTTTCCTGAATTCACATTTGACAAGTTCATAAAAAGATAAATGCCAACATATGTTGAAAACTTTGATAGGATACATAGAGGTTCTGTATAGCATACAAATTATAAATAACTTTGTAGAAATATAATCAGTTCAATTTTTTCTTTACAAACAGTATTCGTGTATCAAGGTATTATAACAGTTAGCATTCTACCCAAAATGTTTATCTTATACATGATGTGGCATGTTGGTAGCTGTGATCCCTGAAATAACACAATAGCTTCAATGTTTCCTAGTTCAGGTCAATTCAATAGCACAAACAGAGTTGACATTTGGGATACATAGTCATACATGTGTATATGTGGTATTCATAATCAGGAAAAGAGACACTGTATTTCTATGGGTCTATACATACTGTTATTACCTGTATTTGTGTACACCAGACCATTTAAAGTACTCTTGGATTTACTGCTGATTCATACACTGGTAGCAATATAATGTAGTGTTAGAGGTACTGTGTGGACAACCCTAGCCTTCTCCTGATTGGAAAGGAAGCGACAAGCTGTGCTGTCTGTCAGGCATTAATTATGTGATTACCCAGAACAAATGGTGGATATTTCAGAGTCAATAATCATTTTGTTAGATGGCATCAACTTTAATATTGATGTAGTTTTAGATTACTGGCGGTAGGATTTGGATCCAGACACTATACAGAGATCAATGTAATTGTGATCATTAATTTGTGGAAGGGATCAATGTGGATTCTTACTGAAAGCAGTTTGTTCAATTTGTAAAAGTATATGGTGTATTATAATAAATAACATTTGAAAGAAAATTATTCAAAATATTGATTGGCATCATCATACAGATTTCTGAAATGGACTTTGAATCTTGAAAGAAAATGTGCCTCAGTATAATTACTATATGGTTACAGGACTGGAAGGACATTATGCTTACATACATGTGACTTCAGGGGTTAGGATTGCATGGTTGGAGAAAGTTTTGTACAGAAAGTCTGGCTGATATAAAAAAATTGTAGTCCCATTGACACCGTAATAGTCATACTGTGAAGTTTTTTGATAATGTACTGCCTCATAGTGAGGCTAACATAGGATAGCATCTTACAGGGGATACAAGTTCTATTGGAATAATGAGACTGAAAAAATGTAAGTATCTTTAATCTGTAACACTTGTACTATATAAAAACAATATCACACATTAAAAGTATATAGCTTCCCTTCTGGAGGTCAGGACAGTTGATATTGGTGGTGGCTTGAGTTGACCAATGATTATACACATGTACAGTGACCAATTAATTAACTCATTGACCCCTGAAGACACATTTGAACTCTTCCAATTCAAAGGTTGGAATAGTTCATTATAATGGAAAAAATATTGAACATTGTGAAATGCATACTTTGACAAGGGAAAAACTCTAAGCCAGAACATCAAATTTAAATCTCTCACAAGTATATTCCGTCTTTGCGTATTGTAGAGTTATCTTCTTTTGGGAACAGGTATTGATTGTTACGTCATTGGTCTGTGTGAGAAAATTTCGTTGTTTTCTCAAAAATTGATGACGTTACTCTCATAAACAAGTGACGTAACAATCACTTTCTGTTCCCAAGAGAAGATAACTCTGCAATACGCAAAGCCGGAATATGTACACTAGTAACACTACATTATATGGAATCTACAAAGTTGTCAGCCAAACTAAAGATATGGTGGTTGTGAAATCTTCTATGAAACTTAAAACTTTTTATTGCTGTAGAGTATTACTAAAATGAGAAATATAAAAAAAACAATTTTACAGAAAAAAATCTGATGGTTTCATTTTTTTTCTTATCTCAAAAATACCTGTATTGGTGGTTAGGACTATAATATAGACTACATAGGTATACTTTTCATTCAGCCCATCTAGTCATTTTACAGTACACCGCCCATATATGTAATATGTATAATTGTACATGTCTTGTAAAGACAGATGATCATGAGATGTTTAAATACTCGGTTATATGTTTTGGATGCCCTGTTCATGGTGTTGTGGGGATTTTTTTTTTATAAAAACCTGTTCTTCATTGTTCTTGAGTCAATGGAAATGTGTCGCCCAAAAACACCCAAGGATGGTTTTGTACTTTTAAATCTAAACCAATCCTTATATGTAGGTCACTGGTATGTCATTGATACAACTTAGCATTCAGAATTTAATGGATAATGTTTGTATTGTCTGTCTACAACAGAGAATCCATTGTTGGACAAGTACATATAGTACCCCCCACAGGCCTCAGTATACTTAAAATGGTTTTAGGAAGGTGTAACATAAATATTGGTATTGTTATATCATAATCTCAGGAGGTTGTTGATCATTTAGATCAATAGATATGTACTCAAGGTTGATGAAGCGATTCGTGATAAATTTATTTTGTGTAAATTATTTTGAATTATGTCTTTCTTTTTCCATTACTTCATTTTATCTCTAAAAATATCAATAATTTGACACCTGCACTGCATACTGAGGTGACAGGTGTCCTACCCATATATATATCAAATAGGTCATTTATGAGGTTTATTGAACATTTTTCTTTGTGCTCACCAGTATACAGAGGACAGGTTTTACTAAACATGAGGGGGGACTATTATATTTATGCCTGGAAACTTTAGATTTCTGTTTATGATACTTTGGTACAGTTTATAGAATTATCATTAGGATGAACGATCAAGAGTAATTTTTATACAAGGTTTTATCAATTCTACCTGTTTTGAAGGATTTGTTAGAAAAAAAATGCATCTTGGCGATCTCCATAACATTCCAAAAGGTAAATTCCATATCCATAACTGTTTAGGAAATGACTAACTGTTATAAGACATTAGCCCCTTTTTGACCTACCAGGGTACGTATCAGATTCAGGGGTGAGCAATTAGTTCTCATTGTGCAGCAAATGCAGTTACTTGTTAATCAAAAATGTGAGAGTCACTAGCCTTGGGCTGTGAATCGTGATTATGTCGTGTCGGAAAGGGTGTCAGATTAGACAGGTTAATCATAATCTACCTATTGTGTCCTAAAGCTAAGGTGTCGGATTAAGCAAGTTAACCTGATATTTAAGGTGTATATATTGTCATATTAGACAATGTAAACTGAACTATACAATGTGTCCAAGAAGGTGTCAGATTAGACAGGTTAATAGGATCTATATATGCTGTAACCCACAGTTAGTCAAGTTAACTTGACCCCGATATTTTGCATTGCACTACAGTGTGCTGGATGATACGTACAGGCAAATCTGACAAGTATCATATGTTGTGTCCACAGGGTGTCATATTACACAAGTTTGAGAAATTCCAATACTTTTTGTTGCACAAGATGTCAGATTAGACAGGTTTCACTGTACATATAAAGAAGAAATCCTGGGATGTGGTCAGAACCAAAAAACATGAAATAGAAATCTACAGATTAATTTTAGAATCAAAAATTTATAATGTTTGTTTAAGTATGGATTATTATCCTGATCTTTTTTTGTGTACAATTCATGGCATTACATTTCGGTAATCTGGTCTATTTGTATACAGATATATCCTGGCTGTGTCAACATCTCCTAAAATCTATTAGGCTTTCTAAAGAAGTCTTGAAGAAAGATAAATATTGGTGTCTTATTGAAATGCTTGGACATGGTATTTTGTTCAGTATTAAAACCTGAACAGTAAATTTCAGGATTTTTAAAAAGCTTTTAGTGAAATTAGTCCGTTTTTATGTCTTTTTAATTCATGTTTACTCAGCAGGAATGTATAAAAGGGTATTAGTAATGTCAAATGGTTAAATATTTCTGCCTTGGAAACTTGTGGTTTCATGTTAAATTGGTAAAATTAAATACTTGTTGAAAGGAAAATAAGCTACATTGTACATTAACTCATTTACCCCTGAAGTTTCATAATGAACTATTCCAACCTTTTAATTGGAAGAGTTCAAATGTGTCTTCAGGGATGAATGGGTTAAGAATGGTTGGCCTCTACTAGCTTTACTAAGTGATCACAGAGTTACACTAATGTTTACAGATGAAAGCACTAGCTTCGCAGACTAATCTCTTTATTTTTTTTAAAAAGGAGCACAATTATTAAGTATATAATTACTTGATACTAAATTAACTTGTCAACCTTTGGATGATTCCTAAAACTCCAAAACATCAAGGAAGTGTCCCCTAAAATGAAAATGTTAGTGGCATCAGGGTAATATTGGATGTAGAGGCTGAACCTATTTTACAAAATAAAACATTCCCCCCAGGCTTTGCTTGATGTAACATCAGATTCAGAATGGGCAATTTTGAACCAAGCCAACAAGACATTATTGGTATCCACTTGAAATGTCCTGAGAGGAGGCACAGTCAGGTATTTTATAAAAGAACAACAATTTATTGGAATGCAATTGTGTTTGTGAAATCATCCATATGTACTGGTAACAGTAACTGTTGTAAATTTATAATCAAAATCAAGTTTTACCATCCTTATTACTTCATCATCTTTGTTACAGACCCCGAGTCAGAGGTCCTTGACCTGACGGGTCGAAGGTTACAAAAGATTGAGGTGCCGCTCAACTTAGATCCTGCCACCATTATATGTGACAAAAACAATGTGACCAAGATAGAAAATCTGGAACGATGCCACAACCTCAAACAGGTGAGTTACAAAAGTATGGATAACTGTTAAGATGATCGCTTGTCTTTGATGTTTTACTCGCAAATAATAATTGAACACAACACAGCTGAGTAGTCCATCATTGTTGGCCTTGTGTTTTGTTAAGATCCTGAAGAATGTTCCAGATATTGAAATGCATTATTCATGGAATTCCACGGGAAAAAAAAGTTATTTACAGTAGCTGCTTTTCGTTGTTATTTATTTTTTGAAGATAAACGATTGCATGCTGTAGAAAATTAGTACGTGTATTCTTTCAGCTGTAATGATATCAATGACATAAATTGCAATTGGCTATACCGCTGATATGCAATCGGTATCATGTTTATTATAAGAATGTATCAGAACTGGACTGCGTCGATCGCTGGCGACCTGGAAACACTATTGATAGAGCACCCTTTCAAAGTTTGAAGGATCCTGGGTTGGAGTCCCGGTCTGGCTGTGCATATCTTTCTCCTATTACATTGGTGCTCGTGACCAACTCTTGTTTCAAGCACTGGGTGAATGCTTGGCAAGGGGATGCCCGAACCTGGGTTGTAAATTCTGTTGCCTTTGGGGCAAAGACTTAGAAAAAGGAGAGAGGAATTTAGTAGAATTGAATGTACTGGGTTGATTGTCTGGGACCATGCAGGTCACTTAATTGGAAGATCATCTGTCCAGAGTCCAGAGGGTCCCTGGTTTTAATCCTGGAGTACAATCGAGAATCCGGTTGAACCGGTTGAACCTGCAAAGAAAACGACAGGCACAGCTCTGAACCGAGGCTGACCTTAGGAAAATTTGGCACATGTAGATTGAGGGGTCCGGACGAACCTGACCGAAACTAAAATCCTGACTATTGCCAGTTTGCGTTATTTCTTTCTAAAACAATGTCAAGCCACATGCAGTTTTTAAGATACATTATATAATTCAGCGGACGGATGAAAGAAGGGCATACTATTCTTAAGACATTGTTTTTTATTCTCCAAAACTGTGCATTTTTAGCTCTGCTTATAGAACGGTCCAATTGCATTCATTTATCGTGCCACACTTACCATTTCAACCGGGATACACGAACGTGGCCCTGGTCTAGCCGTACATTTCTCACCACTGTTCCACAATTAAGACCAAAACAAGAAACAAGAAACTCAGAAATATATGTTTTGATGTATATAGTAAAAAGGTATAGAATTTTTATAGTGAACTATTAACTTAATTTCTGATGGTTAGCCAGAGAAACTAACTGTTTTATTGTGTCACATTTCAGCTATCTCTGTCCGGGAACAGGGTGGTAAGGATGACTGGAGTAGGGAAACTGAAAAACCTGACCGTCCTCAATCTACCCAACAATAGTATAGTGGCAGTGGAAGGTACGTCATTCTGCTCTATGTAAATATGACCAGGAGTTGCACTTTGATTAACTCAACATTTGAAATAACCATTGAGATCAGACACATTCATCAACTTTTGTCAAGAGATCTGAGAATGCAAACAATCTTTTCAGACTAGCAAGGTAACATTAATAAGTGGCAATATATTAAAGTACAAAGATAAAAGCAAATCTGCACCAAATTGATCATATCATGATATATTTAAAAGATCTTGATACAAACTTGTACATGTACTCGCTTGTTACAGTTGTAAGCTGTGATTTACAGTTGTAAGCTGTAACTTACAGTTGTAAGCACAAATCGTTCCTTCTTGACATCTTCATTTATTAATATATTACAGAAGAGAAAACAGGAATTGATTTATTTACAAAGGTATATGTTGAATGCCTCATATTTTTAATGTCTTGTCATGATCAGCACCATATGACATGAGAAAACCCTAATATTTTTTTTTTTAGAAAGAGCTCTCAATAATTACAATCCATTATATGTACATACATTCTACATGTATATGAATTATTCCTCTCCAGCGGTGAACTGCCGTAGCTTTTGAAGTGACCTCTGTGAAATACTCATTTGTACAGACAAAAACATACATAAGGAGAAAATCGAAACTTGTAGATTACCCTATTGAATCACTCCCCCAAGCATAACCAGTCTACATATAAGGAAAACTACCAAGAAAGCTCTGTAATCAGTGATTGACAGGTGATGTTGTGATTGTACCCCTCTTTATATGTCTAGGTTTGAGGTACTAATCAGTCACCCTGCATACTTGTTAGGCATTCACATCGAGGTGATACAACCAGCATAAAGCCATTTATAAGAAACAAGGTGTTGTCTCCCCTTCTCTTCTTGAATGTTTATTGATGTATTGATCAGGGCCGTTTTCGTTTAAACAGTTAAACCGGTCGGACCACCGTTGTTCGTTTAATAAATAAGGTCAGACCTAGTAATCTGATGCTGCTTTCTGGCGCGCCTTGACAAAGCCTTGCAAGGCCTGCATAAACATTTGCAGGTCCGCCAGGGTTTTTACCCAAATTGTTACATTTATAAACGGTCAAACCGGTTGTTCCGCATAGACGAATAGGCCCCTATTGTGTTGGATGAAACTTGAAATTCATGAAGTTTGTGGTATTTTTTCTTCAGGTTTAAAAGAACTTCTGCAGCTGGAATGGTTAAACTTATCAGGAAATAGCATAAAGGTGAGGAGGGGCAGTAAATATAATTATGCACTTAAACAAGCATGTCTTAAAAAAAATTTTTTTTTTTTTGTGAACAATTCTTTTCATGATTCTGTTATGAACCGCTTGTTTATGAAGCTTTTGCTTCAGGAAAGGACCCAGATGGTATTTTCTTCTCAGTTATACATTCTCTTTATAATTGCGCTTGAAATGAATATGAAATACAATTAACCCAGAAAATTTGCCTCCTTTGTACATTTTAACAACAAATGCTTCATTGGGCAAACTGTTGGGATAAACAGCAACCTCTTTTAGCAAGTATCTCTAGATCTGTGTTAAAATCATTGATGTTGCAAACAAAAATGGCAAGATTAAAAACAAATATTAGTTATAATTTTTTCGTTAAGATTTTATATAAATAAAGTCAATGTGAGTATTGAGTAATTGTAATTAATCTATGTTTTTGTGTTGTGTTGACAGGCTATTGAGAATCTGAGTACCAACATCAGCCTGGGTCATCTGGATCTGTCGGATAACAATATATCATCCTTATCAGATATCACACACCTGAGAAGTCTTCGGGTAAGATTGTTTCACACTTTGTCCTCCCCCACACCCTTAACCATCCTCTGTGTCATCATAACACACTTAAACAGACTCTGGGTAAGGCTGTTACATCCTCTACTACCTCCCCCCCTCCCCCATTATATAAACAAATATCCTCAGTGTCTGACGCGACACAACCGAGGAGTTTCTAGGTAAGGCTGTTACATCCTCTACCCTCTCCCACACCCTAATATCATCATTGCTAGACAAAACACACCTGAGGAGTCGCTAGGTAAGGCTGTTACATCCTCCACCCTCTCCCACACCCTAATATCATCATTGCTAGAAAAGTACACACATGAGGAGTCTCTAGGTAAGGCGGTTATATCCTCCACCCTCCTCCACACCCTAATATCATCATTGCTAGACAAAACACACCTGAGGAGTTTCTAGGTAAGGCGGTTATATCCTCCACCCTCCCCCACACCCTAATATCATCATTGCTAGACAAAACACACCTGAGAAGTCTCTAGGTAAGGCTGTTACATCCTTCACCCTCCACACACCCTAATATCAACAATGCAACCTAGAGTCTCTAGGTAAGAATGCTACATCTAATCCTCATTTCTAAATAATATATCCCTTGCTCTGTAGCCCTTTGACTTTTCATCACACTAACCTCCTTATGTCACAAACCCTGTAGTGTCCGTCTCACTGAACCCCTAAACTTTGCCAAGCTCCTCGTCTAATCTTGAGTCACTAGTATCATTAACCTAACTCCATATCCATTTCACATGTATCACCTTTCAGCCTTACTAACTTAAGAATCCTTGCCTCATAGTCCCAAAACTAGGACATTCTATCTCTCAAGCCGAACTGACCTACCTCCAAGCCTTCAAACATTGTGTAACCTTGACCTTCCCTTAGTGTGTCCCTGTAGCTTGCCCCAACCTTCTCCAGTAATATAGCAATATCAGAGATCTGTCGTTGATACCATGAGTACAAATAAGTCATGTATCTATACTGTTAATCTTCAAAGAGAATTTTCTATGTGGTGTTATACGTACATTGACCTGTTTAGAGTGCTCAATTTGTCTTGTGAATAATTCATGTGTCTATTAGGATATTTACATATCTCACTCTAACAAGTCAGGTGATTTCTAAATTTGTTCTGTATGTATGCATGCATAAAACACATTAAAATCTTGGAGTTAATATTTACGGTATGTCTCTCATTCAAATGAATGAAGACATTCTATTTCTGTCTTTTCTGTTTCTTTTTCTGAAATTATCTGGATTGGGATGCACCTTTTAGACCTTAAAAGCTATCTTGATAAGACTTGATGTATATATTGCATCACCTTAAGGAGATGAGCAGTGAACTAGAATTAGTTCCCCCGTAATCTTGACTGACTTAAAGATCAAAGGTCCGATAAGTGTAAAATTTCCAGCAAAATCTTGTCTCAGCCATAAATAACTTTTGAACTGTTAAAGATATGTTGATGAAATATGAATACCTGCATCAGCCAATTCAAGGAAAGTGAAATTACACTGCAACCATGTCACTATGACCTTCACCTCTGGGCAAAGGTCAAATAAGTGTGCAATTCTCTAGTTTAACCCTTTCACCCCTAGGTAACTTTAGTAGACTCTACCATACATTTATCTGAGTGAGTCCATTATGGTCTATAGTGGTGAAAGGGTTAATAATATATTATATAATATCCAGTTCAATGTAATGTCCTGTGTAATTTACTGTTGATAATTCTGTGATTTTCTTACAGACACTTCTTCTCCATGGCAACAGCTTGACCTCACTGAGAACAGTCCCGCAGCATTTCCCAAAGTCCATAGTCATCATGTCATTGGCTGAAAATGAAATATTAGACATCAATGAGGTAAGTTTGTGTAGGTCATATATACATGTACAGTGTAAACTGTTTACACTGATCACTCTCCAATCCAGATCCTGTCTATAATGGCTCTGATATTTGGTCCTGGCATTTCCTCTCTTGAATTAAAGTATGTCAACTCTGTGTAATCTGAACCTGTCTACTGTGGAAACCCAGGTTTGTTTTATCAATCCTCTTTATAAATTGATGTGCAATCCGACCTAGAAATATTAAACTTGCATGCATTGGTATTCAAATGTTTATACGCAACATCATTGCCTCTGTATAAACCAGAATCTGTTTCAGTACCAGTAATTTACAGTTTAGACAAGGTTTACTGTATAAGGATTGACTTGAAAATGCCTCTTTTCCCTTTTACACACATAAAAATGCTTGCAAAACAATTTGATTATATTACTGTACATCAATTACTCTTCCGATATTTTTTTATTTTTTCGTGATTTTGTTCTTCCATCAACCTATTAGAAAAAAAATGAATTTATGGAACATAAACAACCATATGAGCCTTTTGGAATATGTTTGAATGAATATTTGTGAGATATCTTAAGAAAAAAAGCCATCTCTTCTTATGAATTAAATGAAATGTATATCACGTAGAAAGAGAGATTTGACAGTATTGTTAGACTTAAAGCATTTTCTCATTGTACAAGATGTTTTTTTCCGCTATAGCAATTTATTTTTCTTGCATTAGGTCTTTGTGAAAACAGATTGGGGTAGCATGAAAACATAAAAGGTACAATTTTGGAAAAAAATAAAATTGAAAGGCTTATTGAACAAACTATTTAATGTTACTTAATTTCAAAAACTCAAGAGTGGTCATTTGATCTGAGTTATCTCCCTTTTACTGACTTATGATACATGCCTACTTTGTGTTGATCGGTACAACAATAGTTTTTTTAAGCACAGGTAAGACTTGTGTGTTTTGGTCATCACATACCCAGGTATTTCCTCACATATTCTACTTTGGCTGAACACATTATGATCATAATGTACCATGTGATCTGCAATGCAAATAAAAATCATCACAATTGATACTTAATACATAACATAGTGCTTCCCTCTATCTGTAGTTAAAACCTTGTGTAACGATATCTCCTGAACTCTTCAACAGATATTTACTTGTAGGTTATATAAACAGGTACACATTCTATTGTGACATTAAGTTTTGCTAATAATTAGATTTAGGTGGTCATCGGTCAATGTCAAAAGTCACACTGGACTACTTTTGAAATAAAATCGTTTAATATAAATAAATAAAATAAATAAATATACAACATTTGATATAGCGCCCTTTCTAGCTAACATAAGCCACTCTAAAGCGCCTTACAGTAGATTGATATACAATTTTATACAGTCAATAAATTAATTAGCATATATATATTAATCAATACAATATTGAGGAATTCGCAGGAGCTGCCTTATCAGGCGCTAACAACTAGACCTATGCCACCTGGCTAATATCTCCCTGTGTGTGTGCTGGAGATGTATCATGTTCTGTTTGTAGTGGGACCGTGCTTCCAACGGTATCATTTATAGTGCCACCTCACTTGAAAGCTACAGCACAGATACCGCAACACCCACCCTAGGCCATTTTATACTCCTCCTGGGTTGTTGGAATTGTGTGGGCAGGAGAAAAACACTTTCTCTGATATTCCATGCGTACGGCGACTTTGGGGAATTGAACCCTGGCCGCCTGCTTGGAAGGCCCGAGTGTTAACCACTTGACCAATCTGCCCATATATACTTTATATTCATGGAGGGGATATGTGTGTATGTTCAGGAGAGCCCTTGTTCCCTTGATTTGTTTTTGTGCCCAAAGATGCATATGATATATAACTAGAAATGCAGTTAGTAAAAAGTATTAGATAATTAATCCAAAGGTGTATGGTATATACATCACAGTTGATTTATTTTCTGTAGGAGAACATTAAACTATACATATTATGTAATCTGATAATAGAAGTCATGCACACCCAGTCACCTTGAAATTAATTCGGTATTAAAATTTTAATCTGCACACTAGTACCAAGACATGATTTTTTTTTTTTTTTTTTTTTTTTTTTTTTNTGCGAAGTTTATTACAGATTAATGACAAAATGTTTAAAATAATAGGTAAGATCTGATATATGTGGTGTATTGTGTAGAGACTCCTGACTTTGAACTTTGTGGATCTACAAAACATGTTATCAAGAAACACATATTTAAGAATGCTAATATCCAGTAATTCATTTTGATCCTTTTTTTGCTGAGTTATGCCCCTTGTTTGAACTAGTACTACTCCTACTGTGTATATTTCAGTGATTGCAGTTACTCACTTTAGCAATATGCTAAGTTCTTGTTAGCTCACTGGGTCCGAAAGTCCAAGGTGAACTTATGCCATATTGAGGCGTCTGACTTCTTCTTCTTAACCCCTGATTGGAATTTAACTAAATTTGACTGACAGCATCCCTAGGTGGTGGGGATTTAAAATTGTACAAATAGTGGGGCTGAGGGGCGGGGCCAAAAATGGGCAGTTTGGCTATATTGCTATAAACGACATTTTCTGTAGAACTATGCAATGGATATCGATCATATTTGATTGGAAGCATTCATGGGAGGTAGGATTTAGAATTGTGCAAATGGTGGGGCTGACCCCCGGGCTAAGGGATGGGACCAAAAATAGATTATTACTTGGAAATTGTTGAGATCCCCACCCTATAACCATATATACAGTTTGCTGAGTATAAGGAGAAGAATGCACATGGCCCTGGGGTCTTGCCCCACCCTTGGAGACATAGTCCCTGGGTCATAACTTTGAAACGGTTGAGATCTCCACCCTAAAAACTATATATACAAATGCTTGGCATAACAAATCTTATACAGATATGCTTCAAGGATTGGCTTTGGGGTCTGGCCCATTCCCTTGGATCTTATTTGGAGAATATTTTGCCATGATTGCTTAGATATCCAGGTGAGCGATACAGGCTCTTTGGGCCTCTTGTTATTTATGCAATATGTTTTTTTATCAAGCATTTCTATAATTCATGTACATGTTAATGCATATGGTAGCCAGAGTTTCCTCTGGCCCTGACAACAGACTTATAGACATTTTGACAAATAGATGTCTGATGTAGTTCTGTCAAAATGTCTAAGTCTGGTGTCAGAGCCAGAGGAAACTGGGACTAATGCATATGGATGAGTAGGGGTAATATAATTATAAGTTATAAGTGTTTTGTTATGCAATGTATATATAGTTTATCATTTTCAGGGGACATTTCTGGATGTCCCATCAAATTGTGAGAAATCTGCAATTTATTCCTGATATGACTGAAATAATTTTGATGAATAAATCGTAACTCCAAACACCATGGATAACTATTATTAATAAAAAAAAATGTTTCAGTTGAATCTATCTGCAGACACTCAACATTTAAGAGCTTTCAAAACCTACTGGATTAAGTAAATAAGATGGACCTAGAATTAAACTTCAATTTTCCACTGGCTGTGTGTACTCAGGGGTATCACGGTGATGTGCTGTCGTCATAAAAGTGTCTGTCATAGCAGTAATGCATGGTTGCCATGACAACTTAAAGTTGTCAGATGGTTAGTCATATAACAGTATTCATTAATATGATTTTAACTGTTAATTAAATGAATTTGCAATAGGACATGTACAACCAACAGCAGTGGCGGATCCAGAGACCTATCTGGGGGGGTTTCCAAATTTCCTGGGGGGGTTTCCATGTGGGGGAAAATTGAGAAAAATGGTGAAAATACATGATTTTTAAAGAAAATTCTCAGGGTGGGGGGGGTTTCCTGAAGCCCAAAAAAAAGCTCTGGATCCGCCACTGAACAGTTTGTATTGATACACAAATCATTCGAACAAGCTCAGGAAGTATTGGAATGGTATATTTGCGACCACTAAACTTTGTAAACGTAATGCTTATAGTATATTTGCTGCCTTTGCATTCAGCAAAGTAGTGGTACCGTTATATATGATATCACAGCATTAATGGTTTCCAATATGATTGATCGCCCAATTCCACGTGTTAGATTTCTGAAGGAAAAGTGTCAATTGAGACAGTGTTAAAATCTTGTTCAAAAGTCCTTAAAACTAAGTCCATTTGACGTTGACCACACATGTATACAGAGTCACCTCAATATTTGTGAAACCTTGACAGAGATGTAAGAAAATGAATTCCATTCAGACAATAGGACCAAAATTAAGGTTTCTGATCTCAGACTGTGATAAACATGAAAAATGACCCAAGTCAAGAGCTTGTTACGTTCGCAATAGCCCCATAAACACTTATACACACCATTAATTCTGTGCAGAACAAACACAAGGTTTTATCTGTTGGGGAAATGTGCTGTTGCTCTACCTGACAGGCTAATTATAACATCTCAGCATGGGTCCGGAGAAAAGTAGCATTGATTTCTGTATTGATATCAATGATAGGATTTTATTTGGTTGCGTAAATTGACGAGTAAAGCCATAAAAGTGTGCTTTGTTTACAATCCATCCATTCAACGGTCCAGAACTCGCTCAAAGCCTCATTAGTGTTGTGACATTTATTAAGGTAAAATTTACAATTTTTATGGTTTTTCAAAACTAAATACAAAATACCCCGAAATCATGTCCTTGGATTCAAATTGATTGATGAATACAATAACACTTACATCTCTGTATCTATTTGACGAGAAACATTAATGGAATATTGGACTTAAAAGCTTGAAAGCTTGATTCAACCCTATTCAATTTTATTTTTGTTTAATGCCAAACGTAAAAGTAAGATTTCTTAATGAGAAAATTCCTGGCCTATTATTGGTAATCTCATAGAGAAAAACTGTAATATTGTCAATCTGTAGACTCCCATTAAAAGCTTTACCTGTATTCTGTCATTAGCATGAATAATTGTTTGTCTTGATTACCTCAGCTGGTTAACCAGATAAAAGAATGAAAGGGTACAGTGTATCTTTTCAGTTGTCATGTCAGCATGAAAGCA